ATCAGCTTGTTCGTCTTCATAATTTTCCTTGCTGTGCCTTCTTGCATATCAAATAGTTCAGCTTTTATTTGTCTTTTGTCCAGGGCGCACGGGGCGTATGAGTAACTTTAAATATTGTTTAAACTGGCTGTCAGCCAAAATAAACTTTATCTTTCTAGTTCCATCAAAATTAATTGCATGGTAAATCATTTATGTATTTTTTCACCAAAATATATAGAAAACAATTATGCAGTCAATCAAAATTGAATTTTTATAGATAAGAGCGTATATTGAAGCCAAAGGAAATTAAATTAAATATATATGTATGTATTGCAGGAAAATACGAAAATATAAATTATTATAACCCATTTAAATGGGTTTTTATCGCAGCACATACTAATGAATGATGTTTTTCCATTTCCACTCTTTTTGGCCCACTTTTGCTACATGTCCGTTATAGAAAATTGTGGTTGGCCTGAGTTTAATTATGCAAAGCCTGTTCATTATGGGCAATCTGATTGTGAGTGTTGGTAACTCACATTTAACTCAGATAAGAGCCCTTAATTTATGGCACATTTTGACCGTCGGGTTCTGCACATAATTTCCCCGGGCTAAGCCCAACAATTAGGTGAGCCCAGTTAAGCAAATTGCACTACATAAACTCCAATGTTGGTTGCCGTAAAGATCAGAGCCCAGAGCGGCAGGCATTTGATTGGAAAAGGAAAACTTGAAAGTGGTAATCGATAAACCACAACTGTTTCGGAGTGACATAGTGTGGTTTCCCTCCCATTGCGCTGCATTACAATTTATCAGAAATGTTTCCATTCCCTATTTGCGGTTGCCAGCACGTGCGACAAACATTTCCATTTCCATTTCGTAAGCCACCCAAAAAGCAACTCCCGCCTGATAAATGTTGACGTTTTGCAAAACAGTAATCAAGCAAGGTCACGAATTGAAAACAGTCGGGCTTCTATTTGCCACGCACACTAAAAATACTATTAAAATGGGAGAAATTAGAGCGCAAACAAACGGACGTGGCAACCGTTCAGAAACAGTCACGGAACTAAATAATATAAATCAACAAAATAAATTATGACTGCACAAAACGTTGAGTGTCTGCTGGATAACAGTTGAATTACGGCAGACAAACCTAGCCAAGCAAGCGCATAAATAAATAATTTTGGATGTGTGTTATTAATTTGCCACCGAAATATGACATACATGTATTATCGCAGCCACAAAATAGATCATATCAAAGCATTTTCCCAGCTTGGGAAAGTGTTGGAGTGTGAACGATGGACCTAAGTGGCTGGATAAGTGAATGTGAATGGGAAAAAGTTGCACAAGCCGTATATGAACATTTAATGGACTTTGTCAAGCTTAAATGGCTGTCAAGGGTGGAGCCATTTGACAGGCAGTCAGGTTAATGAGTCATGTGTGGTCAGGGGAATCCCAAAAAGCAGGTTATAAAAATGACCCACCTTGTGTTTTAGCCTCGAAACGCCTATTGTTGGTATAACATAAATTAATTTCCTTTGGGCGATTTATAAGTTAAATAAATGGTGTGAAACCTTAAGGTAAAGGTGAAAATACTAAACAGTTATAGCTTAAATTAATTTTCTTCAAGAACAAAATAGAAAATAAAATTCAAAGGATTGATTATTGTTGCTAAAACCTGATTCTATTTTTACAATTATAAAACAATTCGGATTCCCAATTTGCCAGTTCTGTGTTTAACTTTCGGGTAAAAAAATAAGCGAAAGGAAATAAATAATCCAGACTAAAGTTAATTCCTTCCGAAGACGCCTCTTTTGAGCTCACATTACGTCTTATTGCCCGCTGAAATTACAGTTTACGTTGTCAGATCTGTAATACAACCGGAAATCTTTATAAATAAAATTGTCCTCCTTGAACGGAGAGAAATCTGAGATACAGATACGGATTCCTGCTGTTAAGGCTTCGCTGTTTGCTGTCTTGCTTATTTATTTAAGTTCTGGCTCGACTGAGTTTGCTGTTTATGTTGCTAAGGCCAAGAAGCAGCTGGGCCAAGTTTTTTCCTGCTGCTCTTTTGCCTCTGGTCTCGTGCATAACTCATTCGTTTTAATATTCCCCAGGCATTGTTCGCCCTCCGGTTAGCATTTTATTATATTTTTTGTGAACAAAAAAAAAAACTGGGCCACCTGAGTATACTTTTTAATGCCAAGTAAAATTCAAATAAAATTGCAGCAGCCGCCTGACAACCAACAATTTAATTAAAATAATAAATTGCACGTAATTTGCTGCAGGCGATGTCGAGCAGAAGGTATTTTGATTGCAATTTCTATGTGCATTTTAGGAAAGGTAAAAATCTATAGAGCTTCGAATTCAAAAAATTAAAAGCGTTATAAGATTATTAAACTATAAAAACGATTATAGTAATTGCTATCGATAGGAATACAACCCTATTAAAGCTGACATAGCTTTCACAGGACCAACGGCTGGAATTGCATTAATTAGGAAGAAAAATATTTTTCAGATTCCCAACAGAACAAACGACAATTGTCAAGGAATGGGAGAAGGAAAGCTCAGAAGAAAAGAAAATGAAGAGGAATACGAGCCCTTAGCTAATGAATTTTAATTGCGTAAATAACTTACTTGGTCATTGTGGCAGAGTGGTAACCAGAACTCGAATCCTGCCAAGAAGCTCGGAATGGTGAAGAAAAGGAAAAACCGACGCGCTTGACAAATTTAATCATATTTTTCCTGCCGGAAGCGGAAATGATTCCGGGTTATGACCTGGCAAATGGCGAATTATGAATGAATTAAGTGAAAAGATGGCTTTCCACGTGCGGAGAAGCCTGTTCCTGGCACCGTATTGAGAGTACCTCGTGGGTAATTGGGTGCGTGTTGCGTTTAGTGTCAGGCACTTTATATACCTGGGAGATACAGGTGCGAAAGTTAATACCCAACCTCATTCACCGTCTGTGGTTATTCAATTTTTGTGGCCATTGGGACGCTTTTCATGGCTAAAATATATTTTTTCTGCAGCTGTCAGGTTTAATGAGCCACATGCAAAATTTATTTAATAATTTTGCCACGCATAATTCACTGCATTTTATAGTCCTACTAAAGCAGAGGCCATTAGGCACCGGTGTCAGAGGGGCTGTATAAATTTTCATTTTCTCCCTAGTTAGTTTTTAATTATTATTTATTGATGCTTTGTGTTTGTTTTAAACTACTGCAAAACTAAACAATACAAATTAATACAACATAGAAAGGAAGTCGCTGGATAATAAGCCCATAAACAAAGCATTGTTTGGCTCATATCTCATTTTAAATTCAGCAAACATATATTTAAATCGTGGTATTTTTTACTCAAAGCTTTATAGCACGCATATGTAGCAGATGGCAGATTGATAAATCCAATTCAGCGTTAAATTTGCATTTTTACTCAAGTGTAAAACAAATAAAGATTTTTACGGTTTTGTGGGAATTTATTAAAAAAACGTTCGTGCAATATATATGAGATATTTGCGAGCTGAGAGTTCCCAAGCGAAAAGCCCCGAAGGCAGGAAGTAAATATGTTTTTATTTGATGCGAATCCGATAAAAGGGAAACCATTTCAAAGCGGAATAATCCTTAAAGCGTAACTAGAACTCAATGCCGTTTGGCTCTCATCTTGATACGGGATATTCGATGATTTAATAGCAGGGCCGGCAGAGTGGGCAGCTATTAAAAGCATAGCACTCGCCACTTGACAGCGCAACCTTGCCACGCCCCACTTAACGCCCACCACCTATTTGCCACCCACCGGGGAAACCTTGTGCCAAGCACAAACAACTATTTTTTAGAAACCGCTTCGCTCTGCCTTATTGATAGTGTTTGGCAGGGAATGCCGAACCGAAAGCCTTACGTGTCAATTTATTATAACTTATTCAAGGCCAGCAGGGTTCTTTTTTGTACTTCTTCGGTATCTGCGTGAAAAATGCCATAAAAAATGAATGCTGACCCAGGCGGCAAACACGAGTAGCTTCGGCATGAGTGGGCCACAAAATGGGGGAGCAGGAACATGATCACTATATTTCAGTTTATTGCATACATAGCCTCCTTCCTTTTTACTCGTCCTCATCCACTTCCTTCCTCCTTTCAAACGAAACTTGCGCTTCAAGTTTATTAGCACAGCAGTATTTGCCCCTTTTCCCCTTGTCCTTTGAGCCAACTCCTCTGGCAGGGAGCCAAAAATTCCGAGAACTCGCTCGGCTCGATTCAAAATCGATTGACTAGCCCGGGGGATGTGGATTTGGCCAGGGGGAATGCACGACGACCTCTTTGAAGTTAATTGTTTGAAAGCTGCAACCGAAGTTTTTCGAACTGTCGATGATGTGCCAAAGCAAAAGTTGGCCCGTCATTGAAGCTCAAAACACATGATAGCCTCGGTCATAAAACCCGTTTCTATCCATTCGGAGTTTTAAGAAAGGGACATATTTTGGCATCTTTTAAAGAAGAGCTATAAAGGAAAATGTCATGAAAATGGGAGACAATTTCAAAGTTTATCATGTGAGCTATTTCTTTTTTGAAGCATTGGCTTAAACTGGGAGTTTTGTCAAAGAAATTTTAAGCTTACGTACGTGTCGAATGAAAAATGTTTTTCTTGAAGAGAAATAAACTTCACATTGAGACAAACATAAATATAAAATAACGCTTTGGACTTCTAATGAGAAACCCAAAGTAAAATAGGTAGCTATAAAAGGTTTTTCAAAGAAAAACGTAAAAATGTAGGAGAAAGACCTTAAGTTTATTATACTTTAAAACCTTTGGCTCAAACTGTGAATTATGTTGATGAAATTTTAAGATGAATCATTTTTTATATTTTAATGACAAAAAAAGGAAAAATAATATTTGGAATAATTTTAACGAGATCAGAAAAAAAGCTTAAGGTAAAGTTGGTAACGTTTAAAAGTATTTTTGGAATCAGATATTGACCATTTACCTATGAACCCCTTGTAATTTGTTCTGTTTCTTGTCTCCACTTTTAATTGCAGCAAAAGCCGCAACAAAAATCCAAGCCGTCTTTCGAGGCCACAAAGTGAGAGAAACCATGAAAAAATCGGAAACCAAAACTGCGACCAACAACGGCAGTGCCGCCGCAGCTGCTCCATCGGCAGCAGCCGCCGAGGCAGCCGCATCCGCAGAGCCAACCAAAGCCGAACTAGAGGCTGAATTCGATCCCAACGACAAGGGTAAGTGAAAGTTAAGGGACTAAAAGGTGCTCAAAAGGTCCAGTGCCTTGGGTTCGTGATCTAATTCTATTTCTAAAACTGTAACACAAATCCCTACACTTGCATTTGAAATCCAGAACACAGCCATGAAAACAAGATAGAAAAAAAGATTCTTACAAAATTAAGATACATTTCCATTAATATAAAGTATTCAACTAATAGTATTGAAATCACTCAACTCAGATAAAATTTGTATAGCAATAAAATAAACATATTTATTGCCATAATAATGACTGAAGATAATCTTTATTTACGCTTTGACCAAAAATATTAAGATAAGAACAAAATTTAAAAAAAATAGCTATTAAACAAATCTTTAATATGTTATCAAGTATTGACATTGCTTAATGAGATTTTCAAAATACTAGCAAAAAGTACAAAACCCAATCCCATTACTCACAACATGCCGAATTAATTGCCTCAAATAAATGAAAACTTAAAACCTATAATTATTTTCCAAATTAAAACTGCTATTTGTTGAGTGCCCCAAAGGTGTCGCAAACCCAAGCACAAAGGGATAAACTTTCTTGAAAATCGACTTCGCAGTTCCGGAGCATTGTAGATTCCCCTGCACATATTGTCGTCACATCAGCGGGCTTACACAACTTCGACTTCAAGTTGGGGATACAAGCTGAAATTACAGTTTGGCTTCCGCCAGGCAACCAAAATACAAACTTTCCCTGTTACGCAATATACGAGAATTTTCAGCAAAAATATTTGTCACTTGGTTGGGACACAAGGGAAACTTTGCCTGCGAGTGATGGGATTTTTTGGGGGGAAGTTAACGCGTGGAATGGGATTGGATCTGGTGGTGTCAGGCATTGGTTATTTAATCGCTGCCCCAACAGATCCGCCACGCTCATAAATAATGAAAATCTTGAAGACAGCTTAACCCTATTAGGACGTTTCAGGCGCTGACAGTTTTCAGCTATAATTTGCCTAGGGCACAATGAGTCGAGGGCACAGCCAGTCGAGTAGGAAGCCGTCCCCGGCTCATTAAAAAGTCAGAGGCTGTCATCGGGGCGTATACGCAACCGCATTAGGCGGCACTCGGCTCCTCAGCCAGACAACAGTTTCCATTGCAAGTGCTCACGTGTGGGCCGCCTCCATAGGCTTAATTATAGTACCGGGTGGATCTCGAAAGGCGTATCCTTCTCCTTTCGCCTGCCATTCATACATACATTTGTGCGACGGCTAATTAGACTCGCCTGAGAGCTCAAAGGATGTGGTGAGCACGTGGAGGACCTTTCTCCTTTGTGACCGAGCACATACTCAATTAGAGGCGTTGAATGGAACAGGCGTGAATGGCTGGCAGGGGGAAAGTTAATTTTAAAACTTTGACCGAATAACTCATAATCAGAACTGTCTCATAAATCTCCACAGATTTCGTGGCAGATTTGGGGAAATTCTATAATATAATATCATCAGAAGTGTCACAAGTTTGTCTAGACTTGCTGGAGTGCCATTCAATTTAACAAATTAGTTTATATATTGCAAACGTCTTAGTCCTTAATTCAATTTCATTTATTTTTTATAACAAGACTTTGATTTACTTTAACAAGAAACATTCAAGCAGTAGTGACCTAAAAGATGGTCATTATACATTTTCTATTAAATGTCCTTTTTTTCCTTGCACATACTTGTTTTCAATATATTAATAACACTTGTGCAAAGCGACTAAACAAAAGAAAGCCTACTCAAACCGGGTGAAAAAACCATTGCCCTGGCAATCTGGGACCAGCACAAGTCCATTAAATTTAAGAACTAAACAATCGGAAAACTGAGCTCTTTTGTAATGCATAATTAGATCCACTCCATGGCCTTATCCCGTATTTACCCAACATCGCAGACACGCTTGGTTGGCTTATCCGAAGTAAACCAGTTAGAACTTCATCATTATTCACAGTTATCGCTCGCAGGCGGCCAACAACGACAAGCTAATGGTGTTGGCCTAGTTGTAAACTCGCCGTCGGCATATTGTAAAATTGCCAAACAATAAAAACAACGACCACAAAGAACTTTGCTTAAAGGAGAGTGCAACAAAATTAAAGCACACACATATGTATGGCCAGGCGAAAGCAATTTCTGAGCCCAAAACTGCGATTTAGCCCATTTGGTATGCAAATGCCAGCAGACACATGCACGTACGCACACAAAAGGACACTCTGCATGCATGTGCACGAAAATCGAAAGCCATTTAAGGATATTTTCTTGTACGTGTGTGCATTTCGCATTTGGCGCAAACATTTGCGGCTTCGCCCGGCCATTTGACTTACAATCCTTGCCTTTGTGCCATGCATAAACTTCCCAGAGCCAGGAATCTAACTCACCTACTAATGCCTTGCTGCCCAATTTGTTTGTGTCTGCTGTGGTCTGACCCCAATGCTGTTTGCCTAATCGCGCTCTCACTAATTATGGTTCATGGCCAACAAGTCGGCATCCCGCCCCCAAAAAACAACAGGCTAAAATCCTCCCCCCGAAATCTATGGTAATTGAACTGCATCCGGATGGTTGTCTGCGTTAATTGTTGCCGGATTCCATTCGATTATGATGAATTATGAGCGAACATTAGGTTTGGTTTGCTTAATTTGGTCGACATTTGATATTCGTTTCTGTTTGCTAAATTATAATTGGATTGGGGAAACAATATATTGATAAATATGGGACTTTTTCATGCATGTATAGAATTTCCTGATTTTAATCAATGGTTTTAAGTTAAATTTTCCTTACATGTATACAATTTCCTGCTGATTTGATTTTAATCAACGGTTTTAAGTTGTTCAAATGAAATGTTCTTTGTGTGAATTCGTAAATTGCCGTTTCATTCCAACGTAATCTTGGGAGTAAATAAGGCCCCTTGCCATCTTGAGGACATCAAAAGCATGACCATAAATTCATGTGTCATTTTTAAAGAGCTGTTCGTGATGTTGCTGCTAGTTCGCCCAGCAGCAACATGAACAGCAGCAACATCAACTACATCAGCAACTGCGATAAAACAGCAGCGCAGCGCGTTCTCCTAATTGGATTTTCGGTTTTAAGCAAGCTTGTAATTCCATTTACACCGCCCAGAGACCCACAAAAAACCAACAATGTCAGGCCAAGCCATTTAAGTATAATGTTAAGTGCTCCGGCTGTTGTCGGACGAACAAAAAGGCGGATCCAAAAAACATGCGACAAACCAAAAAAAAAAAAGCAGAAGAAACAAAAGCAGGAACGACAACATTGACATGAAACACGCAATAAGCAGCAAGCCAGCTAAAAACAATGTTTCAGCCGCTGAATTGGCGATTTTTTGCTAGCCCCAAGAAACCCCCACAAATATATATATAGTACGTATATATAGATATATACAGGTGGACCGCAAAGCAGGCCAAAATAGACAAGGAAATGTTGGAGGCTTGGACCCCTTATTTATATTGCACGATGGCCACAATATGCCTGTATATATAGCTTTTCTCGGTTGGCAGGTGGAGGTCCGGTATTTATTTAGCTACTGCTAAACGTTTGGCAAGTGCCGACTTTGTTGGTCCTTTTAAATATTTCAACAATGTTAGCACCTTTACGTGAATTTCCTGGCCTTTATCCAAAGTGTTTATTGCGGCTCCAATAAAATTCACTTAGTTAATATTTAATTGCTCGTTTGAATGCGATTTGCTTTGCTTTGCAATTATATGGGTCACACATTAAAACGTAGTCAAATTATTAGGTAAATATTTCACGAATTCAAAGGTGTGCAGCACTAATTTCAATTTCAAACCGTTGCATAATTAAAGCATCGCCTTAATCCAGTTAATAATGGCCAGGATTAACTTAAAATCAAGCAAAGTTTTAATGAGTTTCCCCCGGCCAGTTTTGGCCATATTGTTTAATAAGCCTTAATCAGCTTTTGTGCAAAGGATTAATATTAATTAAAGTTTTGTTTGAACTGCTTGCCAAGAGCCCCATCTGCGCATATTGGACTAAAATACATATTATTCAAAGTTGGTACAAGTACGTCATAGACAAATTTGCACAAAATCTACAAATGTACACAGGAGAGAAACCAATAAGTATTTCCCAACGGGTGACTGTTTGTCCTTCCAGGAGATTTATTTGCTCCAACAATAGACCCATGGAGATGGGAAAAGAACGGTTGGAGAGAACCGCAAAGTGGACAAAAACTGAGCAGTGCGGTAGGGAAACCACAAGACTTTGTTCTGTCGGAAATTGAAAAATGGGCTTAGTCCTTATGGCTGTTTGGGTCACAAGCAAGAAGCAAAAGTAGATGGCCAACAGTAGATGGCCAAAATGGAATCACAAAATCTTGGCAACCGCAAACTCCCCCCCTCCACTTGCGTAGGAAAAACGTTTGACTTAAAAATTCCATTTAGCGGCTTATTATCGTGGTTCATTTGTCACAGTTTGTCGTTACTCGGAAATACCCGCAAAAGTAGGCAATAGAGTTTGTAACTAGAAGGTAAACTGTGCGTGGGGCATGTGTCATTTCGCACGGCCATTTTGCATGATTTAACTCAAAATGGAGTCGCAGCTGACAGATGTTGCATGACGATGTCCTGCAGTGGAGTGCTGGGTAATTAAAATGTATATTTACGACGGCAGCTTAACATCGTAATTATGATTGCCGGCCGACGACAATGACAAACGCAGGACTCAGAAAACTCTGTGAGAGGAAATAAAGTACACGCAATAAATCATCAAGTTTGCCTGAGATTTCAGGGGATAAGAATTTATGTTGAATTTTTATTTAAGGCAACCCATTTATTTATTTTTTTTTAGTACCTACTTGACAAAAGTAAAAGGCGGTTCCTCTCTTAAAAAAATATGGTAAAGGTGTTATTAAAAGATTAAAATAGTTAGTAAATTGAGCATTTTTAAGGCAAGTTTTGATTGAAGCTTTTCTCATTTTTCTAAAACATAAGGATTTCTGAAACTGAAGGGAAGGAAACTAAAATACATTTCTTGAAAAAAATATATTATCATATATTTCATATTTTTTTACTCCTTTTAAATGAATTTCCTTTTAGTGAGCCTCTGATTTTCACTTCAATTATTTTCTAACTTATTGTATACCTAGTAATCTTTGAAATAACTTTTTCACATGTTTTTACCTTTGCCATCACTGAAAGCAAACTGTGAATAAATTCATTGTCACATTATATATTCCGAATTAATTCAAGTGGATAACTTTGCCAAAATGCCTGGTCAATACACTAACTACCGGTTCACTCGATTGGCAATGGTGCTGCTCCGCTGCCTGTGGGCTATTCTGTATCTTTGGGGCATGATGCACGCTGCTGCCATCCTGCCACTTCCAGTGGAGCGCTGGGAGTCGGGGTTTTGGAACAGGAAACTTAACTACGTACTGAGCTACAAGAGCCTGTTCGATTTTGATTTCAAGACGGAGTCGTACATTCATATCCTGTCGATCGTGCTGCTGTATTGCCTGTTTCGCTGCTGCCGTTGTAGCTTCATTGGAGCCCGATATCTGGTCGCTGGAGTGGATAGACCCCATATGGATTATCGCCTATTGGTGTTTAAGGCCCCCTATCTGATTGCCTTCATCGTCTGCTGGGTGGTCAGCACCATGATGACGGTACTCGGAGTGTATGTGGTGGCTGAACGTGATCAGAGTGACTTCACCTATATTCTGTACTGCCAATTTGCAATGGCTTTGCTGTTCAAGCTCCTGGTTATGGCCAATTTCTACTCTGTATGTGTACGCACTTGGGCCTATTTGAAGATATTCGAGGCGGAATCCGATGAAGGTCTGCTCAACTACCAAAATTTTGGCGATCACTTGAATTTATTCTTTCGCGTTTAATAATATGAAAGGTAGTTTTTACCACACATTGTTCTTTTGAGGAGAATAAAGTTCGTGTTAACTGAAATTTAAGGGTATATTTTTTACTGATTCAGATTCGGTATAATAAAATACCTAAATCAAAATAGAGTATCCCATATTCCGCACTTATCAAACCTAAATATCTTGTTTGTCTACCTTTTGCTCATTATGTGCGTGTCTGGGTCGGTTTTTGTTTATTATTTCTGACATAATTACTAAGCACACGTCACGGATTTGCACTTTCGCTAATGGAACTCACACACACGCTCGCCAGCACACTGTCATATTTCATAGACCCGCTTTGTTTTTATTTTCCTTCTGTTTTAATATAAATTTGCATTGTTGTGAGAATGTGGGTCAAGAGCGTTGAATCCCCGACACACGGACACGCAAATACGGGGGAAAGTGATACACGTGTGCTGCAGCTTTGGCTTTCGTCCCCACTCAATATTCGCAATAAAAGGAAAGCGAAGGACATGCGGAATGTGCAGGTGATGTGGCTTATGATTGATTTCATATCCTTTGGGGATTACCGCTCAATGGAAGCTGAAAATTGGGTTATGAAAATAGCAAAACAAAAAAAAAAGAGAAATGAAACCAAAAACCTTGAATTAAAAAGATTTTTCAAGAGAAACGAAACGGGCATGCAAATTAAGCAAACTCCGGGGAGAGCGAAAAACGGGCAGCGTGTTAGTCAGTCAATCAGTGGGACGTGACCGATTGCCCTGAAGCTCTGCACATGCAAATCCTAGACCCAATCCCTGGGGCAACATCAGCCAAGGTGTGCAGCCCCGCCCACTGTGCAAACGCCCACCGCCCACCGCCCCCGGAAGTGCATGCAAGGCCCACACAGAAGCACTGACATTTTGCCAGAAAGAAAAGCAAACTCAATTTGTATGCCTCGCCAGCAGGCAGGACATAAGGACATCGGGACATCAGGACATCAAGGAGATACCAGATAGCAGGACGAAGGCACTAGCTAACTGGCGGAAGGGAAGGCACAAAAAGCAACATGCATGCGGCCTGCTGACAAGTTTTCCGACACTGTAGCTTAGATTTTGGACTTATGCGGTCCTGTGACAGGACACGCAGTGTACGTGATCGGCTTTTAACATGTGTTGCATGGCCGGCGACATGTGCAAAGCTCTGCCAAAAAAACTTTGCACTTAGAAAAACAAATACAAAATAATTGAAAGTGCTAAAGAAACGTATACTGATTTAAATAAACTAGTTAAGAGGCAAGGACATGATGTACTTGCTTATTCTTTTAATAGTTTAGGTATTTATCCTAACTGGCTAGGCTCGACAAAAGCAAAGCGTTTTACACAATATCAAACAGGAGTTTTTTTTAGAAGGACAAATGTCAGGTCTTTAAATAACCTTTCATATACCGATTTTCTGTTCAGAGTAACAAGTAAACGATTTTATTAATTTAGATTTTGCAATTCAGCTATTTCCTTATTTTAAAAATTATATCATATTAGCATGATATTAGGACTTAAAATTCCAAATAAAAATTTTAATTAAATGTAATGTTAAAATATAAACATTTTTTTGAAAGGGATTACTTGATCTTGTATATAATCTCAGCTGATGACTAAAGTTGGGAAATATTTTTTTGTGTTTATTTTGGCAGGGCTTAAAGCAAACAAGAAAGGAAAGCTAACTTCGGGCGGAGCCGAAGTTGATATACCCTTGCAGAATATTTTATAAATTATATTGTCCAAAATTATTCATATGATGTATTCTTAATACTCATAAAATGTCCCAACTTCCTAACTTTAAAAACACCAAAGTTATGTCATTTCCAATCGTTCAGTTATATGGCAGCTATAAGATATAGTCGGCCGATCCTTATGAAATTTGGTAGGTCGGATTGATTAGCCAAAAATAAAACCCATAGAAAATCCCAACTTCCTAACTTTAAAAACACCAAAGTTATGGCTTTTCCGATCAATCAGTTATATGGCGGCTATAGGATATAGTCGTCCGATCCTTATGAAATTTGGTAGGTCGGATTGATTAGCCAAAAATAAAACCCATAGAAAATCCCAACTTCCTAACTTTAAAAACACCAAAGTTATGGCTTTTCCGATCGTTCAGTTATATGGCAGCTATATGATATAGTGGCCCGATCCGGCTCGTTCCGACTTATATACTACCTGCAATAGAAATACAACTTTTGGGAAAGTTTCAAGCAGATAGCTTTAAAACTGAGGGACTAGTTTGCGTAGAAACGGACGGACAGACGGACAGACGGACAGACGGACAGACGGACAGACGGACGGACAGACGGACGGACAGACGGACAGACGGACATGGCTAGATCGACTCTCCTGGTGATGCTGATCAAGAATATATATACTTTATAGGGTCGGAAATGTCTCCTTCACTGCGTTGCAAACTTTTGACTGAAATTATAATACCCTCTGCAAGGGTATAAAAAGGCAATCGAAAAGGAGAAAAAATGTTTCCACAGGTAGAAGATAAAATCTTGGAAAGAGTTAGAGATGAATTCTATTTGTGAAACGTTCGAGAGCAAGTTGATTACTGACCTGGCAGCTCAGCTTCAGCTCAGATCGGCTTAGCCTGGCTAACTAGTTGCTCCCCCTTCCCCCTCGCAGGACCTGCAGGTCCTGGAAATGTCACAGCACGGCCGTTGGCGATATACAGCTATTTGCACGTCTTGCTGATATTTTTAAATATTTTATAAATAAACATAAATGCAGCAGTGGCAAATGGCACGTGCCGTTCGGCCGGGTCACGTTATGTGGCCGCCTTGTGTGCGTAATTTTATAAAATAGCACATGCCATAAGTTCTAGAACCAGGACTTTTCCGGTTCCAGTCCTTTGGGTCTCTGCCAAATGCTTATCTTGGCCTAACTCCAATTACGCTTAGCGAATTAACACAAACCCACTTTTCCCCAGCCCTCTGGCAATATTTGCATGGCCAAGTGGGCTAACTTGGCCCCGCTGGCAAACGCGAAATTTCGCTGCGGAAATTGGCCATGTTAAATGTATGCACTTTTGTAGCGGAAAAATCTCAACAAAAAAGGAATACTTTTAAATGAGAATTTTCTCAGAATTTGCATAAATGCACAAGAGCAATGGAAAAAGATGACAAAAATGGGAAGACGACAGCTGCAATGATGTAATCTTGCGGCTGACAACGTAGAAAAAAGCAGCGCGTTTTTACAAAGCTATGCATAGTTTAATGGTTTTTTCCTGCGGTCCGAAGTGCACGTATTTCCTGAGCATTTTTGCACAATTACTGCCTAATTAGAATGAGCTTGTTCTGGAAAAAACCGAGTTAAGGTGGCACGTAGAGGGAAACACGCGTGACTTAACCGCAACCACATGCATCCTGGCCATCTGCGAGCTTAATTTGTGGTCAGTCTTCATCCATCCACTCGCACAGTTCGTCCCGCACTTGATGTGGATTATATATGCAGAAAATATGCGCACGCTTCGCCCAACATTGCGTATACGTAATGAGATTAGCTGGGAAACGTGGTCGAGAGACGCGTATACTAAATATTCTGAAGAGCGCTGGGGGAATAATTCGCTTCGTGATTTCGATTATTTCCCTTCTTTACAAGCAATCTGGGATCCGTGGAAAAATTATGGCCAATGTTGAGCCATAAAATAGGAAGCGGTGGTCAGATAAGGATTTTAGCAGCGAATAGGGGAAACTATAATAATAAATTAAAGTAAGACCACACAAACTGAGTGGAAACCAGCATAAGCACCGCAGCTAATTGAAAAAAGTTTACAACAAATGCCGGGAAACAATGTTTGAGTAGCATCTAAAGTTTCAATTGGCCAAAGAACACCAGACAAGTTTAGAGACTCCACTATATATATTTCTTTTTGTTTTTTTTCGGATGTTGCCAAGTGGCCACTTAAACGCAACTAGAACACTAATTCACACAAACTATCCGTTTTCTTTCTGCTCTCTCCTCAGATCTGTGCCATGCTGCATTGAAGATTCAGTCCACTTTCCGTGGTCATTTGGCACGCAAACTGGTCAACAAGGATGCGCCCGAGGACGAGGACATACAGGAGATAACCAAGAAGGTGGCCGAGGAGTTGGACATAGATTTAACCGATCCCGAGCTTAACAAGGCTGCCACCAAAATTCAGGCCTCGTTCCGCGGCCACAAGACCCGCAAGGATACCAACACCGAGTAAGGAGCCAGTAAGCCAGTTGAATTTTGTTGGTCCTGGCTGGTCGAGTCACAGATGAAGCTTAACTAATGCATATGCAAGTGAATAAAAAATTTGGTAAATTGTAAATGTGTAAAAGGCCAATCAAGATGAAGGCACACAATTGTAAACTTTTTAGTGAATATGTTTTAGCCCGAATGGCAAAAAAGAAACCCAAATGATTCTCATAATAATATTATACAAACTAAGTCGAGGGCAAAGTTACATATTATTTGCAAAGCTTTAATAAATTAATAAAGAAAGCATATTTTGCGGAAAATGATTCGAAATAAGACGATATATACAGAAACATATTTGCGGCTTGTCATGTTTAATTACTAACCTTTAGAATCGTAAATTTGCGTTAGTTAATGTTTAATTAAATCCTATTTGGTTTTTGGACATTTGAATTAATCCCAAGACAGTAACCAAAACCAAACTAAAGTAAACTAAAGTTAAATTTTCAAAGAAAAACCTAATGTTACAAAACAAAACAAAAAAATAAAAGGCACGATGTTCCATAAAATTTATTGTAGGAAAATGCGAAACCAAACAAAAGACAAATGCAAGGAAAATGCTGAACAAATTTTTGGGAAATCATTTCCATTTTGTCTGGCCAATGCCAAAAGTATAAAAATTAATTGTACCTACATGCATACGGACATGAAGTAAAAACCAAAGAAACTCAATGTTGTTTCAAATTAAGGCAAATTAGGGGTACCCAAGCAACATGATGCAGCTTCGAGACGTCAACTCAACAATTTTTCAGCCCACGGGCTCTATATAAACTGATAAATCAATGAAAATGAAGATAACTAATCTGGTGGCACAATTTTCGTTTTTCTACCAAGTGTATTACATATTTGTCTACTTAACAATTGATCCTCGAAAGGGAAACTGAAATACACATATATATATACCTATACAATGGCAATGACATGTATTAGAGCGAGTTGAATTGGAAAATATTTTTTTTCGGCCACGGCTGAGAAAATTGTTACCATGTGGGCAACCAAAGCCACTAAAGAAATATTTAAAATTCAAATCAATTAACTACAAAGAATTAATAACAAGCTAATGAAGATAATTGAAATTATATTAGAGATCAAAGTCAAATTCAAATAAATTGCATAAAATTATTACATTTAAAAAGCAAATGGGTAAAACCAGTTATATGTGGATAAATGACAAGAAAAAGAAAACAAAATATGAAAGCAAACCATATACAAGCCGAACAAACCAAAACAAAGAATGTCCCAACTAAATTTTAATTGAGTAATAAAAATAAATACAATAAAGATGCCAATTCTTTTTATTTCCAATGATTTATGGACAGGTGAGTAATTAAGGTGAGGAAATATTTGCTTTTACTCAATCGGTTTAATCAATAACAATTCTGTCATTGGCTTTTGATACTCATCACAAAATAAATATTAATTTTATCTTCATATCCAACAAGAACACTTTAAATATTTTCAAAGCTCTTAAGAGAAAGCACTTAATCTTCACGGCATCATCACATAATCATTTGCTGGCCAGTTTGGCACTAGTCCTCAACCATTTTCAACCACTCGCTGCACATGGCCAACATTTAACGATTTTTTGTTGCCACCTTAAGAGATGGAGTACTCCTCCCCCAAAAACAGTGGCTTCCTGCGGCGGTGGTGTGCTGCCACTGTTACTGTCAGTCGTCAAGGACATTTGAACATTTTAAAGGATGGTGGTCCGAAAATACTCGAATCACAGCTGAATTTTCCAACAATTTAGTGGCTTTCATATAATGGTTTGTTCTTGTGCATTTTACTGATGGGTCAGAAACCACTATTTTCAGGTGGTTTGTGGCTTACAATTTTTGAGATTCTCAGACCCACTGTGCCAACGACTGACATGAACTTCAGTGACAGTTTTAGCACGAGAAATTTTCATGACAATGACGTTGATGTGGCTGACTCTGACAATACTTGACCTAGATGGGCCTGTGTAAATTTTCTAGTGGAGGTAAGTCCCGGGCACTTGAGACGTCAGAGGACCAGTAAAGGGACTTTCAGCGCATTATCCTTTGCGCCAGTGTTTACAGTTTGCAGGCTCAGTCAAAGGCAGCAAATATTTGAGCTTTCCCCCTTTCCCCGGGGAGATGTGAAACATGGCGAAACGGAAAATGCTCAGAGAATTTCCCCACCCCAAAACCCCGCGGAGAGTGCATCATCAAAATTTGGCAAGTGTAGGTGTGACTTTCGAATTGAACTTGCCACCAAAAAGGACACCGAAAAGCGCGAGAAATTTGCATACCATTGCATGGTGCATGTCACTTGGGAATCCACAGTCCTCTGGCGCACCGCGTGGATGGTCTAAAGTGCTTCGGAGCATTCAGTTAACTGCTTTTTCTGTTTTTTTTTGCGGCGTCGCTTTATGGTTCGCAAATATTTCACCCGTTGAATTTATGCGTGCTAAAAGAGAGAGAGAAGCCATGTTGGCGATGCAACATGGCGTATGCGCAATTTATGAGGCTTTGAAAACAAAGCATCGTGCAAGTGAACAGCAACACCGAACAGAGGAGCTGAAATGGCGCAATCGCCTGTGCACTGAGTGCCCTGAAAGGGAAACAAATGTCAGTTTAATAGTAGTTGGCAACACGCCTTTGACGAGAGCTAAATTTATTGCTGCGACCACTTTATTTGTGTTGGATAAAAGAAAAGTGTGGTGGAGGACTTAAATTTTCCTGGTTTTTTATGCTCATCAATCCACCAACGATTCCATTCAGTCACTGCTCCCGAGCATTTATCGCACATTTGCAGTGGCACACACATCAGCATTCAATTTCTAAAAACCTCTTTCGCGCGGTGACAGCCGCCAGCAGGCAATGCCACCAAAATCCGTGCCAAATAAGCAACAGCATCCAATCGGCGTCACCGGATGCCACTCCCTTCCCTCCCAGCACTCCTCGCATCCCACATCTGCAGCTGCTTTAGCCGCTAAAACTCGCACCTTTTGCGCAGATTTCCACAGTAAAATAAACGACGGAGACGTGGATTCCTGGACAACTCCGAATGTTTCCAAAACTATTTATGGTTGCGGTTATTGCCAAATAGTTACTTATACTATTTAAAAGTTGACAAATTTAATTCATTTTTAATTGTCAAACAAGTGTAGTTACACAGTAGTATTAGTTCTGAAATAACTATACATTAAAACGGGAGGAAAATAAAAATAACAACTCTTATAGATATAAAACATAACCATTTGAATACCAAATACTGTTTCTCATTAATTTGCATAAATTTTAAAAGAAAACTTTAGAGTGGATGCGGACAGAGAAATATTTAAATAGAAAAATATTATGTATGCGCCTAGTTGACCGACGAAATTTTGTGTTGCCATCAAACGTGGGAAAGAAAACTTGGAGCGTGTAGTTATACTTTTGGGTTGGAAATAAAGGTACGTATACAGTATATAGTTCTGAAATATATAAAGTAGCACATTAAAAGTTATAACACATAGATTGCTGTAGCTGAAAAATGAATGTCAGTAATTTTTGTATCCAGCAATTTATTTTGCATCAGTTTTATATTCAGCAAATCAATTGTCTTGTCTTCAGGCTTGCAATTTGTTGGCCAACTGCCATGACTTTCTCGTCCTTCTGCATAACTGCTGCTTGTAAACAAGTTGTTTTCCATCGTTTCTCCCCCTTGTCAATGTTTTCCACTTTGATTGCTTGGGGTTCATTATGACAATCGGCAGATAAATCCGCCTTGATCGATTATTGTTCTTTAATTTTTCCAATTTTCGTAGCCTATCAAAAACATGTTGGTTCTAAAAATTCTTTAATTAGTAACTTTACTAAATAACAAAATATAAAATTTTAAAAAAATTAAGCTGGAAAATATTGTTAGTCCCTGATGAAAGAGCTTAAAAATGTGAAATTTAAAAACCAGATTGTCCGACGAGAATCAATTAGACTTTTCCTTTACGAGTAATTGGTATTTTCCCTCCGGTTCCAAAATCAATGAGTTCTCGTCAACTAGGGGATTGCCTCCCTTTTTTTCTTTCACGCACATTTTGGACAATGTTATGTAACCTTTGGGACACTTACGGGATCGCATGCCTTTATTGGAGCTTACATCTTTTTCTGGGAAATATCCAGTCATAATTTGACGTAATTTGATACAAACTTCTTTGTTGGAAACCAGTAAGAGCCAGCTGAAGGATTGTAGTTGCATATATTATAACCCTTATTTCATATTTTAAGATATCACGTACGTTTGCATTCTACTGGCGCTAATGAAGGGTCTGCTGGTTCACATTTCTGCAATTTAGTGTTCAGAACCGATCCTTCCGGGCAAGCGCCCCAGCTGAGATCGAGGAAACTAAGGACGAAAAAAAAATAAAAATGCCTTTGATCCATTAGAAACTCTAAAACAAAGTGAAGATTTAGAGTGACATTTTACAGATCCTGATGCATGAAAATTTATATTGGCTACGGGTGTTTTTCACAGCACAGAAAAAAATAAATAAATTATTAATTTGTTAATAAAGTTTAAACGTTTACATGAAAGTTTGCAAGAAAACTTGAATTTTGTAAATATAATCTGATCAATGTTATATCCTATTTTAAATACCTAGCCACGTCGATATTTTAATAAAGTCCCTCGGAAACTCTATTTTCAACAAGTATGAAATGTCAATCATAGTTTTTTTTCAGGTACATACGCCCACAGAAAATTGTATGTCATATTATTTAATTATCGGGTGGAACGAGGACGCATATGTTTATATGTAATCGGGGGAGGGATTGGGAGTTCTTCATTCTGTATAGCCAGCTGTATATCCACCTGTCTGTAATTACTTTTACTCAACGCAAAACGAAACGGGGCGGTAAATTTAATTTACCGCTCTATTATCCAATTTGCACACGACAGACGGAAATTCACAGATAATAATAATAAAACTAAAGCGAGGCAAACAAAATCGATAAACATTCAAGAATTTTTAATGCACACGTACAGCCGTTTGCGGATATTTTGACAGCCAATCTTGATTATATTTTGTTGCACTGCTCGCTCGTTAATATTTATTTTTGTGCTGCCTGAATGCATAAATGTAATGAAAAGTTGTGCTCTTTCAATGGGTATTGATTGGTCAGCAAACAATTCACATACAATAGAGGTGTTTGTTTTCCGCTCACTGCAAAGTCTGCTAAAAATAAAGTGGCTTCAATGATTAATGAAAATTCATAAGAAAAACCAACCCTTTTTTACCTTCAATATTGAAGACACATCTTGAACTTTATAAGAGTTTTGATTAAGGCACAAATTGCTGACCATTTTGAACATATCGAAACATGTCGATAAAGGGACGTATACAAAAACCCCAAAAGGTTTCGCAACACCATTTCCCCAAAAGTATCACTTTGTTTTGCCAGGGAAAACCCAACTCAACCCAACAGAATGGCATTTAATTTTTCACATTTTTTGCCTCCTTTTTATTTGTCTGGAAATCCTTTTATTTGTGTAAATGTTATAAATTATGTTTATGCTTTTGTGGGCTTACTCCTGGCTCAACCTAAAAATTAGTTGTCATTACTTTTAATAGTCTCGCCTCACCTTTTTTTTATAGTTATTAATGCTGCAGACCCTAATGGTCTTTTTGGGTTCATTAAGTCCGAAAGGAGTGAGGTCCATTGTCTGGCTATGAGCCGAAGTAATATTTTATACACTTTTTTGTCATTGGGTTCCACTGCTTACCCAACGGACATTTACCATACCCACCGACGGCTTCGCAAATCATAATCAATACTACAATAATGGGAGAAAGTTCCATTTCGAGTGAGCCATTTTCCAATTCTGTGCCCCACTCGCCACAACTTTATTGATTAGCCAAGGTTTGGGCCGTTCAGCTCCGAGGCGATTGTCACACAACTGCCAGGTTCCTTCGTCCCAGAGGGAGTAGTCCGAAATGAAAGTGACAAATTACTGCGCCACCACACCTGTGGCAATCGAAGAAGTAAAAATGAAAATTTAGCCACCAACACGTTATTGGCCGCAGGCCCAGTCCATTGATTGCGTTCCATGATAAAATAGGGTTCTTGGTGATATTTGAAAATGGATTGGGTACTTTAATTCAAATTACTCATTACTTAATATATATGGTTAAAGCTTTTAAAGTCTTACCCCAAAAAACGCCATTAGTTTTGTATAATTTTGTATTTTTTACCTGTAGTAACGCTTACTGATATTTTTAGTGGCATCAAAATTCATTTCAGGTTAAAACTGAAAGAATGTTAGAAAGTCTGTTTGACTTCTGGTAAAAATCGAATTATATAATTTATGTGGCCTACTCTCAAGTTTCCAATGCAACGCCCTCAGGCCTTTAATATTCTGCTGGTTCTTTTCACCTTAATGCCGACACAGTTAACAATTTCAACAAAAACTCGTGCGCCAACGGGGCGTATAAATGATACGCGCCTTAAACAAACTTTTTCTACAATGTTTCAAGGCAAAACTTTATTTTGAAAATTCTGAGTATAACAATAAAAGGGGAAGAATAGACTTTAACACATTCTCAAAACAAAATAACCAATAGAATTAAAATAGCTACCCAGACTTTAACAAAAAATCAAAATTTATTTTCGAGTTTTGTCGTCACCATGGAGATGCAAATAGGTCGAGTTTAACATATCTAAGCCTTTAAGACTTTTCCTGCCTCTTCAGATATTCCTAATCTTTGCGGAATTCGTATATAAACACCTTGCAGCGAGAAAACAACTTAAACACCGCTTAATGGGACTCAGCCTGGCTCGGCGAAAGTCAATTCAATTTGCATAATTTCCGTATTAATAGCACTGGATGGCACCACAAAGGAGACACAAAACTCAGTCGATGGAAGTGTCACTCTTTGCCCTCTCTGTGACTGTCTGGCTGGCATTCTGGATGTATCCTGGATATTCTTCCCTTTCGATGGACCATCGTGTAGCCACGGGTACACAGAGACGGAAGGACACTGTCGCTGTTTATGACAGCTGTGATTGAGGCCATCATTGACAGCGTTAGCTGCTCGCTGGAAATGGCCAGTTGGCGGTACAATCACAATCGCATGGGTTGACCCACCGCTAATGGAGAAATGGGTGCAATCGTGGCTTTTCAGAAATTAGTGGTTACACAGAGAGATTTTTTGTTAAGAAGCTAAATCATATTTAGGTCCCCACGAAAAAACTACTGAATCATAAAATTTAATTAACTTTTCTGGAGCTAATCAACGATACTTTATATATCCTATTAACTCTAGATTATTCTAGCTTTAATACATTATACGATTTTAATTGATATATTTACCAGTATTAAACATTTTATTTCAGACACTATAATAAAAATGGATCTTTTCTAATACCAAAGTAGATATCAGTAAAACACTCTTCTTAACTACAAATTTATTCATAAAATTCTTTTTTTCTTTGCCAATATACTTCCAAGCGAAAAATCTCTATAACGTCTCAAACTACTATGCTCAAGAAGATGGCTTTTGAGCCCCGCCTAATAAGCTGACAAATTGGAATGTAAATCATGAATCCGCACAGATGGCTCAGCACCTACATTGTGCTCGTTCGAGGTGTAATAAAGCAATCTGTGGGATATCGGGCCGACAAACTACTTGGCACTTTTTTTTTGCTCCTCCGCCAGAACAATCCTGCAGGGTGCACCCAAAGGTGCTGACACACAGGCTCACCTATGACAAACATGTCTTATCAACATTTATGGCACTTTTATGAGGCGCTGGCACACTCACGTGCCCGTTAAACTTTGGCGTGAGTTCTGCGAGATTCATTGGAGCGCAAAATGGAGCAATAATCCTGGCAAAGTTTGCAGGTAAAAATGCGATGCCGAAGGGAAAGCACTTGCATAATAAATAGCTGCAGTCGTTGACGGAGTGTGGGTCAATCGTTAATTTAACACACTATGTCCTTTTCACTTCGTCTGTTTAATTTAACTGGTCATTAAATTATTGAATCGCCATATAGATATACGCCTAGTCTGATTTTACCCTTGCCCACTCAGCATCATGATTATCCACGATGACGGCGCACATCTGAGTTCTGTTGGGACATAAAAAAATGCCATGTTTAACATACATCAAGGCTGGGCAACAAAAAACGTTAATACATTTCCTGAAACAGGGTGCCTTTCAAGAAATACAGAAGTTAAGTAAATAAATAAACGCGTAACTCATTAAAAATTCAAATGGTTCACCTTTAATTACATGTAAGCTGGTACGTACATACCTCTTAACTCCATTTAAATATTGATTTACAGATTACCCTGTTTTACTGCCAATTTCAATTGCCCTGCTATCATTTCTCATGGCCGGGGAACGTTGCAAAACCTTTAAATATTTGATAGAGCAAATAATTTGATTGCAACCCGGCACTGGACAGAGATATTTTGTATTCGGTTTTAAGTTGAAAAGGTAGCACGACCAGGTGGATATTCCCCTCAGCGCCATGCCTAATGAACTGGACATTGCTATGTACAGGAGTGTCTTTTAATTTCCTCTGTGGACTGGTCATCGCGTCCTACGGGCATTTATGGCACTCATCTGGTAATCAATGTAATAATTGCCAAGTGCCTTGATTACTGAACCGTTGCATTTTGGTTTCGCCGGAATTGTAGCTTTAATTATGTGGAGCCGTCCACTAATGAGTCGCTCAGCTCGTCGACGGAGATGGGTCCTAATTAGTTGGTTGGTTGCTAGGTGGGAACTCTCGAGCGCAGCCAATCGACGAGGTTAAATGGAGCTAAAGCCAAAGCAAAAGGTTAACGGATGGCAAACGGTGGTCATTAAGCCAGATCCAGTTGGCTGCGGATGGAGAAAAAAATCTGATCAAGCTAATGTAATATCGACAAATCATTACGATTTCTCTTTATATTTAACCATTAACTTAACAACCACAAAATAATGTACCTACATAAAAGGTTTTATAGTTTTTCTTATTGAACCTGTTTAATATTAATAAGGTAAATGAAAAGACACAACGAAGACCGTTTTTAATTTTAATAAGAGTTTTTATCCTTTAATAAAATTTTGTTGTTTTCAAAATATTCTTTAAGCCTGCATAAACTGTTAAAGAGCCTAAATGTTTTGGCATTCCGAAAGAAAAGTTTTACTGCCATTTTTTTTTTAGCAAAACATTTATCTTCTTACCTGATTTAAGGACAAAAATCTTTATTTTCAACTAAGTCCCCCACGTGCTATTATCCCAGGCACATTTATCTCACAGGGAATCGTATGTAAATCTAACTGAAGACCTATTGCATAACTTGTCACAAATTCGTCGGCAATCTGAACAAATGCCGCCTGCTTATGCTAATGTCTTTCTCATGTCCCGAGGCGAGACTCAAACAGATAACCGCAGTCACAAACGCCAGTTGTTACCTTAGTCGAAAGTCAGGCTTCGCGAATCTGGTCCAATGCAAGACAAAAGGTCAAATGTCAAGTAGAAAATATGCTAAATATGCATAGGGCTATCAAGAAGATAGGAAGAAAGGGGTAGAGAAATAGGGGATTTTGTTTGCGCAACAACAAACCGCTCAAGCCTTAAGCCAAGCTATATGCTTTCCGTCAATAAGATCAGGTAAGTATATACTTATAGTACACAAAGGTAGTGTGGGGAAAACTCCGGAGACAACCGAAGGTGCAAACAAGGAAACTAATTGAATTTATGCTAATTAGCCCACCGTGCATGGGGCATGCAGCGTTAATTATGGCAGCCTCGGCATACGGGGCGTATGCGTAATGTAAATGAAATTCTAATCAATTGCTTGGCAAATTTGCATAATGACCATGAAGTCGGCCCAAGCAGAGCAAGCTAAGCAGGCCAGCACACATTATCAATCACTAATCGATGAAATCGATAAGGTTAAACGTAAACACGCAAAAGGGAGAAAGCAGTGCCCCATTTTCCAAAGCATTTTCTGTCTAATTAGGCAAAGCGTTGTCTCTCCTCCGTGCTTAGTTACGAATTCATCGGGTTTCCATCTGATTGATTCACAGTCATATATTGCGCTTCAGACTGCAGTTTTTGGGTTCGCAACCTTCTGCCTTTTTTTCCTCCCCCCACCTCACATTGTCGCCCCGTGGGAACCCTTCAATCATTTTTATTTCATGATTTATTCATCTAGACACTCGGAATGCTTTTCGCTCGGCTGGATCTGCGGCAGCCGCAACATTTTAATGGCATTTTTAGCCAGCAAAGTGCGCACATGGTTATATCCTTATCTGCCGGCTTGGGACCGGGAACAGTTGGCAATTTTTATTTTCTGTCCCGTAGCATCGCGTTTTTCGGGACTTTTAAAAAGTTGCCCATCTTTAATTGCAATTGCAATTTTATGTTGTAATTTTTCTGTCCTCCAAAGGCCTCGGGCAATGGGCAATGGAATTGAGTGTAGGAGAAATTCCTTTTAGAGAGGCCTCAGGTGTTTGGAAGGTACATATACTGAAACGAAGGACTTCTTCACGAGCTAGGTCAAATCTCATAGGGAGCATTTGCAGGGCAAAATTGGCAAAATGTAAGTAAACGTCGGAGAGATAAATATTATTTTAAAAGAATAAATATTTACATTTATTATTTGTTGTACACAAATTTTCTACCCGACCTAAACTAGCCCATTAGAACTTCCCTCTCTAAACAAACCCGCACCAAGTTACCCAACAATTCGTTACAGTTTCACTCATGAAGCTACAGAGCACTAAATTTAGACAAGGGAACATTGGGAATGAAATACAGTAGTAATTTTAACTGCTCCAATGTTAAAACGTGACTCACTCAAAATTGAGCGAACAAAATAACCACGGCAGTCAACTGGTAACCCAAAGACCTAAATTAAACAGCTAAAAAGCTTCTCGAAAGCTTTAAACCAGGATGCTGAAGCTGCGAACAAATACCTATTATTTTTAGGTGGGAAAATATCATAGTTAGTTTTTAGAGTTAAACAGTTCGTTGCATTATTTATTACTTATACAAACAAATGTAACTTTGATTTTTGTGCATCGATATACAGATAGATACCCTATTCTGCATTAATTACATACATACACACTGGTATATACACGGATTTACATAACTTAAAGCTTGCAATAATTAGGCTAACTGGTTCTAAATCAATTCTGCTTATCCTATCAGATGAGCCGAGGGCCCTCAAGCGTTTAAGCTAATCAGTGCAGATCGGAATCGTCCACGCGAACTGGCTTGCGTGACAAATAAAGAACAATGATGGTGGTCAATGCGCTGACCAGGAATATGACGTCGAACCAACGATGATAGAAGTTGAAGTGCAGATTTCCCAGAACCTCGGTAATGATCACCCTGTACTCGGCTGGCATGTTCATGCGCATGAGCAGCACAGAGGAACAAAAGTACATTCCCATTATCTGACCCAAGATCAGCACGATAATGTTGCTCGACTTGCTCGATGAAATGCGGTAGAAGAACTGTAAAATATTAAAATTAGCTCAGGAAAAGTAAAAACAAAATTTAAAAAGTTAACACACCTTCGTGAGCGTCAGCAGCAACCCTCTTATGGATGTGACCACAATGCAGCCAACGAGCAAAAATGATATATGCTGATTCCAAAAGGCAAAGTCTATGTCAAAACCGCACCAATGTATGGCAATCTCTAGGCCACGTGTCACTGGATCCTTGCGGCCAACTCTATCGAAGATGATGTTGATGCAACACTATTAACAATAGAAATTAATAATAATTTTGTTATCTAGGTATGCGGCCTACCATAAATATCTTATAGACACAATAAACACTAAAAAAGTGGCCCAGCACATTGAAGTATTTTCCCTTCAATGTTTGCGACCATCTTTGGCGTTCTTCCATGTTTTTTAAAGAACTTAGTTCCAAGAAAACAGAGCGTAACAACTCCTCCAAACCGTAAACTTCTTGTTTTAACTGATTGATGTCTGAAAATTTAAAAAATATTGAATAAAAATAAATACTCAAGAATGGCACCTATGTCAACCTTCGCCATTGCTTGTGTTGCGTTGAACTGCGGAGGTAAGCATATCCCAAATTCTGGGTTTTGCTGGGTGCAGTTTGTTGTGATTATAGACAGCCAGGGAAATCCTCCGCTTCTTGGCCGTCAGCATGTCTACCGTCAGAGCCAGGCGGCGCTCGAAGCAGATGATGTCATTCTTAGACACTGGCCTGCCAAAAAAGGAAAGTAAGTGCATGTCACATTGAGATAAGAGGAAGTTTTATAGCAATTCGATTACTTGATGAAATAGGCCATGCTTGTGTATGGATAGTTAACGGCACCGAAGCCAGAGAGAATGGCCATTACGGTGACCCCAATCACACTTATCCGGGAAACGCCCTGTTCGATCGTAAAGATGCCATGGGAGGCGCTTAGCAAGGGAAATGGCTCCCCAATCCGCCAAAGTCCGTAAAGAAAGACGAACCAACAGAATGTGGTCAGAATTCTGACCCATCTATCGGAAACTAAGAAGACGGGATATAGTTACTTGCCTTTTTCATAATAAAATGGTATACTTACAGATCGAAATGCTGTGTATCACAGAGTAGCAAATGTAAATAGGTATCACAGCCGTCGTCATAAACAGCAGCAATGTAAGACCCAGTCGCCAATGGAAGTACCGCGAACTGGACTCCAGGACGTCGATGATTTCGAATATGATCAACTCGAACATGGTTATGGATAATGCGAATGTGGATGAAAAGATCAACTGAACGGATATGTGTCGAATCTCATAGTGCTTGAAGAGTTCCTTGTTGAAAAACAACCAGCCGCCGGCGAAGAATACCATCTGCAATTGGGTAAAATGGAAGTTACTCTAATTCACATATCCAAATTGAGACTCCCACTTGCCTGCGACACAAATACGATCACACAGTCGCCAAGGAAGGCCATTTTAGAGGTCGTCTCTCTTCAACACGGATATGTAAACTACTTTTCGGATTGCCTAGTCACTGGCATTGCTTAGTTAAACTAATAAACGTTTAAAACAATTGTTCTTAGAACTGAAAATGCCAGCAAGCAAATATAAACAAAAAAGCCGAATGCCATACAATCGATATTTCGATAGCATTCGAGGGAGGACTTAGTATGTAAACCTAAAAAATACTATTTGGTATTTTTTAAAGCGAAGGGCAGCGCTGCGACTTTAACTTTTTTTTAGTGCTAGAGCTTACGTTTCTAATTGTATAGCATAAAACGTAATCTAAATACTCTCTTTTGTATTAATCCAGCATTTTAAATACTTGTAACTTGTTTTAATAACACATAATAGCGTTAGAAATTTTTAAGTAGAAATGCAAGTTTTGTTATTTAGCTATCTTTTTTTAGCTACACTATTTTGGCTGCAAAAATCGACAGCACTGGTGGACGAGCTGGCTGATTGGACAATGTTTATCAAATGATTACCTGCTGGATGCGTACCCGGATGCTTGAAAATATCTCAGGGAAGCGGAAAGGACAGCGATGGCTTGCTATTATCGCCAGCACGAGGACACGACGGTGACGGTTCCGAAATTCACCAATGAAAACTCCAGCGGCGGGGTGACCTACTACGACATAAAGTTACGGGTGGGAAAGGTGGAGTGGCTGGTGGAGCGGCGCTACAGAGATTTTGCCCAGCTCCACGAGAAGCTGGTGGGCGAGATATCTATCAGCAAGAAGCTGCTGCCGCCGAAGAAGGTACATACATACGCCCCCAATGAAGTTACTCAATCTGTATGATTAATACCCTATTTTCAGCTTGTCGGAAATAGACAGCCCGCTTTTCTGGAACAGCGGAGGGAACAGCTGGAAACATATCTCCAGGAGCTGCTCATCTACTTCCGCACGGAACTTCCCCGGGCTCTGGCCGAGTTCCTGGATTTTAACAAGTACGACATCATTTACCTGCTGCAAGACCTAGCTAAACTCTTCAACGAGAGTGGAGATGCACTGCTCAGCTCCAAGAAGGAGTACAACCTTTCAGCCCTGGAGGTAAGTTATTACCTTTGAATTTAATGTTTAGCTGTTTCCTTCGCTTACACTGAAATATGTCAAAATTATTAGTATTTAGTTTGATCCAAGCTAGCCAATCGCAGCTTAGCAATATCTTCAGCCACCTGGTCAAAGGTAGAGGCATAAGCTATTCCCTGGGTACGCTTCACAAACACCACACTAGTTTCTCTGCAGAGCTGGAAAGGACTATTAATTCAGAGATAAATTTTGAAAATATCAAGTACCTCTACAAGTATGTGAAACAGCATAGTAAATGGTATCAGGAGAATGACTGTATAAATCGACATTACTTCAACTATTTGTTGCTGGATCCACGGGTTACCAATAATCTGAGGGAACGGGCAAGAAATCTTCATAAAATCGATGTTTGGTACACTTTCCTTCGAGCCATTTTCTACGTAGGAAAAGGCAAGGCCACTCGCCCTTATGTTCATCTTAAAAGAGCCCAGAAATCGATGGATGAAGTAAACAGCTTTACGTTAGTCAAGGACCCCAAATTAGCCTTAATAGTGTCGATTTGGAGGGCCAAACGTGGGGTCTTATTACTACAGACATTCCGAGGCATCTCGTCACAAGATGCGCAAACTCGTGAGGCTTCTATTATCGATGCTCTCAGTATGAATCACTTGACCAACCGGCGGTTGGGTGTTTACTGCGGTCAAGCTCGAAGTAGTTTATCAAATAAGGAGCGAAAGTATCTGGGAATAGCTTTGCTCTATAAACTGATGGGAAAATTCTTAGCAACCGAAGAGAGTGAACTGTATCCTTTAAAGAACACGAAAACTGTTGAGGACAAGAATGCAATGGAAGCATAAAATAAATTTTAAAATATCCACTTACTGTTTTTCTTTTTACTCCCCTTCCACAGGTCTTTGCTATAAGTGAGCGGCTAAGTCTTCCTTGTCCGCCGAGTCTGGATCGTGGTGGCAAATTTGACTTCTCGCACGTCCTGGACTTTTGCACACAGCTTGTGGCTTTGGTGGTGACTCCGGTAAAGGACAACGCCAGCTATGCCCAGGACTACAATACCGTGGATGTGCCCATCGGACGAAGCAATATCATTCCAAATAGACTAAACTTTAATCTAAATGCCTTTCGCAATCTCAAGACGCTAAAGTTCTCGGCCTTGTCCACGGAAAACATTGTGGATATCGAGCTTCTCAAGCCAACTCTCCAGACAATCTGTGTCCATAACACAACCATACAGAGTATAAACCAAGTGCTGCTCTGCGACAATCTCCACAAGAACTGTGATGTGCCAAGCCTTTTGCCAGAGGCAATCATTGCATCCTCCTCCGGTTCCGGTTCCTCCACTTCGAATGGTAGTGTCTTGGTCAGTGCGGATGCCTGGCAAGAAATTACCGAACTGGATCTGACAGGCAATCTGCTAACCCAAATCGATAGCAGTGTAAGAACAGCTCCGAAACTAAAGCGCCTGATCCTCGAGCAAAATCGAATACGGACCGTCCAAAATTTAGCCGAGCTTCCCCATCTTCAGCTGCTTTCGTTGTCAGGAAATCTCATAGCAGAGTGCGTGGACTGGCACCTGACGATGGGAAATCTTGTCACTTTAAAGCTGGCGCAGAATAAAATCAAGACTCTGAGTGGCCTGCGGAAGTTGCTTTCACTGGTAAACCTGGATCTGAGCTCCAATCAGATCGAAGAGCTCGACGAAGTCGATTTTGTCGCAAATCTTCCACTGCTAGAAACTCTTCGGCTAACTGGCAATCCCCTGGCGAGCAGTGTGGGTGAGTTTTAACATTCGTATAAATATTACCTATTTCAAAATTTAATTTGCATAATTTCCTTTAGACTATCGAGCCCGTGTCTTGGCCAGATTCCACGAACGTGCTGCTGAAATATCTCTAGACAATGAACCTGGAAATCAACAAGAGTTGGATACCGCTCTGGTTTTGTCTGCTCTACTGCAATCTAAGCAACGACAACAACAGAAATTATAATTCTTGGGGTTCTTGATTCCATAACTTCAAAAATCTTTCCAAGGAAGTTTATACCATTTTGTTTCAAAAGTATTAATGGTTGACTTTTTCTTGCGATACCCCTAAACAAATATTCTTATGTAAAGGTTGTGGACTTTTAACAATTTCAAGATTTCGTACAATGATGTTTCCTTGTTTAGTCGTAATTTTAATTTATTTTCACGTGTTTTGTATATTCCCACACGTTTTTAGCAAAACTTTAAATATGTTTATTCTTTTTTGTCCACCCGACGTGCAATAAATCAATGCTCACCTCCAAATAAATAATTAAGAAAATAAAATTAATTATCCCCATAATTATTGCTGCGATTTAATTCAAGAACTTTACATCGGAAAAAACCATTTGTGTTTTCTCTGACTCAGCTCGCGTTTGGATGTTGTGGATAAAATTAGATTAGTAACGGCTATATCTCTCAAGCCGATCTAAAATTCAATGTCATGTCTTCAACATTTTTGTAAGTATGCAAAACAGAGAATAAAAAGGTAAAAATAACTGAAATGCAGATTATATATATATAATAATTACAACCAATTTTGATACACAGTATACACTTCTCATAAAAAGTTACGTTCTTTTCCACAATATTTCAGAAGACATGAAATTAAAAGTTCAATTGTTCTTTAAAATATAGCAAAAATGTACTTTGAATTTAAATTTAAAATATGTTTTAAATTCAAACACAAATGGGTCTTAAGTTAATACTTTCAACTATTTCCGATGCGTACTTTTAGAACCCGAAATAAAAATAACGGTTAGACTCAAAAACACTAAAAATGTAGCACACTGTAATTTTCCCTCTTTTCTGATCATTGATAAGGCCAATCAACCGTGATTATATTTAATCATTTCAATTATAGCCTTCCTTATAAGTCTGATGCAAGGACATCGAAAACTCATAGCAAAATCAACCACAATGCGCACAGTTCTGGTTCTCCTGGTGCTTATTTCCACTCGTGTCCAGTTGCAACTCATCCAAGGAGGTCACAACATAACTTTCGTGAAATCTGTCTTGACAATAATAAGCAGACGGGAGCATTGGAAAAACACCCCCATCTTTATAGGGAGCAATACGAATGCGGATGAGCTGAATAGTCTTATCATTTGGCTGCAACATACGATGAAAGTAACTTATCACACGGTGGATACATCTGGACCAGCCCAAAACGAGTATCCTCTGGGTCACTACAACATAAATGCTGACAATTCGGTTAGTTTGCTCTTTTGCCACAGCACTGAGGAGTTGATTTGGTTTAATCTGGACAGGGGTCTTCGAAAATTGCGTCATATTCGACTGATTGTCGTTTTGCCCACCAACCGAAATGATTCTTACAATGCCATAAAGGATGTATTTAAGACCCTGTGGCATTTTCAGTTCCTTAACGTTCTTGTGCTGCACCAGGACCAGATATACTCATACACTCCATATCCGGTGGTAAGTTTCTATAAGCTGGACCTTAACTCAGATCCGCTATTCCCTCCAAGTACTCAGGATTTTCAGGGGTATGTGGTGTCCACCCCAGTGGAGAATGATATTCCGCGAGTGTTTTTTGTGCGGGATCAGAAAACTGGATACAAGCAAATTAGAGGATTTGGATATCGCACATTTGTGGAGTATCTTGCTCGGCACAATGCATCGTTGCACGTGAGTAATCCCCACCAGGATCATTCCACCACCAGCAGTGTGAATATGGGAAAAATAATACAGCAGATATGGGATGGCCAATTGGAGATCTCCTTGCATCCATATGTGGACGTGCCGGAGAATAAAGGAGACCATAGCTATCCATTGCTGGTGGCCACCAATTGCCTAATAGTTCCAGTAAGGAACGAGATAGCCCGCCACATGTATCTTCTGCTGCCTCTCAACCAGTGGAGCTGGGTAATTCTGCTCGGCTCTGTTATCTATATCAGCGGAGTACTATACTGGATTCAGCCTGGATCGGAACATTGCAGCTGGGATCAACGGATTAGCTTAAACTTTCTGGAAAGCATCAGCCGAATAATATATATATGCTCCTCTTCAAGGGTTTACAACCCATCCCTGAGGTACTTTTTGGTTTCTTTTAAGCTGGCTATTCTGGGATTTGTGGTTACCAACCTGTACAGCATTCAGTTAGCCAGCTTCTTCACCACTCTGGTAATGGGTGAGCAGGTGGACAGCATGGAACAGCTCATTCAGCAACAGCAAAAAGTACTGGTGAAGTATTACGAGGTCAACACTATCCTGCGCCATGTGAAACCGCATTTGGTCAATGGAACAGCCCCACTTTTAGTGGGCGTGAATGCCAGTGAGCAGGTATCCGCTCTTTTGGCATTCAATCGCAGCTACGCCTATCCTTTCACCCTGGAACGCTGGGAGTTTTTCTCGCTGCAGCAACAATACGCCTTCAAACCTATCTTCAGGTTCTCATCCGCATGCCTAGGATCCCCAATAATAGGTTATCCGATGCGACGGGACTGCCATCTGCAGTGGTCCCTTAACATATTCATCATGAGAATCCAGGCGACAGGATTGCTGCAACATTGGTTCGTATCCGATTTCAACGATGCAATGCGCGCTGGTTACGTTAGACTTCTGGACAACAAGCTTGGGTTCCATTCCCTGGATATCGATTATTTGCGTCTGGGGTGGGCAGTCCTTGCCTGTGGATGGCTATTGTCCGCTATGGTTTTCCTGTGCGAACGCTGGAGGATTTGCCATCGTCACTAATTTATCTAATTCACATTATAATAACCTCATTAAATTCCTTATCTAATGGTAATTTAACTATTCCAACAATTTTATATATACCAATTACTGCAAATGGATTAAGAATAAATGCCATAAAATGAGTATTAATCTTTGTATATTAATTTGACCAGTTAATGTAATTACCAATGTATACATCTTGATCTTAATTAAAAGACCAATTATTACTTGGAATTTCAAACTCATTAATTAAAAGCCAAATTTAAGGACAAGTAGATTTATTAAAATTACAATGTATTTGCGTCATTTACAAATGATTAGTTTTTAATATCCAAATGATTTATAATATATTAAAGATATTAAAAATGTAAAGATAAAGATCCCATTGGAGAGGAATGGTTACACCGAGATAAATGGATATTTCTTGCGGAAATGCGTAAATCCGGTATAATCGACCTTTGTGCAATTGAGATTTCATTCAAGATGTTAGTTAATGTCAAAAGTGCTTATTTTTCATTGCTTAAAAAGATCCTATACAATTTTAACTGCCTTCATATTGTATTGTTCGTGTTTAGATATTGCCGTGTTGATTTCAGTTGCTATATTAAATCCGGGATATGGCCGATGTGCGATCAGAATGTTTGGGATGAACTCCAACTAGTAGTTCTGCCAGTGGAGGGTGTAGTCGCGTGATTTTAACTTTCCATGTGGCTTGTATCATTGAGGGTGATGATGGTGCTGGGCGTGATAGTGCTGCTGCTCGGCGGCGGCCACTGCATCAAACATTGGTGTGTGGACCTCGCCCAGAAACTGTGGCGTGGGCGGAGCATTTGGCTCGGACAGCTCGCCAATCAACGGCATGTCAATATCCGTGGCCAAAGAGCTCTGGCCGTAGTTGCTCAAGCCATAGGGTTGCTGCTGCTGGTGCTGTTGCACCACCGAGACTTGGGCGTAATCCGGAGTGGCCTGGACCTGCTGCTGGGGATCCAGCATGACGGGGGCAGCCTCCATTTCGCCGAATTGTATTGGACCGGGCTGCTGCACGGGCATGCTCTGATGAACCGGAAGATTCTGCACGGGCTCATGCTCCACTGGTGCCGACAAGTACTCCTGTTGAAGCTCCGCTTGGGGCTCAACCTGCTGATCCGGCTCCTGCATCTGTTGCTGGTGCTCTACTTCCTGATGATGCTGCTGCAACTGCTGATCTTCCGGCGGCGGCAATATATCGGAGTTGTGGTCGGGGACATCTTCGGCAGCATCGCCAATTTCTGCACCTTCGCCCGAGGTTTCGCCATCGCGTCGCACCAAACCCAACATGTCCAGCATATTGCGTTTAACGGCATTCTCATTGGCCGCCTCCAAACTGGGATAGCAGGTGCTAAGTGAACAGTTGGCCAAGTGTTGAGCCATCTTGTTGCCATTGCCGGTGGCAAAACCGCAAATGCAGTGCATCTCCTGCGGCATATTCACCTCCATGGCGTCCACAAAGTTTCCATTGCAATCAACGCCATGACGGAATTGAGCTCGCTCACAACAGGTCTGGTAATTGCACTTAACGCAGTGCAGCCAGCCGCTGAAATATAAAAGAAAAGAACATTTTTGATGAGCGGTTACATACATAATGTGCTCACACCCCCAACAAATTAACTAAAACTTATTACCTCACTTAATTCTGTCGAACTTCCGCGATAAGACCAATCAGGATCCATTAAACTGCATTAAATTAATTAATTTCTAGCTTATAAACGTCTTCCTGGGGTTCTCACCTGTCACAGTCGAATCAAACACCATGTGCAAAGTACTTACGACTCTGTTCCTGTTTGCATTCGTACAGCTAGGAGCTGGCTACAATGTGACTATGCTAAAATCAGTATTAGAAGTCATATCTTCTCGAGAACAGTGGACAAATACAGCAATCTTCGTGGAAGGCAGTACGAAAAGGGATGATCTCAATGGTCTGATCATTTGGCTGCATCAAACAATGGGAGTTACTACCGTAGCAACGGATTCATTTTCACAACCTGAAAAGCTAAGGCCTCTTGGCCATTTTAATCTCACTGAAAACAATGCCATCAGTTTGTTCTTTTGTAATGGAAAACAGGACATTGGATGGTTTACACTGGACAGTAGTCTGAGAAAATTGAGACGAAGTCGTTTGATTGTCTTGCTGACCTTCCAAAGTGATTCCCAAAATGATATTTACTCCATATTCAAAACACTGTTCCACTATCAATTCCTCAAAGTTATTGTCCTGCATAGGGATCAAATTTACTCCTACACTCCATATCCGGCAGTGCGATTCTTTAAGCTCAACATTAATTCGAATCCGCTCTTTCCCCCTGCAACCACGAATTTCCAGGGATATGTGGTGTCAACTCCAGCGGAGAATGATATTCCAAGAGTGTTTCAAGTTCAAGATCCATTAACAAAGCGAAAGCAGATGCGAGGATATGCATATCGTGCCTTTGTAGAGTATTTGCATCATCATAACGCCTCGCTACACTTGACTAACCCCGATGAAGATCTTGGCCCTACAACTAGTGCGAATATAAGCCGGATTATACAGATGATAATAGACGGAAAATTGGAAATCTCCCTGCACCCTTACGTTAGCACCCTGGTCAACACCGTCAAGAGTTATCCGCTACTCATATACCAAACTTGTTTAATTGTGCCAGTTCGAAACGAGATTCCTCGACACATGTATCTACTGCGACCATTCCATCTGAACAGCTGGTATATTCTGTTTTTCGGAGTGATATACATAAGTGGTATTCTCTATTGGCTGACTCCGAGTGTTAGCAGCTGGGCTCAGCGCTTGGGTTTGAGTTTTCTGGATGCCGTAAGCAAAATTATTTACATAAGCTCACCCATAACAATGTACAGACCAACATGGCGCCACTGCGTCGTTTTTATACAACTAACTATCCTGGGATTCATTACTACAAGTTGGTACAACATTGAGTTGGACAGCTTTTTTACCGCCTTGGTAGTGGGGGAGCAAGTCAATAACATCGATCAACTTGTCCAGCAGCAGCAAAGGGTTCTGGTCAAGGACTACGAAGTTAAAACTATTTTACGCCATGTGGAGCCAAGATTAGTGGACAAAGTGATTCCTCTGTTGGTGGCAGTTAACGCCAGTGAGCAGGTATCCGCCCTTCTCAGTTTTAATCGCAGCTACGCCTATCCATTCACCGAAGAACGCTGGGAATTTTTCGCTATGCAACAACAGTATGCATTTAAACCGATATTTCGGTTTTCACCCGCATGCTTGGGATCCCCACAAATTGGTTATCCCATGCGCATTGACAGCCACTTTGAGTCGACCCTCAACATGTTCATAATGATGATTCAGGATACGGGACTGCTGCATCATTGGCTGATCTCGGACTTCAACGATGCAATGCTGGCTGGATACGTGAGGTTTCTAGACAATGTTTTGGGTTTTCAAGCTATCGATCTGAACACTTTGCGATTGGGCTGGTGTGTTTTGGGATTCGGTTGGATATTATCTGCTTTGGTTTTCTCTTGCGAGCGCTGGCACATTTTGCTTAACTTAGCTAATAAATAAATGGTTTAAAGATTTCTTTACTCACGTGTAATGTGTCTCTTCGCTTGCGTAATCAGTGTTGCACTCGGCACAAGTCTTGCCCTCCAGGAAAGCAAAGAATACTGGGCGCTTGTACGTGGAGAACGGCGGCTGCTCTCGGTGGTGTGTGCGAATCTTTGGAGGCGGAATCAACAGTGAGTTGTTGAGCAAGAGTCGCACCGGTTTGTTGGTCTTGATCATGCTGACATGATGCTGCACGGCGTGCTGCTTAAGATCGCCCTTTTCGAGGAAGGTAAGCGAGCACTTTTGACAGCGCAGCGAGGGATCCCGCTTGTTGATGTGCTCGTCTAAATGCAGGAAGTAGTGTTCAATGCGCAGCTGGTTAACAACGCCGCGTTTCGAGAAGTAGAATATCTGAAAGAAGGTACTCACTCTTATAAAGTCTTACACAATCAACTACAATTTAAGGTACTCACATCCAAGCAGTAGGGACACTGCAGGAAGTTCTGGTGCTTGTGGTCGTCGTAGAAATGCCTGACCAGATCGCGGTGTGAGGATGAACGATAACCGCAGGAGTGGCACCAATATGGCAGCTCCAGCGTGCTGTGCGCCTTTTGCAGATGGGCAGTCAGAAGGTGTAGGGAATTGTGACGCTGCTGACAGATTAGGCAATAGTAGGAGGGCGAGCCCTCTGTCTTTGTCTCGGTTGGATGCATGATCTGGTTGTGCTTGGCCAAAACTGACTCCGTGGGGTGCTTCTCCAGGCAGAAAAGACACTGGAACTGATGCTGCTTACCTTCGGGCGAAATATGCGACACCAAGTGCGTCTGCAGCTTCTCGTTGGAATCAAAGGAGTCGCCATTTAGGCAGATCGGACATTCCACCGTCTTGGCCAGATTGTTGTGGGCGGTTCGGGGTGTGCTGTATGGAAACATCTCATAGTACTCGTCCGTGCCATCGCTAATGCCGTAGTACAGTTCCTCTAGGCCCTTAAGATCGTCCACTTCCTTCTTAATAACCACCGGGATGCTTTCTTCCTTCTCCTTTGATTTTTTACCTGGTGTTTTTGCCGCAAGTGCTTTGGCTGCAAATGATTTTGCCAGACCTTTAGATATTGAAGCAGGACCAGAAAACTTGGATGTCGTTGCTTTGTCACCTTTTGGCTGATTGGTACTGCCCGGAGGACGTCCTGGACCCTTCTTAACTGGCATTTGCGGTGGCGGAGTGCTCAGCGCATTTGGTGGACGGCCACGCTTGGCTCCAGTGGGTATAATATCCTTCTCCTTCTTTGGAATTTTTGTAGAGGCAACGTAGTCGGCATCGTTGATGGCTAAAAACATACAATATACCGATTTACAATGAAGTCTTACTTAACTTAACCAAATAGCATAACTTAATTATTATAAAACAGTCTATCGTCCATTTTTGATGTGGAATCTTATTCCAATCAAATTAAATATTACATGTAATTTTGCGTTTTATCACTCCAAATGAAAAAGGAAATCAAATAAAAAGATAGTTCTTAAATTTGTTGCAAGTTTATTGGTCGTTTTCTTAAGAGTGTGCTTTAAAATAAGTTAACACGAAAGATGCCAAACTGTTAAACTTAAATTTTATATTGAGTATAACAATATTACACTCCACTCCCAATGATTATATAAATTCAAAATTCACATAGCACAAATAGAGGATAATAGCTTGGACCTGAGCGCAGCACTTGGCTTAACCGAAATGATCAAACAGAACGAAAACATTTCACTTTGGAGTGAGAAACGCAGGCACTTGCTTAACAGATTATCAATACGCATTATTCTAGTCACGGCCTTAATTAAAACTGGGTAGAAAAGTACGAAACTACTAACGTTTCTTCAGGCGCTTGGGAGCCGCATTGGCCGGGGTCTCCTTGTAGTTGGCGGGCAAAACACTCCAGTCCTTGAACGGATTGGTGGCCACCTAAACGGAAAAGGTATTGAGTGATTGTTGGCCAGCCTGTCTTTTTCTGCTTACCTGATACAGACGCTGGGTAATGGTCTCATTGGTGGTGACCCTCGTCTGCTCGGCGATATGTATAATAATGTTGTTGAATGCCTGCAGGGCATAGGTGCCAAATGATTCCCGCCAGACTAGCTCGTCAAGGAATTGCTGGATCATCTGTCGCGAGAGCAGCGATAGTGTGTTCTGGAACATGCGCGGCACAATCCGGCGCAAGTACTCCATCACAGCAGAGTTATTGTGCTTGGCTGTGTTGTCAGTGGCGGCTGCCTGGACGATATTTTTGAATCCCATGCTGAACAGGGTGATCTTGTCCACGGTCAAATCAATGCAAATGGTGCTGTCCTTGTGCACCCAGCGCGAAAGTGGCTCCAGAATAGCCTGGAATCGCTTCTTGTAGTTGCGATCGCCATCGGTGATGGGCTCCACGGCACGCAGTCGAATGGATTTCTCCGCGTAGTCATAGACGCCAAGAACCTCCACCTTAACCTGGCGCTGCGATCCGTCTTGCGATGTGGTGCCCAGGGAAATGACGCCAACCTTTATTTAGAAAGTGAAGACTGTGATTAAAGACTCTTTTATATTACCAACTAATTGTTACCTCTACAAACTTGCCAGGGCCGCCTAACTTCTTGCACTTTTGATGCACTGCCAAGGTGCAAATGGCTCTTAGCCAGGTGTAGATTCCCTTGATGTAAACACTGTCTACCTTGACCCACTGCACCACATTCTGTATGCTGGTCTGGCAGGCCCAATGATATATCAGTTTCAGCAGGAATGTGGGCGGGTGCTGGGCTCCTTCAAAAATTGAATTATTGAATACCGACACGAAACGGTAGGGGCAGCATTCGCTGATCCAGACATAGCCACCGGTATACGGGAATTTGGTCACATCCGAATATATGCCTATATGAAAAAATAATCAATTAGTATAAAGTTTAATGGTAATAAGAGGTCCTAAACGACTCACCTAACTTCAGCTCGTTGTTTCGATGATTGATGCAATGTTGTTGGGCGCGGAGGAGTCCCTCCTGGAGCAGCCACTCGCAGAACTTATTGGGCGTCAGCATGAGCACCAGTTTGACCTTTGAGTCCAGCTTGCTACGTGTTGCAGCCATGTCCTTGATCTTGAGGAACGGCTTGGCAAGCACAACAAGTGACGGGTATGTCTTGCCCTGCATTTTGTTGTCCTTGCTCTCCTTGCCGTCCTTGCTGTCCTTGCTTTCATCAGTGCTACCAACGACCAGGCCACCCACTGAGTTGACCTCGGCGGGGCGGTAGTTCTTGGGCGGCGACTCTATGTCAGGCTTGGGTTCCTTGGGCATTTTTCCGCTGCTCTTGGGGAGCGGTGAAGATTTGCCAGAGGAACTGCCCGCAGAGACTGCCTTCTTGCCCAGTTTCGGAGAAGATGTGGAGGATGCATTGGCCACGGCCACGGCTTTTTTGCCCACCGACAGGGCCAATCGCTTGGCCAGCGGGACATCGTCGTCGCCCTCGTCAGACGACTCCAGGTAGGCGATGTTAGAGGGCTGGCGCGGTGGTCGGCCACGCCCCCGTCCAGTGCCAGTCACTGGGGTAACAGGCGCAAGAGGGGGATCCGCCGCCTTGGGCGGCTTTTTGGGAAGCGTGGCCTCCTTGAGCTCCTGCAGCACCTTGCCTTTGAAGGAGTATGCCTGGAACACCTGGCCGCTGAAGAGTTCCTTGCCCTCGTTGGCGCTCACCGCGTTCTTGAGCGCTCCCTTAACCGCATTGTGCTCGTTGGTGATCTTCTCGTAGTACGCCAACTGTGCCGGCGACAGTTCCTCCACCCAGAACTCCATGTCCAGCGAGATTTCACTTCTCGTTACGCGCGTCATCTTGGGGCTAACTAATTACCCGACCACTGGGCCAGCGAAGGCGTTATTTTAAATCAATTTAGCGGTGAAAGAATTTTTTCTTCGCTCGAATTAGCTTTTTTTGCGTGGATGTACCTGCCAGAGTGCACAATCATCGATGACACTATCGATATTATCGGCTTGGGTCTGGCCAATCGTCGGTATGCCGATAGTATAAAAATAAATATACAAGAAATTTGTTCGATTGTTTCAGGTATTAAATAAAATTTAAGGATCGGAAAGGTCTTAAAAATGAGCTAATTATTTGAATATAAATATATTTTAAGAGGTCTAATACATTAAAAAATTTAGATATTTCTGAAAATATTATTATTATTGCTTTTGTAAATGGCGTGCATATTTTCTTTTTTTTTTTTAGTGATTTTGAGCAATAATATTGCAATAGTATCGATTTTCTATGATAGTATTACAGACCTATCGATGTTTTTGGAAACTATGACAGCCCTTTATGAGTGCGCGTAACTTAAAGAATTTTCAGAAGTCTAATCAAAAAGCCTTGGAAGAAGCACTAAATGTATACTCAAGTTATAGTTTACGGAGTAAAAGAGTAAATTAAAAAAAAAAATATTGAAGAGTTTTTTTATCTCATGTTATATTTTATTTGTCTTATACTAAACTTTTAATTTAAGGTACCAAAATATGGCACTGGGTACAAAGCTAATTGCGTTGCTTAGTCACATTGAAGTGACCAATTAAATTTGAATTTATGACCACTCCAAATTGTCGGCTCCTTAAGCCCCCGATTAAGTAGTCACCCAGTGGAACTTTTTTATCACAATGTCACGTGGCTTTATTTGCAGCACACGTTTATGCATTATTAATGTCATCAATAACCCGATCATAAAGAATTTCCTTGATATTCAGTCCCCACAAGAAATCGATGTGGTTAAATTTTTCCTCCGGCAGACGGTATGCGCTTTTCAGGGCACTCGGATTCATGGTGTAACGGAGGCGATCCACGTCGATCAGACTGGCGAAGTAGTCATTGTCACTGTAGTACAGATAGGTGGGCACCTCGATGCCCTCCACGTCGTACTCTGGCGGAGTCTTGCTGCTGTACTCCTTCTTGTTCCGCGTCGAGCCGTAGTCGAACTGCCGGAAATATCCGGAGTTGTATTCCTGCAGGTAGTGGAAGATCTGATTGACCGAACAGCCCGCAGGCGTGGTGGCCATAATTTCCGGCATCAAGGTTTCGTTGACATACGGGGAGTTCCAGCCGCCCAACAAAAACAGGACATTGGTGCACATGAACTGGGAAATGGCTTCGTCGTTGCAAATGAGAGCCCCAAACAGGTTCATCAGCTGCGTATTGGGCAGGAACTCGGCGCTGCCGAAGATCTCCACGAAGGCATTGGGCTGTCCCAACAAAGGTCCTCCCACTGTGGCCAGGGGACTCTCCATGTGCTCCATCCAAGCCACGGGGGCCAGCAGATGGGCCGACCTAATGCGGCTCTTGAAGCGAGGGATCATCGAGTTCAGGACGAAGTAGGAGGTGGTACCTTGGGAGTGACCCACATATGTTAGCTGATCCGCACCCGTGCGGTAAAGGACAAAGTCCATCATTGCGGGCAGATCGTAAATTCCAATATCGTGCCACTCAAAGTTCCAGAACGGCTGAAGCAGCGGGGATTTGGTGGCGTGCTTCTTGGAGTAGGTGTTTCCTCTAGCATTTCCCATCCAGACATCATAGCCAGCCTCGGATAGCAGAAAAGCCAGTCCGCTGTGAGGTCCTGCAAGCACCCAATCCGAGGAGGAGCACAACAATCCGTGCATGAGAAAGACCACAGGTCGTTTTCCATCGTCGCCCGTGTTCTTGGAGTAGGGAATACGATGCATGGTCAGGAGGTAACCATCTGAGGTCTGGACCTCGTGCTCCTCGAGCACATAGCCATGTCCCTTAACGATGGACACCTGGAAAAAGGGAAGATATCTTGGTTAGCAAGGACATATAGCAGTCAAAAAACTCCTTAAACTTACAGTGGTCACCGAACTGGCTCGCCCCACATCTGCTGGCAAGGATATAACCAATCCCAGACTTAACAAACCAGCTACTAATTGTACCAGCCACATTTTATATTCCACAACTGCAGGTGCTTTGACCACTAACTTGGCCGCCCTTGCCTTTTATATGCCCCCCAGGAACTTGATAAGGATTCCTAGATTTGGACGGATAATTTATGGGTGTTTATTTTTGCCTACAACGTCGTTGATTCGCCAAGACTGATAGATCGTTTGGGATTTTCGATCCTAGGTGATTTAACTTCTAGCGGTCAACGGCGATAAGGCTTTCCTATCATTATTGTTAATCTTGATAGCTTATGATTAGGTATAATTGCTGTGAGCTTCGGAGTAATTAGTACTTCCTGTTTTTACTCAAGGTGTTCCATTGAACTAGACATTATTTAACATCAAATCAGTTAAAAAGTGGTAAAACTGACAGAGTATTACAATTTGGTCAGAAATTTATAAGGCAGTAAAGGAAAAATTTCCGAGCATATAAAGCATATATATTCTTGATCAGCATGACCAGGCGAATTAATTTATAAGTCATAAAAGTCTCTGTCTTTTTCTATACCATTTGCATTTAATTATTTCCAAATATATATATATGTACAAAGTTTTATAAGATTTCCTTAAAACATTTAATAGAACTAAAAATATATTTTTTATAATACTTTTCTTAATTTTTTGCTCAACGTTTATTTTTACAATTACAATTTAAATTCGCGCCATGGTACTTATATTCAAAGTAGGTATTAATCGATAACTAAGACAATCGACATACATATATACAATTAAGACGTTGCTCATCTCCAATATTTGCAAACTACATTTTTATTTGCGTCTACTTTTTAATTAGAATAATAAATAATGAGGGATCGGGACCGGCGTGACAGAGATCGTGAGAGGGAAAGGGACAGAGATCGGGAGCGAGACAGGGATCGAGAGCGGGATCGCGACCGGCGGCATCGTTCCAAGTCGCCAGCCAGGAGCAGCCGGCAGAGCTCCAAATCGAAGAAGAAAAAGTCAAAGAAGTCGAAGAAGTATTCACGGAGGAGTCGCAGCAGCAGTCGCAGTTCCTCGCGAAGCTCCTCCAGCAGCAGGAGCAGTTCACGCAGTAGGCACAGCAAGAGCAGAAGCAGGGACCACAAATCCCGATCCGTATCCCAGAGGACCACAAGGGCTCCCAGTTCCGAGAGTAACTCCCGATCCGCGACCACACCCACAGCTGCCCCTGCCAAAGTCAAACCCATCGATCTGCTGGACACCAAGGTGCAGAAGGCTCTGGAGACCATAGACGAAGACTCCTTCAAGCCGACCGCCTTCTTCAGCTCCCGAGATTCAAAGGATACTTCCGAAAAGGTGATCATAGACCTGAACAACGAAACGGTCACAGTGCCCAACAAGCCAGCCATTCCAGTCCGAAACGAAGATGTAATATTCCATCCGAACGTGAGTGGTTCACTTTGTACTCCGATGTCCCTATTAATGGCCTTTCTTTTGTATTCCCCACAGTTCCTTGGCGACCCGGATCTCAAGGCAGATAAGTGGCTGCGCAAGCTGTACAATTACCGCCAAAAGTACATGCAGGAGTAGTTGAGTTCAGACTCTGTATTTAAGAAACAATAAACCTATGCCTAGAATATATCGCTGCCCGTCTTCCGGGCGCGCTGCAAGGCCTCCGCTGGAGTCAGTTGCTCATTGGCCGAGGGCTCCTTGGCACTGCCATCTGCCTGCAGGGTGCCCGCCTTGAAGTCCTCGATGATTTTCTGAGAATATATGGCGTTAAACAGATCCAGGCTGGTGAACTCCGATTGGACAACATCCGGCGCCTTGTAGGACACATATGGCTTTAGCTTGCAGCTAGTTAGGTCGGGCACAATGATGTCCGGAATCTTCTCGGGTATCTCGACGTACTGCCCGTCCACAATTATGCCCGTGTCGCGAACTCCACGCTTGTGAATGGGCACCGGTGGATTGGCCATCGTTTTCTGCGCCTCCTTCACCACGCGCGTTCCTCGTTTGTTGTAAGCATTGAATTTACGGAAGTTCCGCTTGCCCTCCAATACGGATGAAGTGCTGATGCTCCTTTGCTGACACCGGAGTGCTATGGGCACTAGTTTCACACAATTATTCATTGTTATTCGACTTTTCTGAGAGGAAACTGGTTAAATAACAAAAGCGAGTGCAGTGAACAGCTGAGGTAAACTAGTGATGAGACATTTTTCGATAAGAAACTGAATGATTTTCTGTTCGGCGTTCAACATCAAATTTGAATATTGGTTATAAGAATATTTTAAGATTTATTCCTTAATTACATTTAAAATGTCATGTTCCTTTAAGATAGTTGACTTTTTCTATATATTAAAAATATATTTTTTCAGTGTTTCCTAAAACTATTTTTATTTTATCGATAGCTCTATCGAATAACAGCCGCCTGTCAGTGCTGCAAAATACAGTTAGGCTCATAGTGCCCTAAAACTCCTAAAACGGGCTGTGATTCTTATCAATAATTTCAGAATTGAAAAGATACCTAATTTTAAAACATGTCTTTACCGGCTGATGATGAAGAATCGGCGGAAGCTACCGCTGATCATGATTTCATCGAACTGAAGAGTATGGAGGATTTGGAGGCCTGCGAACAGCAACAATTGCTGCAGTACGTCGAAAAGTTGCACGGCATTATCCGGAAATACGACACCAAACTGGCGGCCTATAAACAGAAACTTCTTCACTTTGTGAGTCCGGATTTTTGGATTACCTAAAGTCATTTCAGTTTAACTGATCTATCTCTAAAGCTAAATCAGGAGGAGAAGAGTTCCTGCGACAAAGGGATCCAAGCCTTCGAATCGGAGTTCCAGAAAAACCAGGATTCCGTTGAAAATAATGAAGACACCGACAAAAAAGACAAACCCAGCGATTGTAAGTCAAGAGTTTCTTTATTCCTTCTATTATTGCTACATAGTAGTTAGTTCCTACTTCGATTTGCTGGCCACCGCGGCCACCAGCGCAGCTCCACGTCCTGATCCGTCCTCCGATAGCATAATGTCCCACTCCTTGTCCGCTTTCACCAGCTTCTGCAGAATTTGCCGCATGTAGGAATCGAACTTCGGGTGGTACCTGTACACGGAGCCATCCATGCCGACTATCACACGACGGTTGGAGGTCCTGTTGACCAGACCACTCACTCCGATGGCGACTAGGGTGGCTGCTCGCTTGGCCACACACTCGCAGATGTACCTCAGCGTCTGGCAGTCCTCCACGGAAGCCTTTTCCAGGCCAAACAGCTGCTTTACAATCTTCCTGGTGCTGGCAAACTCTGGGAACGAGTCGTCCTCGATCTCGGAAATATAGCGAGTCTCGAAGACCTCCTGGTTCTTTTGCAGGACGCTGGCGAACTCCGGCCGCCGGCTGCTTTGTTTGAAGATCAACTTGCGCTCGAGGGCCCGCAACAGAACGAGGCGCACCAGGTTACCAAGGTACATGCCCGCCGTCATCTTCTCGAACAGCTGCTCCGATCGGTTGATGGACTTCTCGTCCACCTCGCGATCGTACTCGGTGCGCACAAATTCCAATTGCCCGCCCTCGCCAAATGCTCCCCACTCCGCATTCACAATCACCTGTCGTTTCGTCTTCTTGAAATCCGCATGTAGAAGGTCAACATTCTCCACATCCTCGACGTAGCAGGCATTACAGCCAGTGCCCACGATGACGCCCACTCGACAGTCGGCGTTACGATGGGCGCAGGACATCAATGTGCCTGTTGTGTCATTGAGAATGGCAACCACGGCAATGTCGGCATCCCCGCGCCGCTGAATGGCCTCGTGCAGCATGCGGCCCACATCCTCGCCCTCCACTCCAGGACAATCGAAGCCCTTGGTCCAGCGCACCAGGAGGCCTTCCTTGAGGCCCAGCTGCACGCAGGGAAAGGAGAAGGTAAAACCCAAGGGCAGATAGGCGGTCTTCATGTCGTGTTTCTCCACAAACTTGGCCAGGCAGCCGGCGATGTGATCGAATAGCTCCACGCCCGGACCCACCATCAAGTCCTTGGGCACGGCGTAGATCTGAGAACTGACTGTTGCGTCGTGGTGACCTTTCAGCGAGACGAGCAGCACCCGGAAGTTGGTGCCGCCGAGATCCAAAGCCAGGAACTTGCCCATTTCGTCGCCCGTCGGCAGATCCTGCACGTACGTAGGAAAGCACTTCACATTGGCCTGCGGATGTGTGGAACGCTTCAGGCCACGGGCTACCTCCAGGCAGAAGCGACTGTACACCTCCTGCACCTGGTAATCACTCAGCACAAAGGGTTGCATAAGTTCTCGCACCTCAGCGTCCAGCATTTTGCTTGGCTAATTTGGCTGTCTTGGTTGTAACCGCCTCGAACGATGAGTAACGACTAACCAGGCGCCTGGCCAGAGTACGGCGATTTGGAACTGCACCGGGTTCCTGATAAGAACCGGGCGACGAGATGCAGTGCGCCAGACATAGAAACAACTGCTGCCTCTGCAATCTGGGCGCTGCGTAGCAAATTAAAAACGAAAACACACCTAAGTAGCTGATTTGTAGATTCGGAATCTGAAACTACAACTGCGCGATATGCTAATCGCTTAAATCCCGGCTGCTACTCGTCAATTGCTGGCAATCGTTCCTGATTTGACACCCTACAAATTAATTGTAGATCGACGATAGTTTACCATTTAAATGTTGGAAAATGTCACTATTGACCATTGTCCACTCAATCAAGAAGGGCATCGAAGTTAGCCTGAAACCCCTAACATTCCACCACCTTAGTAGCTCAATTCTCATTTTAATAAGTTGGTTCACATGCAAAAATAATAGTTTTTACAAAATTGTACTCATAAATTTGGTTCCTTAATAATCTGGATGATTTTTAAGTTATATGATATATGATATTCTTAGGAATCACTAGTCAGAAATTTAAAAACAAGAGAAAATACTTTAAAGAATTGAAATTTAAAACGGTATACACTTGATTCTTAATCTATACTTTCTTTAAATTCGTGAAATAATGGCAAGGTAATATTTCACTTTTCCACTTGTTGGCAATCATATCAAAGACAATAAAAGTCATTAACTGTCACTGGACTATGTAAGCCGAACCACACCTCCTGAGCTATCGCAGAGATAATGCTTTTTGAAGGAGCGCATCTTATACGCTTAACCCACCCACTTCTCTATCTATTGAGGAGTATTAGTGGGGTCTCAGGTCGAGTAATAAAGCGTGCGTCAAACATCCCGTCACGCTAATGCCCGAGATTAGCGTTAAAGTGTCGCATGGGCTAACGCCACTGCCCCTGACAAAAAACCCGACCAGCCCTTGACACCACTTCCAATAAAATTGAAATGATTGCGCAAGAAAGCGGATTGTCACGTACCATAAACTACAATTTTATAAGCTTTAATAAGGATATGAATCAATGGTAATATCTTGTTTATTGATAATTTTATTGACTTTTAATTAGGAATATAAAAGTTTTTATAATCAAAATGGTGCTCTAGTTTTTCGTTTCTGCCAAATAACTAAACCCTTAAAATTTTGTTTACGAATTTGTATACATTTTAAAGCCTAATCAATAATTACCCAGAAATTATTATTTACCATGTCTAACAATCATTACAAAATTTGCAGTATCGGCGACGGACGCATTCAGCTTTGTGGACGAAATGCGGCAGGCAGCTAAGCACGCCGAAAACCTGAACAACTTCGTCTACGAGCCGACCTCGGGCATGTACTACGATCCCAAGACGGGCTACTACTATAACGCGGTAAATAAGCTATAAACACCGGACGCAATCTTTATGACGTTCCATTCTATTCCGCGATGCGCCGGCTGCATCGCGGTGACTTTCAGGGGTTATCGCGCTGGCGAACCTACATCAATGACTTGAATTGTTTTAATCAACTTCTGCTTCTCCTTTCCTCCCAGGAGTACGGGTTGTATTACGATGGGAACACCGGCTGCTACTACACCTACGACCATGGCAAAGACTCGTACGAGTTCCACTCGCAGGCTCAGGTGCAGGTGAGTTGGTTTAGCTACGGACTCCTGAGCTACACGACCACATTAACCAACGTTCTTCTCCTCCTCGCTGCGCAGACTGTGAGCGACTGCGCCTATAGTAGCCTTTTAGCGGGGTTTCACAAACTCAGCATAGACCGAATGCGTAGCAATGCATTAGGTAAGCGCCAAGGCCCAGAACTAGCGATAAAAACGCGGATTTCTTTTCTCCACTTGGTTGCAGGCGAACGAGGCGGCAAAGCCGGAATCGGAGGACGAGCAGGTTGAGTTCGATGAGCTGGGAGGCGTCATCACCGATCACGACCAGCTAAAAAAGATCAAGGCCGACAAGCAAAAGGCCAAGGATCGCGCCGAGAAGTCCAAGCGAAAGGCCAAGGGGAAAAAGAAGAGCAAGAAACACAGCAAGAAGAAGCGTAAGAAGGAGCATCGCCACAAGTCGAAGAAGCGACACAGGGATTCCGGCGATGACCGGGATGAGGATGCTGAGGAGGGCGAGCTGTCGCAAAGCAGTGACTCGAGTTCCGACTCCAGTGACAAAGAGGGGAGCAGCAGCAACAGTGACACGGAGGATAGCAGTGTTCCGGTCTTTAAGGCTGCCGGTCGCTTTCAAGGTGTTTAGGAAATCCGCGTTTTTGTAGCGGTTTGCTAAGTTCAATAAACTCATTCCTCTCCTTTTTGTAGACATTGCCAAGAAGTATCCACCCTCGCTGCGCATCATTGTCCAGGAAACCAATGTGGATGCCTTAAAAGTTGGAAGCCTGCATCTGATTACCTACAAAGGTGGATCACTCGGTCGCGAGGGCACCCACGATGTTATTATTCCGGACGTGAACGTGAGCAAGTGCCACTTGAAGTTCAACTACGAGGCTAAGCTGGGAATCTACAAGTGTCTCGATTTGGGCTCCCGCAACGGCACTATTCTCAATGGTTCGCCAATGGCCAGCGATGCTATGGACCTAGTGCATGGCAGTGTAATCACCTTGGGGCAGACCAAACTTCTGTGCCATGTACACGAGGGCAACAGTACCTGCGGGCTGTGTGAACCAGGTCTGTTGATAGAGACACCTGCGCCGGTAGTAGCCACAGTTGGCGCATCCACAGCAACTGTATTATCCCATAAGGAGCAGCTAAAGAAGATACAGCGGAAATATGGTCTAGAAAATGAGAGTAAGTTTTCCTTGTTTGATACAACTTAGATCACACTTGACAATTATATTACTTATTTCAGAATTTGTAGAGACCGGTGGCAATGGTCAGGGCTCAAACTACAATGACCGCGCTGCAACTAGACGTGTCAAAGTGGGCAGCACCACGGATAAGGAAAAGACAGAGGTGGCTTGCGTAAACACGTAAGTATATGCTTGCAAAACAGCGCCTTCAATGGTTGATTAATATATTTCTTTGCAGTGAGATTGGCAGCTCCAACAAGGGTTTTAAAATGCTTAGCAAACTGGGCTGGCAAAAAGGCGATTCTTTGGGCAAATCCAACGCTGGACTCCTGGCGCCGGTAAGTATTTATAATCATTTCTTAAAATTCCTAATCGCTCAATCCACATTATTTACAGATTAATGTGGTGGCCAATGAGGGCACCAGCGGTTTAGGGAACAGTGACCCAGTTACCTCCAGCTCCAGACCCAAGGACAAACGAAAGTTGGCGAACTTAAAAATCACCCAGGCTCGATATCAGCGAGCCAAAGATATATTTGGAGATGACAGTGATTAGAAAACGCATTTTTGATTATGTTGGAAACACATTTAATTAACAATTACTCAAACATATTCATAAGTATATGTATATATATGTATGTATATATACATCGGTTCTATATATGTATATATTAATTCAAAAATCTTGCTATAAGGTTAAGCTATCAGTCAATTAATTAATTTAGCTTCGCTTATGAACAAAAAGAATAGGGGAAGGTAATGTTAAATAAATATGACGTCGCGTATGTGGATCTAAGCTAATTGCGAGCGAAATGCGCATACAAACCAATCGATTAAAGTAATTATCGTGTAGCCTATGTTAATGTTAAATACAAAAGCCTCTTAAGATATGTGGTTTCTCTTGCGATACATGCTGGATAAGAATTGCTGCAATACGTTATGTTGTATGGTTGATAATACTTTGCCCTGTATGTAAAATGTATCCGATAATATGTAGTGTAAGCTTGGTTGGCAATAGCCTAAGGCCCATCCACCGATTACAACACGAAAACGCACAACGAGAATCTTTGGATGTTGGAACTACGGAAGAACACGCTACATAATGCCATAGGCCGATATGGACGCTGTGGAGATGCCCTCAATCCTCTAGCAGCTCCCCTGGGACTTGACGCCAATGAAGTACCGGGAGTCGCAGGAGTGCTTGTGCATCTCGCACCACGAGTTGTATGTATGGTTGTTGTAGCCGCATATTTTGTGTACCTGCTTGAATCAATATTCAGTGATTATTGGGACATTTCGGCCTCGGAGCAATGGGTACTTACCGGTCGCTGCTGTTTCCTCGGACACTTGTAGCGACAGGACACGCATCGCGGCTGGAGCGTCTGCAGATCCACCAGGCAGTTATCCTTCGGCCCACACTTGATGTCCGCACAGCTCACGCGGCCCGCTGCAATATAAAGTTTACGATGCGAGCGCATTAATGACGGCTGCCTGTGGTTAAGTTTCAGCTTTGTTTTATGTCTGGCAATTTCGGTTTAATGGCCCCTGCACACTCGACTGCATGTCCTGCCCTCCATGGGAACACGGGCAGGTGCTGCTGTGATTACGGGAGACGTTCTCTGCTACTTTGGAGAAAACTTTCCAATTTTTAAGGGCCCTCGCCACTTAATTTCATGTATAAAACTTGTATTCGGTTGTTAATTAAGTCATTGAGATACAATTTGTACGAGTATTTTTGGAGATCTGAATCGTTAACAGACTGAAATACCCTTACAGGGTTTAGTCTGAAAGCCCTTTAAAAAACCTCATAAATTAATTGTATACGAAATGTAAGCATTTTATTTCTTTAGGAACAGTTTAATGGGGGACTTTAAACTGGCCAAAGACGAGTTGCTTTGCGCCCAAAGGGATAAAGGATGCAAATGCATATTTAAATCAGCTGTCGTTTCCTCTTGTCTACTGCAACTTCCATTTTCCAAGCTGACACATTATTCACACCACGCGCAATAGTGCGGACACAGCAACACAAATCCACACATAAAAAAAAAGTTAAAAAATAAAATTGCTATACAAAAAATTTGCATGTGAAAATATATGAATCACGTAATATTTTGATAGCAAATTTATTGGAGTACGCGAGTACTCATTATCTTTTATAGTAATATTAGAAAATATTAACTGCACGTTAAGTTGTGTAAAGTATTTTGAGATAACATGTAGAAGTTAAATAGAATAGGATAATAAATAAATTTCTTTCAACAAAAAAAAAATGACCAAAAATGAAAAGGAAAGTTAATAAAAAATTGTTTTTCTACATCCTTCTAATTAAATTTACTGAAATATTTATAACATCACCCAGATATCATATTTCTTTCTGTGCACAGGGGCCCTTCTTCTTCCCCTTCCCCATCACCAAGCCATAACCATTCGCATCCTCATTCCCCCCTCTACATCATTGAGCCATCCGCGCAAGACTGGTAGCTTCTTCGGGCCAACATCCGACTGGTGCGACTGCCAGTTGCCCAGTCAGCCAGTCGAGCAATAAAGCAGCCAAGCGGTGCGCAGCCGCAAACGCCGGCAAAATATATGTGTTTATCGTCAACATGATCTGCGACTTGGCAACATTGTTGCACAGAGCCCTCCGGGGCTCCGATCGCAATTGCGATGGAGGTGGAGCTGGAGCTGAAGTTTGAGGCTTGGGTGGAGTAGTAAAGGGAGGATGGATGTCTGGGACTGCATCTGTAGTTCGGTGCGTGAAAGTCCACCGTCTAGCGATTCGTAACAGTTAAAGTTTATTAATTTCAACTGCCAATTTAGCTTTAGGCAGATACGTCCTTTGTGCGAGGAGGTCCTACCCCTCCCGCCGCCCCGCGCACTTGTTGATTGTGATGGATGTGGCAGTGGGCCTCCAGAGCGGGAGCTGGTTATGGCTGATAATGCCGTCACAAGGCGAGCCAACTATAATTTGTTATGTCGACGTGGTTTAATCAACGCCGGCGGCCGTTGGCGGAACTTATTGCAACATTGTGTGGATGGAATGGGATCGGGTTGGGCTCTTCTGGCCTGGTCTGGTCTGGGATGCGTCGTGGGTCATGTGTCTGGTATATATGCGTGTTCCCATTCAGACCAGGCCAGGCCGACTGGCCATTTTGGCATTGCGTGTTGTTTAAGGTGATTTTAATACGATCGTAAACTACAGCCGGCCCAGAGGAAGAAGAGCCAGACGCTCGCCCAGACAAAAGTGACGTCGCGACGACGTTGGACAGTTGGACAGCTGGACAGCTGGACGTCGGGACGTCGGGACTCCAGACCGGACTTCATACCACTTGGGCCCCGCAATCCACCTCGAGAGTTGCAATCACAGAACCTGCGTCGCCGCAGAACGTTGCGAAAATGGCGTTTTAATGGTTTGTACGTGTAGTCATATTTCTTGGGGCCAACGGCAACTTTTCGTGGCTTGTGCCGGGGTTTTTGGTCCCCTTCATTGCTCCAAACACCCCCCTCCCTCCCCTCGTGGCAGAATTTTTTCAAGCCTGAGCCCGGATCGCGACTGAAAATATTTATGTGAAAGCAGACAAACAAACAAATGCCCGAGAACCATAAACTTACTAACCATGAAGATAAAAAGCTCAGGAACCAACACACGCGCACGTTAGCATTATCTTATCGCCAGACGATCCACGTAACATAACGAGTACAGACGGACATTAAGCAGCAGGAAGGAACCCAGGGAAGCGGAAGGAGCAGGGCCTGACCAGGGGGATTCGTGCGGGACGAGGATCCCAGATCAACAAACTGCAGCGACTCACGCACACTTGTTTTTGAGCTTCGAGATACGACCGGTGGAGTGGCGTGGCTCAGCTAAAAGCAAGAGTGAATAGTAGCTAATGATCTTTATTTAGAATCCGGCTACCGTTAAAAAAGGATTACAAAAATGGACAGACGATCAATGAATGAATATGTTAGGTCTTGTGTCTCATTTAAGAGTCTCTCTTACAATCTAAAAATATAATAAACAAGGAGGCTTAGAAAAACAAATCTAACAATTTTTAGTTACTTGTGCTTCACCTCCGTTAAAATTCATTCAGTCTGGATTCGTTGTGAAGTAAAGTCATACACAAACCATATCAACATTTTTTGGAACTACAGAAACACAAAAAAAAAAGTTAAGTTTTAAAAGCAGTATAAGCTATATCGATTTTCCTATTAATCCTTCCCTTTCCGACTTGTAAAGTATCTTTTTATGATAAAAAGACAACCGACAATGACGATGCATGCAAAGTTCTTACTAAAATTAGAAAGAGGTCCCCTAAACGATATATTAAAGTGAACCATTCGTGATGTTACAAAATCTGGGATGAATCAAGGATTTATTCAAAAGCGGTCAAGTATTTAAAATTTCATATTATTTTCCTAAAATTACGACGATGCTCAAAAGCCTCATGAAAAACGAGCAAAAAAGTGAACAAGCAACGAGAATATAAATAGGGTATGTCGAAATGGAGAAATGAAAACGCGTGCAACTTTTAACCAAAAAGTAACCATCAAGTATGACTCCAAATAAGTAAAATAAGTTCGGTTTCGTCTTCAATACGTTTTTTTTAATATTATTTTTTTTAAAATTACGACGATGCTCAAAAACCTCTTGGAAAACTAGCAAAAAAGTGATCAAGCAACAAGAATATAAATAGGGTATGTCGAAATGGAGAAATGAAAACGCGTGCAACTTTTAACCAAAAAGTAACCATCAAGTATGACTCCAAATAAGTAAAATAAGTTCGGTTTCGTCTTCAATACGTTTTTTTTAATATTATTTTTTTTAAAAATTACGACGATGCTCAAAAACCTCTTGGAAAACTAGCAAAAAAGTGATCAAGCAACAAGAATATAAATAGGGTATGTCGAAATGGAGAAATGAAAACGCGTGCAACTTTTAACCAAAAAGTAACCATTAAGAATGACTCCAAGTAGGTAAAATATGTTCGGTTTCGCCTTCAATACTTTTTTGTAGATTGTTTTGCAATGAGCATGGTATAAAAATGAAGTGATATGCAGCGATGCCAAATACTTATTAAGAAAATTGAGGACTTCTACAGCTACATTATTGATAAATAATAATACCAGACCGAATGACCGAATGGGGGGAATTTTGTCAACGGCAGCTGCTGTTGGTGCCGGATTGACAGCTTTTGTTTTCGCATTAACTACAAGCTATAATTTGCAGCAAAACACCGCAATTAACAGGCAATTGCTGCACGGTAGCCCTCTGTTGTCTTCAGCCCCCATGGCACACTAAACTAGTTTAGTCCGTCCGTCTGTCTCCATCGCCATCTCCACCTCCACCTCCATCTCCTATCCGACGCGGTCCGTTCCGAGGTTCTCAAGTTCGTCTCCGGATTTGGTGCGACTGCGGAACGCCCTCCAGTCACACTGATTGCCACACAGGAAAAAATTATAGGATCTATAACATGGTTTCAAGGATTGAATATCAAATAACACGGAACGGAAAAAATATAAGAGTATATAATTAGAAGGTAATAGTTAATACTCGTGACACGACAAAACATATTAAATTTTCTTCCGAAGTAACATCTCGTTGAATTTTTTATAAAATTTACAATCGATTGGCATCAGTTGAAAAATCCAAAAATTGGTGATAGATCAACCAGATTTTCTTTTTTTTTTATAAAAACCCTGGGAAAAAATAGTCAAATGGTTTATAAATTCGTTATAAAATTTCCAATCAAGTGGCATTCACAGCTACAAAATTTCAAATCAGTCGATTTTTGGCAAACATTAATGACAATCCGGAGATCCGGACAAACCCACTTTTAGTTTGGATTTTTGATAAAAACCCTGGAAAATAATTGTCAGATGTTGGAATGCCATACCTCACTGAATTCGTTATAAAATTTCCAATCGATTGGCATTCACAGTTAAAAAATTTCAAATCGGTCGATTTTTGGCAAATATTAATGATGTAACCCCTTATCAAAAATGCAAAAATCCGGAGATCCGGAAAAACCCACTTTTATTTCGGTTTTTTGATCAAAACCCTGGGAAATAATTGTCAGATGTTGGAATGCCATACCTCACTGAATTCGTTATAAAATTTCCAATCGGATGGCATTCACAGCTAAAAAATTTCAAATCAGTCGATTTTTGGCAAATATTAATGATGTAATCGAAAATGCCAAAATCCGGAGATCCGGAAAAACCCACTTTTAGTTCGGTTTTTTGATAAAAACCCTGGGAAATAATGGTCACATGTTCGAATGGCATACCTTATTGAATTCGTTAAAAAATTTCCAATAGAGTGGCATTCACAGCTCAAAATTTTCATTTTGATCGGTTTTTCGCCAAAAAAGACAATGTAACTTATTGAAAAATGCCAAAATCCGGAAGTCTGGAAAAACACACTTTTATTTCTGTTTTTTGATTAAAACCCTTGGAAATAATGGTCACATGTTGGAATGTCATACCTCGTTGAATTCGTTATAAAATTCCAAATCGAGTGGCATTCACAGCTAAAAAATTTCAAATCTGACCATTTTTGGCCAATATTTATGATGTTACCCCTTATGAAAAATGTAAAAATCCGGAGATGGAAAAACCCACTTATTTCGGTTTTTTAATCAAAACCATGAGAAATAATGGTCGAAAGTTGGAATGTTATGCCTCGTTAAATTCGTTACAAAATTTCTAATCGAATGGCATTTACAGCGCAACATTTTCATTTTGGTCGATTTTTCGCCAAAATGGATGATGTAACCCCTTATCAAAAGTGCCGAAAACCGGAGATCCGGAAAAATCAACTTTTTTCTTGGTTTTTTGATCAAAACCCTGGGAAATAATGGTCACATGTTGGAAAGGCATACCTTGTTGAATTCGTTATAAAATTTCCCATTGATCGGCATTCACGGTTGAAAAATTTTATTTTTGTCTGATTTTGGCAAAAAATTAAGTGTTACCCCTTATAAAAAAAATTGAAAATTGGTCAAAAAATAAAATTTACCAAATCAACCTGGAATTGATTGTATAGGTTCTCAGCTGCACAAAACAGTCATTCTTTTGGCTGTGCGGCCTATTTTGGCAAAATTACAACAAAAAACCCTTAAAAAATGCTATGCCAAAAGTCCGAAAAATTCAACTAAATTTTCGGTTTTTTGATCAAAACCCTTGGAAATAATGGGCAGATCTTGGAATGTCATACCTCGTTGAATTCGTTATAAAATTTCCAATCGAGTGGCATTCACAGCTCAAAATTTTCATTTTGGTCGGTTTTTCGCCAAAATAGATGATGTAACCCCTTATCAAAAGTGCCGAAAACCGGAGATCCGGAAAAATCAACTTTTTTTCTTGGTTTTTTGATCAAAACCCTGGGAAATAATGGTCACATGTTGGAAAGGCATACCTTGTTGAATTCGTTATAAAATTTCCAATCGAGCGGCATTCACAGCTCAAAATTTTCATTTTGGTCGACTTTTTGCCATTAATAGATGATGCCAAAATCCAGAAGATCCGGAAAATTAAATTTTTGTTTCAGATTTTTGATCAAAACCATGGGGAAAAAATTGTTGAATTCCTTATAAAATTTCCAATCGATTGATTCACAGCTAAAAAATTTTATTTTAGTCGACTTTTCGCTAAAAATGATAACCCCTTATAAAAAATAGCAAAATCCGAAAAACAACTTTTATTGCCGTTTTTTGATCAAAACCATGGGAAATAATGGTCGCATGATGGAATACCATACCTCAAAACCATGAGAAACGAGGACGGAAGCTAACTTCGGCAAGCCGAAGTTTTAATACCCTTGCTGACTTTGCCGAAATTGCTTAAATTCGCGAAAAGAATAGGGTATACATAAATAAATTAGCTTTTATAATGCAAAAACGGATTCCTACGGAAGCTATAAGATATAGACGTCCGATCGGCGCGCGCTTTTACTTTGATCAATGAATGCATAAAAAATACGATGGAAAGATTCATGTCAATAGCTTTATACTGTGCGAAATATCCTGAAAATCATACAATTTTATCCGATTTCACCCTTTTGTCCCTATGGGAGCTATTGGATATAGACGTCCGATACCCTGAGGTATACATAAAAAAATACGATTTGGAAAGATTCATGTAGCTTTTACACTGCGCGAAATATCATCAATTCATATATACTTTATGGGGTCGGAAACGTCTCCTTCACTGCGTTACAAACTTCTGACCAAAATTATAATACCCTCTGCAAGAGTATAAAATGCAGTTTGAATGCAGTTTTTTAGAAAATTAAAATACAATTCTTAAGAGGTATGCCACTTTGAAATCGGATTAAATTTGGTAAAGTTATGGAATCTAGAAGTCCAATTTTGGGAGCCCTTTTTCAAGTCATCAAAAACTCGGTAATATCTAACATGAAAATGGGTCGAAATTTTGAACAACGTTAAAATGACAAATTTGAATGCAGTTTTTTCGAGAATAAAAATATAAGTTTTACGAGGTATGCCATTTTGGAATCGGATATAATTTAGTAAAGTTCCAATTATGTTTTTAACGGTCATAATGGTCGAATGTTGGAATGTCATAGTACAATGGGAAAAATTTTGGTTTTTTTTTTAACTCTTTAAATGATTACGGTATCTGTTACATAGTATATATATATTTAAAACTAATTAATTTTTTGGAATCTTTTCACATGTGAATTAATGTAAATTTAACATCATCCTTCGAAGAAAATCGGACATTAAAATTATTTATCTGGTAACATAATTGTCTTATATAAATCAATGGAAAAATTTCGAAATTTGTTGATCCGTTAATGTAATTTATTATTCAAATTCATGTTCGATTATGAAACATGAATTATGTAAGAAATGTTACTATTCAATGATTGGAAAGCGGAATTGGTTTCTATAAATAATGAATATAATAAATGAATAGATTTTTAGCTCTGATAATGAAGCTAGTATTGAAATATTTGTAAAACATGGTAGATATATTAAATTTAATATCTCATTTTTAACATAATTTTAACTTTTTGGGAATATAATTGATATGTTTGACGTTATTATTGGAAGCGTCTTATGAAATGTTCAAAACAGCACAACTTTAGTTTTTTTACACACTATGAAAAGGGTGAGACTTATTAAATATTTTCTATACTTTCTATGCAATTAAAATAAATAATAATAAACAACATATGAAAAGTATCAAAGCTCGAAGGTCGAGAATTAAATTAATATCGCTATACTTTTATGGCAGTCATCCGATTTGCTTAAATCATGCTAGCTCTTACAAAAGGGTATATAAACTGGTGATCGTGATGAATTATGGGCGGAAAATGTGGGATAAACTATAATATAAAGAATAACAGCAGCGTTGAATGATTTTTCGCTGTGCACCATGTGTCGTGGGCCGACTCGGGGCATTATAATTAATTGGAAATCGGAGTCGATCAATCGGATGGCAACCGCAGAATTAATAAGCATGAATGATGCCGACGACGCGAGTGTTTGCTGTAATTATGGATGCGCCCGTACCCGTATACGTACTCGTATTCGCACTCGTAGTCAAAGTGGAGCAGACCCAAGACCAGACCAGACCAGACCAGAGCAGAGCTGACGGGCTAATCAAATTGCTGGCAATCATGGAGCCGTATAAGCAAATGTAGCAATTTCAGTCAAACACCGAGAGAGCCGGCAACTTGATATGGCCAAGCTGCAGACGGCAACAACCACTTGTGGCTGTGACGCGATTCGATTCGCCTTAACTCGACTCAACTCAACTTGGGCTGGAAACCTCAGTCGAGTCAATCAAATGCAAAATTGCGGTTCTTTGTTGATTGTTGTTAAATGCAACAGCAGCAACATATGCTGCACCGCGATTGCGGGCAATAATTTGCATTTGCCGTCTGCAACTAGGCTTTCCATACCAATTAATTTGATTGATTTTCTCCAAAAAAATACATACCTCGACAGGGACCCGGATATGCCACGGCGATGGAACGTCCAATTTTGCAAATCATTCGATTTATATCACAGGCGCTCCTATATGTCTTCCCGTCCACTCCGCACACGGCCTCACTGGCACCCACATCCAGGTCGTTCCGGGGACACTCGATCCGGCAGGTGATGCAGTGCGGCATCATGTACTGGTCCTCCACGCAGGTCAGCCCATTCAGGCACTGGACTCCACTGCAGCTGTCTGTGGATAAATAGAGGGATTTGGAATATGAAACATATGGAATACATCTTTAAATCTTTAAATAATCAAGAACTTTCAAATTTGTTCACTTTGTTTGGGTATAGATTTGACAGTACATAAACACATTATTTAATTCCAGTTCTTAGTTATTTCTGTACAAACTTCACACAGCAAATTTTTGTTAATTGTTAATGCTTACAGTACAATTGTAAGCCACACCATGAATAGATTTTTACTGATAGTACTTTTTACATTCATTTAAAATTGTCCCTTAAATATACATTTTGTAAACAAGATTAATATATTTGCAAACCTTTCCTTACACAGAAAATCAAACTTAAATCCCTCCTATTATTATATAAGTTTCCTCTATGTAAACCACACCAGAAATATATTCACTTTAACTTTTGTAAAACATACCTATTATTATAACTTTATTTTGTAAACCACAGCAGAAATATATTAACTTTAAGATCTTTTGTAAAACATACCTATTATTATATAAGTTTCCCCTTTGTAATGAATAGTTGTTTTTCTAACATTTAAAATTGTCCCTTAAATATACATTTTCCTTTTATTTGTTAACCATACCAGAAATATATTAACTTTAAAACCTTTTGTAAAACATTCCTTGCACATAAAATCATACTTAAATCCCTCCTAATGTTATATAATAAGTTTCCTCTTTGTAAAAAAGCTTTTGTAATGAATAGTTTTCAATCAATTTAACCTGTCAAGCTGATTTTATTTCTCACGATAATTAATAAATTGTTATTTATTTATAAGAATTGACTATAATTTCCGCAGTTTTTGTCCCTTTTTCGCACTGGCAAGAACATGGCATCTAATCATCCCAATATGTTGCACCTTGCAACTATGTTTTTGACATTAACGAATGCTCTTCGCATAGAGGCGCTGATTGTGCCTATAAATAATTAGTTGGCCAATGTCTATGATTAGCCCCCCAGTCTCGGAACTCGCGGAACTCTCGGATATATATGCGCTTATATGGCCGGCAATAAACTGTCGAAATTTATCAGGGGGACATGCGGCCCGTTGATGCGAAAACGCGAAACGCCTTGGCGCCAACTGTGACACTCGCGAAATATTGCAATCATTTTTCTGTGGTCGTCGGCGATCGGATCGGAATTGCCGATTGGGCATTCCATTGGATATATTGGCACGCGCCAACGTTAGATTGCTGGAATTGCTGTTGGTGTTGCTGCTTGGTTGGTGTTGCTGCTAGTTGCAAGTTGCCAGTTGCAAGTTGCCCGTTGCTCGTTGGGTACCAGTTGCTAGTTGAAGGAGCAACAGAATGTCGTGTGCTTGCGGCTAATCCAACAAGTTCTTTGGGTTCTTGGCTCATCGTTCTTGTACGCCGTTTTTATTGATCATTTGAGCATGTTTGCGAGTGCTTCCTGTATCATTAAATTATTACACAACATTTCTGGCTTCAGTCTGACTGGTTGGCCAGTTGATTTCACCACTGGCGACAAGTTGTTGGCCGTAATTGAAATGTGCAATAATTTGTCATCTAATCTAATTGTGGCGCTGCTGCGTTTTGGCACGCGAGCAACCCAGTCCACCTACACTCACAGAAATATTGAGCATACGTTTTGCAATTCAGCCATAAAATGAGGCGAAGGCCAGGAAAATTTCAAATGACAAATTGATTTTCTATATCAAGACATTTTTCTTTAATCAAATCAAAAGTTTATTGATGCTATAGGCAAAGTAACCAATTCCGATTTACAAAGCTACATGAAACATACATTGTTTCAACTGACGAAAATATAAAGCTGTTTTGCCCGAGATGATTTACAATAAATAATACAAAATAATTAAAAATCAGTAGTTTGCTATTCGTCCCTTATCAGGAAACAAACATTTTATAATTTTCTAAATACTTTCTACTCTTTGGAGATGGCTTTCTACTTGTAGGAAACGTATAACTCCTTAATCTTAGCTATATTTTCTGTCAGTGCAGTGTCTACAGCATATGGTAAATGGTATTGGCGGACTCACTCTTGCACTGGCCCCGATAGGCGACCTCCAGTTGGGCGTTGTTGGTGCGACAGGCGCGCTTGCGCAGCTGGCACTCGGTGTTGTAGGTGCGTCCGTCGGAGCCGCAAACCGGATTCGAGTGCTGCTGCTGCTGCTGTTGGTGGTGGTGGTGGTGGTGGTGGAAAAGCATCCGAGTTAGCCCCGAGGAGTAGGCAATGGTCAAATGGGAAACAAAAGAGACTCACCAGCGGCAGGGGCTCGTAGATTCCGATTCCGATTCCGCCCAGAAGAGCCAAGTCATGGGCATTAGCGAGGCCCGATGACGCAGCCGTTTCACTTCCGCGTTGCAACTGAAAGATTCGACGATGGTTCGGATTTGGATTCGCATTCGGATTCGACGGCCCAGACCCAGACATTGTGGTATTTGCTGACTGGGCTTCTGTATCCATCCGATCCTGATGCAGCTTCTGCTGCTGTTGCCTTTTCCCCAACCCATTGTCTGGATTTGGAGCATACTCGATGCGTCTGGCATGCTGGTGTCTGACTCGGGCCGACTGTCTATTAATGTCGTTGGCGGGTTCATTAGCATTTCCCAAGTTGCCAAGTCTAGACTGAGCCGAGATTGAGTCTGGGTCTGCGTCTGCATCTGCATCTGCATCTGCGGCAGGCGACTGCCTGGGCGTCTTGTCTGCTGCTCCTGTCGTCATTGATCTTGTTAAGTGTTTGCCATGGCTGTTTCTGTGCCTGCGCCTCTCATAGCCCCTCATCTCCACACGGCCACGTCTACCGACATTAGCATTTGTGGGCTGATCTGGCAAATTGCTGCTGTCTATGATCAAAAGTCTCCGGTGCTTCGACTCGCTCTCCAGCTGCAGCTTTCTTTGGTTATCAGCATGTTGGCGTTGGTTGCCGCCGTCTAATTCTAAATTGAAGTTGGAATTTTCGCTACTTAGACTACGGGACTCTCGCGGCATGTCCTGTTCCAGCTGCTTCTGTGTCCTGCGCCGCAAGGCTGCTCCACATTCGGGGGCACAAACGCACTTGGGCCGACCTTTGCGCTTCACGCACTTTTTATTGGGTCCGCACTTGAAGCCCTTGCAGCTCTCTTGGAAAAAAAGGGGGGAAGGAAAACAAATGGCATAATTTATAGTTAATAATCTTGATCCCACAACTCACCCATGCAGGGCGAGCACTCCACTCCGCCGCCAATGGCCGTTGCAAAGAAGTACTCCACGCTGCTCAACTCCCGATCCGTGTAGGAAAAGCTCTGACTGGCGCCACAACACTCCGACCTCGAGATGTTCGTCGAGAAGACCTGTCCGCACTTCCCGCTGCCTAGGTGCGTCTGCCAACAGGTGCCAGCTGGTAAGGATTATACAAATATATTCACGGAGGTCACACAAATATCTTTCCAACACACTCCCACCAAAAGCTAAGGTTCTCTTTTGTGTAAAGGTCTTAAAATCTACAGAGATTCTTTGTTACCTTTGTGTTTTTTGGGAGTGCTACAAATACTTATCAAAATTGTATTGAGAGCAATGTCTTTAAAAATATCTCTGGCACAATCGATAAAAAAAATTAAAAGAGGCCTTAGACTTCTACATTTTCTAGAATGATAAAGCCGGGCACAGTAATAAAAGTCTCCTATGAAATTCAAATGCCAAAATTCACAAATCAGGAATATGCTCTTTTGTGTATTTATATTACAAATATATTTTGTGCTAATATTCTTTAGCTACACTATAGCTACAAAAAACCAATAAAATCAAAAGACTGCTTGTCTGTAAAGTTATAATGAATCATTTTAACCATTGCAAAAAAATAACAGGTTGCACTTTTAATGTATTTCTGATTCCTCAGCGTTTTGGCAAGAAAAAAGGTGTAAAATTAAAATGGTATTTCCTTGAGCTAACCGGAAGAGAACAGTTCAAGCTCCTTTTTCACAGTGGTCAAATTACGTTCAGGTATTGGACTAAGCAAAACAAATATTGTTTGTTTACTTTTAAGATTCAGCAGGAATGCGATGTGCCGGCTGCTAATCGAAATCGCGAGCAGATTGCAAATATTGCTGAGAATTCGCGCTTTTTTTCTCACTTTTTTCTTCTGTATTTTGATCTTCTGCTTGTTGTGATCGAATCGATTTGGCAAGCCCAAGCAAATTTTGTGGATTTGTTGGATAAACAAACAAGCAGCACTGGGACTGGTGAGAAATTGCGTCACATTTGGGAATAATGTGACACATTTATGGAGGCGAATGAACTGGATAACATATGCAAACCAAATGCAGGCGCCAGTGTTTTTGGTATACAATTGAAATTCAGATGTTGAGGGACTGACTTAACTAACTAACTTACTAACTTACCCGCCGCCAGACGAAAATTTAGTAGCAGCAATCCAATTAACAGAGCCATCAAAGGCTGTCCAGCCAAATGATGGCCAGAAGTTGCTGCTGCTCCTGGTGTTGCTGCTGTGCCTTTTGGTGTTGCTCTCGTGGAGCGTGTGCTCTTCATTGGACTAGAACTGGCCAAGTGATCGTGTTGCTGGTGTTGCTGCTGCTGCTGCTGATGGTGTTGCTGTTGTTGTTCACGTGCCAACTCTTGCAAAACGCTCCATGCGCTTACTATAAATAAACTTAGAATTGTTCTACATTCGCGGCTAGTGGCTCTTGCCAATTGTGTTGCTGCTGACGTCTTTGACATTGTTGCCGCTAATTGGTTCGGTGTACGCGCTTCCGCTGTCGTCGATCTCGCAGGAAGTGCGCGAATTGCCGGCATCTCTCTACGCTTGAATTTGTAATTCGATTTTAGAAATGTCAAATTGTTTTGGCTGCTCGTCGGCTGATGATGATGATGAGGCATGACAACGGCAAGTGCTGCGGATAAACAAAAAGCAAGGGTAGGCAAACGCAACGCACTCGAGTAACAGGTAACAGGTAAGAGGCAGAGGATGGATTCAATTAGACAAAGCACACTGCCACTCCAGCTCGAGCGAAGATGGAGTTGGGGGATAGGGATGGGGATGTGGATGGGGTTGGAGCTTCGAGTGGAGTGGCACGCCAGCAACATGATGCAACCGGCGGCAGCAGCAACAGCAGCAACAACAACAGTCAAGCACCAAGAATGTTTTGCACAAAAACGACGGCCAAGAGGCAACAATTAAGTCTCAAACGTTGAGTTGACATTGAGCAGGCGGTTTTCAAAATGCGACTACTAAAAATAAAGAACCTGTTGCTGCTGCCGCCGCTGTGTTGTAGGTTTGGCGCATTATGCACCGTCTGTCTGGCTCCGTACACACGGAGAAAATGTGAATAAATTATCTTAATATGAAAGTTCTTTAAAATAGTCTTCATTATACTTAACAAGATGGGTTATTGAATTATTACAGTTGGCCAACAATTTTTATTTGTGGCCAAACAACATCTAAAGTTTTGATTATGTGTCAACTCAAAAGTAGGCTTTAAAAAAACTTATTCTGGAATATAAGCAAATGAATTACGAAACTCTTTTAAAACCACCAAATTGTGTGACACCCAATAATTTATATAAGCATTCACACACATTTTTTTTATTAAGAAAGGACCGAGTTCAATTCCATGGAGTGACTTACTTTTTTTTTTAATCTTTGACAAGACTTCAAATTAAAGATAAATCATTACGAAAAGCATTATTGATTCTAAGAACTTTTCAGAACCATTTGCGATCATTAATGCATTCGGGAAACTAAAAACCCTACTTGATCAGCAATATTTATTTTCCTGTCAATTATAAATTCTTGACTTTTTCTTCGACTGTATCTTTCCCCTCTGCAAGCCTCTCTTTTAGCCTGTCTGTCTGTCTGTTTGTTTGTTTGTTGGTTTGTTTGTTTGTTTGGCTGGTTGTTTGTGACTTGCAGTTTGGCGCGCTAGTTTGGCATTTGTTTTATTTTGGCTGCCGTCGCCGCATTCGACGCCATCGTCGTCATGACTTTAAGGACGTGCTCAAGACAACATATGCAGACGGAAAAGAACAGACTGAACGTGACTGGAGTGTGACGACTTGGCTGGAGTATCCTAATTTGCCCAACTCGGCGAACGTCCTTGAGGCGACTGTGCTACCCTATTCAATTAGCCCACTTCAGCTGAATCTCCCCCTATCCCCCCCTCATCTCCTCTCAGACCAGTATCGAAAGTTCAGCTGCTGTTGCAGCCCTTCTCGCCGGCAATTAATGACCTACTGCGTCTGGAGTTCATGTCCATGGCCCGGCCAAAAAAAATTATTGCGTTAACACGCGTTGCGACATTTTATATGGAGGTATGTCGGTCGTCCGACTGCAATTTCGTCGACGTCTCCGTATCCATTGTCCAGTTGGTGCGCCAGACGATGTCTGCACTCACACAGAGCCGCGGAAAAAGTATAAAAAAAATACAAAAAATAACACACGCACTTGCCGCGGATTGGGGATCGGGGCATTGGGGATTTTGCACTGCAGTTGCATTGCAGTTGGAGCTGCAGCTCGAAGCGAAGACCGAGCTGCATTCCTGCAACCGGGCTATTTTTAGACCCCGGGCAGTCAATGGGTTTTTATAACCTTTGCAGACGGTGCAAATAACTTGGTTACGACAAATGTAACGGACTAATCCATATGTACGAGCATATATCCCTCGTTTGCACCGAAAAAAAACGCATTAGCATATAAATTATAGCCTCAAAGTCTATTTAAGAAAAGTGGTTTTAACTAAGTGGACTTAAATTTGGTCTATTTTTGTATGACCTAATTGCATTGGCCAAAAATTCAATATTTGATTAAATATTTGGCTAACATATTTTTACAACAACTACGACGATTTTAGGTCTATAATTTGTACAAGTAATTTCTAAATTTAATTAAGCGTTGATTAAAAGTATTGTCAACATTGCTATCTCAAAATAGATATATCAGATTTTTAGAATGTTAAATTATGCAGAGGTATCTGAAACATGATTTTCATTTATAGTTTCAATATGTTTAAGAAATAAGCAGAAATTCGATAAAAATATGTAAAACTCGCTCTTTATTAAATACAAATTATAAAATGGGTGTGAAGTGGGTACGTGATTTAAAATATATTTCTCCCCTTTGAGATACTGTTTTTCTGGCAGTGCGGTGAAAGTGTTGCTCCAACGTGGCCGTGCCTAGATAAAATACCTCACCGATCTCGACTGATCCGCTAAGGACTTTCCTTTGCTGACTGCCGAACCTACCAGCTTTTGCTGTACCCAATGTTTTCGTAAGCAAATGCTTCGAATTCCTTGATGCTCGCAAAAATGTCTTTTGGGCACAGCCACAAATAACAAATAAGAAAAGTACAGGAGCAGCAGCGCGAAAAAATGCAAGGAGCGCCGGAGCAACAAGAAGGCACAAAATGCATTCTCTTCGGGAACTGCATTGCCAAACTCAGGGTCCACACACACACACACCAACACACACCCCAACACACACACACACACACCCAAAGAAGCAGACAGTCTGGGGCTAAATATATATATACCATATCCATACCATATAGCTATGGCGAATGCCTTCTTCTGGAGATGCAGTTTGACCGTTGGCCGCCGCTTCAAAAGACCTGTTTTCATGTTTTTGGGCATTTATTCTGGATTTTCGCAAAATGTGTTTTTTTTTCTTGTGCGCATTTTCGTTTGTATTGAATTGCATCTTCTGCTGCGCTGATCCTGGGCTGTTGTTGTTGCTGCTGCTGCTGCACTTTAGCAACAAGTGCATAATTTCAACCTCAAGCTCGAGGCTGGCCAAAAAAGATGCATCAAACGTGGTGCTTAATTTCAGTGCGGTTCTCTCAGGTATTCCACCATAAGCAACTTGCAACGCCTTCAGTTACATTTACGTATTAGATTAAACCGATCCCAGGCTATCCAATACTAAGTATTCAGAACCCAGAAAACTATCTAAAAACCCAGTGCGTATCATATTAAGGGGCGGGCATGTTTGGAGCACGTGCTGTGTGTCCCATTGTCCGGCCCAGAAAACCGATCGCCAGACGGCGGCCCAGAATAATTTAGGAAAACAGATAGAGTTGCCAAACAAACAAAACGCGGAAACAAACGATCCCATCCTGAGAAATGTGTAGGCAAATATTGGACTTGCACAGGAAAAAATGTATTTTCCTTTCTAACTAAAACCTCTTTTTTAGTCCTAGGAAATATATTGTTCTAAGATTTAATGATAACTTTATTAAACTGAGTGTCACAGACATCACCGAATTATTAAAAAACTTTTTTTTTTTTTTTATTTTCAAGATGTAGGTAAAAGTAATGTATTATAGGTTGTATCTTTTAAATTCTGCGGAAACTATTTTTGTGTCAGTCATGATTTGGATTAATGAAAAATCTATATAGCCCTTAAAATATATCATAACTTCCGTCAGAATCCATCACCATTTAATTTACTTGAGCTAGGCTGAAAATGATCGCTTCACGATTTCTTTCCGTGTGGCTTAGCATCCATTCTACGTTCGCCTGGACTCGCAATCCAGTCACCGACCGACTTTGAGCTCCATTCAGGCCGATTGCGCAATAGTGATCGCGAATGCCAGACCCGGCTCCAAAGCTATTTTTAGCTTTTTAGCTGTCCGTTCTGCGGAACCCTGTGGGTCGCCCAACTGAATAACTGTGCTGAGCTGTGCGGTTCAAATCGCCAAGAAAAAACAAAAAAAAAAGGGTCAACGTATTTGGTTTCATAAGTAACGTATCAAACGGCCCAAATCGAAATCGATGAGGCTGGCGATGAGATTCTAAGGAAACAGTTTGTCATTCGCCAACAACAGGAAATTCCTTTCGGCAAACTCATCAGCCAAAGTAAACTGTGCGTCTCCGTTTTGGCGCGAGATTAATGACACTTGGACAACGGCCCCGCCCACTTTAACGCCTCCGCCCACTTGGGCATTTGCATATGACAGCAGCAGCAGAAGCAGCAGCAGCCTCGTTGTTTGTTATGCAAGCAGTAAATTTTCAATAAATATACATAAGCCAACAAACAAATCAAATCAAACCGACAGCATCAGCATCGCAAGAGCAGACAGCTGGACTGTCTGCACGGAAAGAAAATCAGCAGGTCTTGGGATCGAAGTTAGAAGGTCAAATAGATATAACCAAATAGATATACAATACATCCAAATATTATCTGCCACGTTTTCCTCTATTCGTTCTTCAGCCAATAAAAGTAATTCAGGTTTAAGTAAGAAACATGCCTTAAAAAATGGAGAATCGAGATGATTTTATAATCAGATAAGGTTTAGGACTTTAGCTTGAACTTAATTTCATCAATAATCGTCAGGATCACCGTCTAATCACAAAATACCCAGTGCAAATCCCACTTCTGATCAATAAACTTTTATAGTTTTGGAACTATGTTTTAAACAATATTGTAGCACTAGATTATTTAAATTATATTCACATAAATAATAATAATATTATATTGAAATCAAAATTAAAAGAATTAATTTCACATTTTTAATTACATCAAATTAAAATGCTGGCATCAGGCATATACAATTTTGTTTTCAGTGTACTGTTGTTTTTGTTGCTCTGGGCGGAGGCTCGCCTGATAAACACAGACATATAGACAGTCACTGACCACCGAGATCTGTAGACTGCGACTGCTAAATGTTTGTTTTGCCAGCGCTCGAATGCCACGCGTTGCACATACGCAGCGTTGGCCGAAAAGGGGGAAAAAAAAAGCAAAACTCGCCACTTGACACTCGAAACTGTTTGTAGTTGTTTCGCTTAGAAGAATCGCTCGACGGCTCATTAGCAACCGCCAGAAATGTCCAAAAGTAAACAGGAAATCTGCAGGATGGATGGGAGAAAAGCGCGCGCGCGCGTTAAATTTGTTATTTGCTTATTTGGCTTTGCCACTCATCTTCTGAATCCGAATCTCAATGAGAATCAGAAACAGAATCAGAATCTGAATCTGATTCTGGAGCTGAATCTGAAGATGGAGCTGCGAGGCTCAGCAAACCGCAAGTAATAACAAATATCGGCTCACATGAAACCCGAGCTGTTATTGAGTCTTTCGATCGCCTTTTGTTGACAACTATGCAAGAATTTTGTTATTGTCTGAGATGGGCAAATTGTACGTGGAAAAATCTGTCTGTTGCAAATGTAAATTAAACAAAATATCCAAATGATACCAGTCTGTCTGGGGTTGGGATTTCGTTCTGAAAAGCGTCGCAATATCGACTCCAAGCTGTGCCATAATTCTGAACTCACCTTCTTAACTGCACCTCGTAGCGATGTTGCTGTTTTTTTAGAAATAACTTTCGCACTTAGACGTGTTTGTTTGCCAATAAATTAGCAGTGAACATGCAGAGAGTTTATGTGTATATGTGACACTTTTAGGTATTACAAGAAATCGAGCTTAATAAAAAACCCAAAAAAATAAAAACATTCTTAACACAAATGAAAACAAAATGAAAAGTTGCCGACTCGCGATCGCACTTTTGCCCACACGTTTAGCTGAGCTTTCGAATTTGGAGACTTTTTGTCGGGGTTTATTTACATTTCCCCGATTTTTTTCTGTTCTGTTCTGGAATCGCGAAACTGGACACAGCACTAGTTTTTACTTGTTACTTTTAACTGGGGACCAGAGACGTGCGCTCCATCTGATGGTCGAATGCCGACTGAATTTTGAAAACCAAAGTTCTCATTTAGGTAAGAAAAGAGGCAGCAGTCTTACACCCATACACATGCAAAGCGCTGCACTGTGGGACAAAAGACCAATTTTTGTGCTATTAAATAAAATAAATTGGGTCTTTAATAAAAAATGAGAGGGGAATTGTAGTGTTCTTTCTCACACTTTTCGTAGTACACTAATATTTTAAAAATGTGGACGTACATTTTTTTTTAAATATCAACTTATTTATATTTACTTATCAAAGTGTTTACATACTAATATTTTTTTTTTTTCGAAGGCATTTAAAATGCATTAATAAATCTTTTAGTTACAATTAGATCGTCCATTGTGTTATATTTGATGTTTGAATAATAGGGCTACTAACATTAATTTCTGCAATACAACTTTTTTGAAGAATTTTTTTGGGAACTAACAAATTTGTTAGTTTCTCTGGTTCGTTTGAAAAATTAGGTATTTTCTTGTAAATTTGGTAAGGACATAAAATCCAATAAAATTGATTTGATTTGACACTTATGATCGCTAAAGTGGCCTTTTGTCCCATGGTGCAAGGCTACTGTGCGGCTGTGTGCGTGAGAGACATGTAAATAACTCGCTGAACGGCTTTTCAGCAACATGTTGCCGGAAATGCATTTCCGGCTGAGATATACGTTGCCCCGTGTTGCCGCAACATGTTGAGGGCAACAGTTGTTGGCTCAACGCTCATTAAATGCAGCGAAATCATGCCGCGGCCATATAGAAAACATATCTTTATCTGCGGCCTTAACTGTCTATTGTTTGGCCAGAGCAAAGCGGCAGTCAGGCAGCCGAGAAAAACGATTTCTTTATGGTGCAAACAGCGTCATAATTTAGATCTAATTGTCAGATACTCGTACTCGCAGCCAGGCCACAGAACTGCATGTCGCTGGGCCCAGCAGCCTCGGAAAATGTGAAAATGTGGAAATGAAGACATTTGACGGGAGCCACCGCACTGGACAGCCGAGCAGCAGTTTTGCCAGTTGCGATTTTTACGTCAATTACTGCGCGGAGCGTTTTATTGGGCAATGGCGTGCTGGGCGCGTATTAAGCCCGCTCGCCGATAGCAACAACCACGTTGCAAACTCCGCGCTCCACGCTCCACACTCCACCTTCGCCTTTCCTTTCCACCAACCCACCTTAACCCACTAATGATGGCCGGAATGGATACAGATGCATGTGGCGGCCACATCGCCGGCTATTTATTGGAAGTGCATCTAATGAGACATTGGCATTGCTGGCCACAATTTGAGGCTGAATCGGGTTTGATATATGCCATTCAACCCTTCAATGGCAGACGAAAACCTATATCCATGTCTAACATAATAGAGGAAAACCTAATTTCATAAGAAATATAGCTAATAAATTACTAAAAAAAAGATTTAATGTTAATATGGGTACTTATATATCTAAACATTACAGTGGATTTTTACATACGTTTCCTTAATCCTAACGATCTATTTTTTAATTTCTATAATAATCTGAATTGAATGCACTAAAGTTCTTTATTTCGAAGCATTTTAAAATTGCATTTAATATTCCCAGTTCATATACTTTCGATTTGATTTTATGAATGAAATTAGCCATCACATATTCCTTCCCTTGTTTTTGTTTCCGCCCGTCAGAATAAATCAAATGTCTCGAGCACATCAAAGCGCGATTTATGACATTTGAACTGCCAGCGGAAATGAATGAATGGTCTTCGAAATAATTTGGCTATAAATACGCTCATTTCCCCGTATTCAATTATGCAAATCCATCCGACAACGTTGCGTATGCGTAATATTGCCGAGTTCAGCTATCTTTGACATTTCTCACGATAATTAGTACTAACCAGTGGGCGGAAGGCGGTGGGTGGTTCAAGGGGGCGTGTCTCAGGTAGGCGTGGGGCAGCTTAAGTGACGGCAATTTGCGGTGCCTCAAGGATATTCGATGACAAAAAGAAATTGCTTTGTATTAAGCCGTCTGCCTGTGTCTAGACTGATTTCCATAGCCCATGTGTGGTGTATACACATATATTTAGAGTCTGTGTGTAGTGGGAGGAAGGGGGGGAGGAGAGGAAGGGGGAGCTGTGTGTAATAGTCCGCTTAGGCTTGCCATGCTGTCGGCACTTTACATCAAAGTAAAGCCATTGCAATTGGCTAGACAGCGCCTTATAATCCTCTGCCGTTAGTTGGCTGTGTGTTTCGTTCCCGAACTCCATTCATACGCACTTGCTTTGGGATCTGCTGCGGTTTGGTAATGGATAGTGCTGACCAGCTAGCACAATTGGCCCATGAATGATTAATTGGGTTTGGTGTTGCTTGGCCAGCGAAGGGAGCCCAAGAATCTTGGCCAAAACTAAGCTATGTGATTTTTCTCTGGACAGCATTTCCGATCGCCGCGCCCACTTATTCAGTTTATTTTTATTTCACTTTTAGTACGTGCTGCCTTTTAAATAGTTTAATGCATTGTTTTATGGCCGAGTGACTCATTTCCTTGCCAGCTCAGTGATAGGCCATATGAGTTCATATTGATGTGTTTACAAGTCCAAAATCCGGAAAAATTCACTTTTATTTCTGTTTTTTGATCAAAACCCTGGGAAATAATGGTCAAATCTTGGAATGTCATACCTCGCTGAATTCGTTGTAAAATTTCCAATCGATTGGCATTTACAGCTCAAAAATTTTATTTTTGACCCTTATGAAAAATGCGAAAATCGGTCAAAAAATAAATTGTACCAAATCAACATGGAACTGATTGTATAGGTTCTCAGCTGCACAAAACAGTCATTCTTTTGGCTGTGCGTTTTATTTTGGCAAAGCTACAACAGAATAACCCTTTAAAAATGTGTTTTAAATATATGTTTTTGATAGCCAAAAACCAGAAATAAAACAGCTCCTTTTTCAGTTTTTTAACCAAAACCCTTGGAAATAATGGCCAGATCTTGGAATGTCATACCTCGTTGAATTCGTTACAAAATTTCCAATCGAATGGTATACTCAGATCGAAAATTTTATTTTTGGCCATATTTGGGAAAAAATCAAGTGTTACCCCTTATAAAAAATGCGAAAATTGGTCAAAAAATGAAATTTACCAAATCCACCTGGAATCGATTGTGTAGGCTGTCAGCTACACAAAACAGTCATTCTTTTGGCTGTGCCTCTTATTTTGGCAAAGATACAATGAAAAACCCTTAAAAAATGTGTTTTAAATATATGTTTTTGATGGCAAAAATCCAAAAAAAAACAGCTTGTTTTTTCAGTTTTTTAATCAAAACCCTTGGAAATAATGGCCAGATCTTGGAATGTCATATCTCGTTGAATTCGTTACAAAATTTCCAATCGAATGGTATACTCAGATCAAAAATTTTATTTTTGGCCATATTTAGGAAAAAATCAAGTGTTATCCCTTATGAAAAATACGAAAATCGCTAAAAAATAAATTTTATCAAAACAACATGGAATGGATAGTTTAGGACTTCAGATGCATATAACTGTCATTATTTTTCCATTAATTCTTGATTTGACCAAATTATGGGTTATTTTGTGGAAAAAGTTGATTATAAAGTCAACAATTTTGTTGTACAATTTTTGAATGACATGGATAACTTTTATGATGGTGATAACTAACTTTAAATCCATTATATATTTTAAACCGCCTTATTTTCAAATTTCGATAACAGATACTAGAAACATTGACTATCGAAAAAGCGGTATTTATTTTTCAGTATTCGAAATCTTTTACTACGATGGCGACATCTACCTTTGAGGAAATGGAACAGTGGCGTCTACTACCTGGAACAGTGGCGACATCTATCTCTGAGGCAACAAACTACGCCTCCTATCTGGCAACGTCATGCTCAACTGCCTCTGGGCAATTTGAAATTTCGACTTATAATCCTGTAATCTTTAAACAATGTTAATATATTGATAATCATTTAATGGTAACACATTTAATTGTAAGAATGACATAATATTTTAAAATTACCGGCATCCAGTTTTTGGATATTAATTGATGCCGAAATATCAAAAATAATTTATTATGTTAATGGTAATGTTGATTAGTTGGAAAATTAATAAATATAATTAACATATTTTAAACTTTTGGAAGTTTAACAACCTTCTGTTTAAAAAATTTAAGCTATGTTTATTTAATTTATTCCGAAAATTACCTTTTATTATCAAGATACTGCATGTAATTGTATTCAAATGTTTTTATATATACACATAAGAATTTACGTATGCATACGTTCTCCAGATTTTAAGCCTAATTATGTAAAAAACCATAAACGAAGGAGTAAGTCTTTGCTGGGAGTTCCAAATGTGTGCAGTGGCTGTGTATTCATAAATCCGAAGAAAATCCAAACGGCAGCTGCGACCGCAGCTAATCACGTTCTTAGCCGGTCATGATTTGAATATTAATTCTGGTGGCAGTTCTGGGCAGGCGACGACAGGCACTCGTTGTTTTTATGTGATGTGTAAGGAGCATTTAACAGATAGTGTGATTGTTTTATGACGACAACGTGCCGGGCTCAACGAACGAGTGCCAATGGCAACACTAAATATGACAATTACCACTGCCGATCTTACGGATCGAAATGGCTCATTTGCAGCGACATTGTGGCATTCAAGATACGAGATTGTTTTTCAGCCAACCCTGAACCAAAATCAAAAAAATCAAAAAAAAAACGACTTAAGCTGACATTAAGCGTATCAATTACATGTATTTCGGTTACTCCCTGATGGTGAAGTGCAATCCCACATCTCACATTACCCACTTGACATATATTTCGGTTCGGCATTCAAGAAGAATCGGAGATGGAGAGCCCAGTTCACAACCGGAAGGCAAGCGGAATGATATTTTGTGTTCATTCATTGTTTTACGACTCTATCGCAGTGAAAGTGTTTCGCTGGATAACGCTGTTTTATGACTTTATGATTTTTCGCATGAAAGGTGGCATTATGTGGGCGTCGTCTGCCACTCATTCGGCCTCCGATATTTAGGCCAGTAGATCAATTACGAACTGGCCGTTTTTAATGAGCCCAACCTGTCGCCGGCGCTTGGTCATAACTCGAAATTGGAAGGGTTGCTTGGTCATTAGTTTTACGACCCAGTCTCTCTAGTTAACCAAATTTCCTTGAGGATCACTAATATGCAATAATTTTATTCTCTGGATTGCATTGAATTATTTTCCTTTGGAGGGTAAACAAACCCCTTTATCATATTATTTATATTTTGATGACGTCATAGGAAGGCGAACACCTGCATTGATTCACGGACGTGTTCAGTTTTTTTTTACACTTCCTTTTGACATTTATGCCTGAAAGTCCAAATAAGGCGCCGCAGTTCTGCGCCTCAATCGCACGTCGTCGATTCGGTAAATATCCATATATGTACATTGTACACTTCACAAAAAGAACCATCTTTTTAACCTTTAAAAAAGGAGAAATGATTGATTTCCGGTTCACAAATGTAAAATAAGTAGACTTTTTGGACCATGGTTTTCCCTGCTTAGTCACCATTGTATGCGTTTCCTTTAGTTGTACTATTTTTTCTTTAAGGTATAAAAGATTAATTAGGTGGGCAAATAAGGAAATAGTTGTCTATATTTATAGACAGTCAAACTAAAACATAATACCCAGTTTCAATTTCAATTGCCTCAAAAACCAGATTAAAACAAATTGATCAACCTTTAGATTTTTATTATAAACGATTTCCTAACTAAAGTGCACTTATCTCTGAAGGACTGCAAATTTGTTTAAAGATTGCCAGAGGCCAGAGGTACTTGATAAATATTGTTTTAAGTGCACTATACACCGCCACGGCTGTTATTGTTGATTTGTGAGATGCATGACGCTGCGACTCCCGTTCAACTATTTAATCACAATGTGCTGATAAATGCCCGCCGCTCACAATGCAGTTGTAACAAGTTGAGGCGATGAAACTTCCGCCAATTGTTAACGACAGATTGTAACTGGGAGCGATCCGTTTCAAGGGCAGATCCCCCATTTCATCCATTTCATAGGCCTATAAGACTGATATGAACAGTTCAATTTGCACCCTGTTTTTCTGCTGTTCGCATCTGGAGGATGGGATGTGCACCAGAAATAGCTACCCCCGATTGCGGAGGAGGTGGTGTGTGTGTGGGAGGGGAAGGGGAGGGGAGGGTCATGAACTTCAATTATGTGGCTGTTAGGGGGGCGTGGCCCCTCTGCCCCCTCTAACCCCTCCGCCCACCAGCAGGTGACGTGTTGTTGCTGCTGTTGGAATAGCTGCAATCGCTGCTGTTGCTGGCGTGCACTCATGTTGCCGGCGGGCAGCAACACATAATTGCTGTCAAATCGCCTAGCGAGCGTTTAATAGCGGCATGGCCGAAAAACACTTGCCACGCCGCATTGAAAAACCGAATTAGCTGCCCTTTTGAACTTCTTGTGTTTACTTAGGGTCTTGCCAAGCATTCGATTTTAGAACTTTTAACAAGAATTTAATTTATGAATCGAAATGGGAGCATTCGACGACTTGTGAATAGAGTTTTATGGTGGTAATCTGCTGCTGCTCTTATCGGTCGAACCAACTTCTCCAGACCTCAGAGCCCACTTTCGTTTTATTAGTTTTTATTGTTATACATTGCCTTGATAAACGGAATGGCCTGACTGTGTTGGAAATCAATTACTTGTGGGATGCACAAACACTGGGCGATCTAACCGCGGTTCTCCAGCTTATCAGGCTTGGAAAAGCGGAGGGAGGGGGGAAAAGTCAACTCAAGAACCCCCCTGCTGATCTAATTGAACCCACTGAACCACTGAACCCCGCGTGCTCGGCTCGATTTCATGTCACCGAATCGTAAAGTTAATAAATTGCGGTTACCATCCAATACCAACCTACCCCAATGTTGGGTGGATAGCGCTGCAACCGGCATGAGAGGCAAATATTATATGTGCGCTAGAGCTGATAAGCGGATTGATTGCAGTGCAAACAGGGAAATGTGGCCAAGTTCAACGACAGCGTAGAGCCACCCGTGAACCGCTCGATTCGGGTGGCTACTGGCCTGGGAATCGTGATCGGCATCCTTTATGTCCGCCATATGCTCTCCGTTTCCATTTCCACTCATCCACACACCAAAAAGTGATCACTCGGAGAAAAATTTTAAGATCATTTCAAAGATGTTAGTCTTTATAAATCTTCAAGACATAAGCCTATAGAAATAAAAATATTTCTTACAAGCAGATACTTTATTTATAAAACTCATATCTTTGGATATACAACTTTTTGTCTGAATTATAAATAGAATGTAATAATTAAAAAGAGATATCAAATGCAGCCTCAATAAGCTATAATCTACAACTCAAAGGTCTCTTCTAGACCCACTTTTGATGTGATATATAATATATGGGTTCTTGTTGCAAAGCATTCTGAATTGATATACAGTTGTATTATATGTAATAGTGAAATAAAGAAGCAACCCATTACATTAATAATAATAATACTAATAGTAATTTGTTATCATGAAATGCCAAATACGAACTGATTAGTTTTTACTGTGCAGATTTAAGTGAGCCTGCATAAAGCTCGTTGTAAATATTAATTATAACGAAATATACGAGATGATGAGGAACAAATAAGCTGGGGTTCCTTCAATAAGTATTCATAATAAAATGCGGCTCCCTGTTGGAACTCCATGGTGACAGGCGGCAAAAAGGCGACGCAGCTCGCTGTTTTCCTTCTTTTTTTTGTTTTTACACAGGCCCTCGCACTTGGGCGTGCACTTATTTATGTATGTGCGTCCGAGTGTGTGTGGCAATCGCGTAGGGGGAGTGTAAATGCAAGTGGCGTTCCGAACAAGGAGACCCACCACCCGAAAATGTCCAAAGCGGAATGCACTCAAGTCATATACCTAACTATAGGATCCCTACCAAACTGGATTATCAGGTATTCACTCCTGTTCAATACCGCTTATATTATATTGCCATTTATAGGGAATAATTGTAATTAATATTGAACATTATCCATAAATTACTAAATTATATGATGTTGCACTCAAAAGAAAAAATTTGGTATAACAGGTACTCATCCCTGTTCAATACCTGATCAATTGCACAATATTTAATTGTAAGGGTTTAAAGAAAATACCATTAGTTAAGTATACCTTCATAGGTTATTGGGCTATTTTTATTGGTATTGCTCGTTTTCAATTCCAATGCCACTGCGCAGAGATAGTAAGACTGTAATACTTAATTTTATTCGAAATAGTTAGACGTTTTTATGTAAAATCCAAGGCGGGCCAGCTTATCAGTAGTGCGTGTGAAATTAAAAACAAAATAGTCCGGTCGTAATTATTCCAAAAAAAATATATGTGAATCTCCAGAGGTGGTAACCCATAGATAAGAAGTCTAGTTCTTGAAGCAAAACACGTACATATTTTAAGCCAATGATTAAATTTTTTGAATTAAAGTAAAAAAAGGTTCAATGCTTATCAAGATGAGAAGAATTAATATTAAATCTATACTCGTTCAGAGAACGTAAAGAAGACGATTTAAAGAGTTTTACAATCGTACGCACTTTATACCTAACTCTCAGCGCTCAGAGGCATACAAATATGTATTTTGCAGGCAACAACACCATGAATCTCTCTTTCGACAACCGTGTATGGTGGATAGTGGAATCGACGGCTGTCCAAGTCTGCTGCAGCACTTGAATTCATTTCATTTCGTTGCGAGTCGTCGGAGAGTGAAAACGTCCCGAGTTCGGTGCACCACTGATCTTTTGCCTCGGTTTTAGACTAGTGTTGCGGAAATAAAACACCATATAGTCTATATATATATATGCTACATATTAATGCAGATAGCATGGTCCAGTAGTCGTTATAGCGTGTGGTTTACAACAACTTGTCGCCGGCAAAAGTGACAAAAGCCAAACAAGTTTGGCCCGATTTTTAGCTAGATCTCGCGAGAGTATGCCGAAAGCCGGCTGGGCTTAATTAAATTAATATAATTTCGGGAGAACGCCGCCGCCAACCCAGCGATCTCGAGTGTGTGAGTGTTTCAATTAAATTCAATAAATCATAAATAAGTGAGTGCCGAGCAACCCAAAACGGATCCTGTTTTAGTGGTGTGGCTCTCTGGCGCAATTGTGATTTATTGGCCGCCGAGGAGGGGAGTGCAATTACGAAATTACGAATGCGAAACGTTAATTTTGATGAGTTCCAATGAAAGTTGAATCGAAAATGTTCGCTGTCATATTCTTCGCCCTTGTGGCCCATCTGCCATCGCAGATTGAAGCCTTCAATTTCATGCCCCGAGCGAGCATGGTGATAAACACCCCAACGAATTTGAAGTTCTTCATGAACCAAACTCGGAGCTCCTATTTTGGATACACACTCGTCATTCGTGAAACCAGGTGAGTGTTGCTATTGCCCATTTTCCAGCTGGGGATCGCCGTAAATATTTGCATACATGTAGGGAGTGTGAAACTTTGTTACTCCACCCGATAGTGTTTGACTTGGCGCAAGACAAGCGAGGGCTTTCAATTCGGAGCCAACACCTTTGTCAATATTTTGAAACTTCTGGCACACGGAAATGAAACACCGAAGCTTGCGAAAGGGGATCAACAGAAGTGGCAGCTCGACAAAATTAGTATAGTTGTTGGGCGTTTTATTGGCACTTAACACTTTGCACAGCAATTAAAATGTTATTTTCGCCTAGTCGTAAATGGATGCTCCGCACACATGGACAAATGAAAGTAGATCGAATTTCAGGACAATACTAATGGCATGACGAAAAAAAACCCAGCTTGAAAACCTCTCGAAAACAATACCACTTCAGTCTGAAATTTCTAAAAATAACAAAAAACTGGCTACTTCAACTTCAATTGCCATCGGTTACAATCGCCACAGATCTGAGAGATCGCGACTCTGTCTTGAACAATTGACAAACCCGAACACTTTTTAGTGAGCCGGGGCGACCTACATATCATATATGATATGTAGACCCGATGGCGGCGACTTTAGCTTGGAGTACGGCCCCAGAAATGACATCACACACCTCAACCGGCGCCACAAATCACAGTTTATTGAGTGAGAAGAAAGTGGGCAGATCGAGGTCCAGATACTCTGCTTGAGATACATTTGGAAATAGACTTCTTAAGGTTCAGATGCTCTGCTTGAGATACATTTGGAAATAGACTTCTTAAGGTTCAGATACTCTGCTTGAGATACATTTGGAAATTGACTTCTTGAGGTACTAACCATAATGATGTTTAAAGAGCTAACACCTTTTATTCGCTGATGAAAAAGCTAGAATCTTTATTCTCTTATATTCCACAATCAACTGTAGAGTATCTGTAAGCTGACTATTTAAATTTATTTGCCAAAATCCAGGCCACAGCCTCAGAAACAACACTTTTGTTTTTTTTTACCTGACGAGTACATCCATATCTTGTTTTAATTCTGGCCATCAGCAAACCTAGTTAAAATGCAGTACTCGTACGTGATCATAACGAGCTGGCTTTTGACCATATTTTATTTCCATAAACCTGGATGGGTAATTTGGAACTTCCTCTACAGTGCCCACTTCCCCCCTTGTTTTTTTATTACCAGCACTTTAAAGCCCAAAATACCCATGACTGTTGGCCATTACGTAGAGCGCCTAATTATGTACGGAAATTGCGCGTAAAATCACGACAAGCTGTAATTTATTTCCCATCAATTGGAGTTGGCTGAAACAAAGAAAAAAAATGTAAGGTTTGTTTATGGTTTGTTTCGATGTATCTGCTGATAAAGAGGGCTGAAATCGGAATAAAATGTAGCGAAGAGTGCACTCACTCACTGGCTGTTTCCCAATACCTCCTGCATTCTGGCGAAATGAGTCACAAATGTTTCCAATCCGATTTGGAGGCGATGGCGTCTGCAGACCCACCCTCCTTGTTCCGATCCCCGCCAGAACTCCCCCGACCAGCTGACACCACACACAAATATTTTAGTCGCCTTACTCTGGGTCATTAAACCGAATTCCGAAAACAGAAAACAAAACTGAAGACTCCGCAACGGAAAACGGTGCAGCATGGTTGCTTTTGTTCTTAACATTTGATGACCGCAAGCTGCAGCGTTTCTTTGTTTTTTGGTTTTGTTTTCTTTCGCCGATGGAGATGATGGCACGGGAGATTTGTGTGGTCCGCAACATGGCTTATTGTCCGCTCACATAAACAGTAAACAGTTCCTTGTTCGGCATTTAAACAAAGCGCCACCACCTCGCTCATCTTCTGCCCAAGAACTTACATTGAAAGACAGAAATATAGCTTTATATCCAATTGTTTTTCATTTAAAAAAAGATTTTTCAATTTTTGGAATTTTTTTGGTATAAATATTTTCAATAAATTAGGAGTAAGGTGTTTGGATATCAACATATACTTACTTACAGTTTTATTAAATTCATTCAATCTTAAATTTAATTCATTTATAATATTTTATTTTCTGTCTCTAGTTTTCTTAGAAAATACATACAATGAACAATCCATAACAAAGTACATTAAGAACTTAAGTTTAGACCCACAAATGAAATATAAATGTTGAATACAAAATACAAACTAGTCACTAAAATGTATAAATAGAAAAGAAACTAATTTGAAATTTATGAGGTGCATCTTTTGTTCCAATAATTTGAACTCGGCTGTATTTATGCACAAAGGCCGCGGCAAAAGTGGGGATGGGGGTCATGTGCGAGTGCAAGACATGGTTTACATGGTCATGAGTCATGTCTTGGGGAAATACGTAAGCGACAACTTTTGTAGTTTTGTATTAAAACTCAGACATGCCGAATTTTTACAATTTCTCCGCCTCCATTGAAGTGAAAACAAATGTTTGCTGACTGTTTTCGGGCTAACTTTACCTATATATCTTTTTTTACTTGGAGCATAAACAAGTTGTATATCAGGTAGCCAAAGTGACGTGTGCTTGTTACTGGCCTAACTCAATATCTTGACAATTTTTTTAGTGATTGGCGTTTTTTTCACGCATGCAATCAAGCTCAAACTATTTGTTTGTGGATAAAGTTACGTCTGAAATCAGGCCAGGGAATAAAGGCAGTCTTGGTGAGTCATCCAACTGACTGAGATACGATCCGGAGAAAACTTGTATATTGATGTAGATGCAGTTGTATGAACAATAAAAAGTAAATCAACAAGCTAGCGGAGGTCAAACTGATGCTTGGGAATTATTCTATGCTAAGTCTTATTGAAATCATATTGTTTATTATCTGAGGTAAAACAAAGTAATAAGGCCTTTTATTTTACTGAACTTAATGATGGTTAAAAAAATATAATACCTGTTTTATGAGGACACAATTGCATTATTAAATTGGAATTAAATTATTATTTATGTTTTTCCCCTTTCAAGAACATTTGCTTTATTGACGTTTATCAATTTATGCACTATCAATTTTTTCTGCATATATTATTTTTTTTGTTGTAGTAAAGTCCTCTTTTATTTGAACTGTGAGAAACTTTTTTACAATCAATTGGGTTGGCATGAGTCAGTCTAAATGGCTGATTAAAAAACACTTGCTTCTGTTATAAAACAAATTGTAATTTAATTTTCTTCAGAGAAAATCAGAATGGGAATCTGAGTCAGGAAAATATATACATTTGTACCTATAATAGTTTAGTTAAGAAAAATGAAAACTAGAAACTAGAACTACAAAAAAGATTAAAAAGCTTATTTTAATTAAATTCCTGATCATCCAAAAAATGAGACCAATCTTCTTAGTACCCAATACCCGATAAAAAACGAAACCCAAATTTCCAAAATGTTAAATTCTATATGGAGTTATCATAATAACAAACAATTTTGGAAATTTTTGCCGAATATGTTTTTGAATGTGTATGTGTTAAAATTTCAAGGTTTAATAAATTCAGCATATCAGCATTTTTTACAGTTCAGATGTTGGCTTTTGATTATTGTTGATCCGATAAATAATATTTGCTATGAGTCAGTCTTTGTGTCTTCTTGAAAAAATAATCATTTTGTTTTCTTATAACTTAAAGTAGTACCCATGAAAAGTCCGAATTCGGCAAGACAAGCGTTTTGAAGATGGAATTCACGCCACTCCCACGAGAGCCGCGAACGGTACTGTGAGTTAACCTGGCCAAAAAGAGCGGGTCCCTCGCAGCTTTTGGATGTCGGGGGATCCACGAGCGCCAGTCGATTGCTCTCTCGTCATCGCCACCGAGTGGTAAAGTGGAAAAGTGCTGGTCGATGGGTTGCTTAGGAAATGCTGCTCAGATAGTAGCATTCAGACATTCGATCGGAACGGCTGTATTCCATATTTGTCGGCGGAGTTGCGGGTTGAGTCACACAAACGAAAGTGATAATACATAAAGACGTTAAGATAATACAGCCGTCGATCGCGTGGCTCAGCGTTTTAACCAGTTAAATAATCGTGGTCGATAGAAAAAGAAAGCTCTTCTTTTTCGCTTTAAAACTGCATAGATGGCGCGGCAAGGTCGCGAATTCTGGGTGGTGCTGGTGGTGCTGTGGTTCTCGATATACCAGTGCAATGCCTTTAACCTTTCGCCACGACCCAACAGGGAGATATTGGATCCCCAGTTCGCCACCACAATGCCCAAGTTGCGTGCGTCATATTTCGGATTCACGATGAGCCTGCGACCCAATGGGTAAGCTCCCGCATCTTCAGTTTACCCACTCCAAATAAACGGGGAGTAAACAGGTTGTGAGCGATGATTCACGCTTGAAAATGGCAATCGAATAGTAGCTGTAAAACTGAATGAACTTTTTTGAAAATGCTCCGGCAGCCACAAAAAAAAAGTGTCAAAAAAAAAGACATTTTTACCACTTAATGCCTTCAGCAAACGATGAAGTCATACTCTTAATATCAATTATCTAAACATACCGAGGAGGTGTAGTCAAGTACATAATGTATGTGTACATAAATGGTTTTAATGGAGATAGCAAGCTCGATTGTATGGGGTACGAACTGGAAGTTATGAAAAAATTTGCAACGATGCACGTCCGAACCTTTGTTGGCTTAATAAGTCAGCTATTTAGGGTGGAGTTCGCTCATTCCTATAACGTTTAGAATCGTCAATGCCAATTTGTTATCAGCCAACGTAGCCTGCCTCGCTTCGTTTTTTTTTAACGATTTACGATAAGATTGCCGCTGTCACAGTGAAGTTCCGCTAAGGCGGCAGCACCAGTGATAAGCCGCCGCCCAAATGCACATAAGTAGCTCTCGGGCAGAACTTACAAGTATGTTTCAGAATGATTACACATTCAGGTTGATTGGTCCCCTACATCTTATCGAATTTCCATTGCCAGCCACTTTACGGACCGCCTGTCATTGAGTTCGGCGGAAAAGTCGACTAATAGATGAGACATTCCCAATAAATTGTCTTTATTGTCTGACTAATACGAATAAAGGGAACGTAACAATATACCTTACATTTTCATTTCGTTTTTGGGTTGGCTTCTTGCCAGGCAAAATCATAGAGAAATATATCACTCTACTACTCTATTATAAAAACAAATATGGTAGCCTTTTTCAAGATACTTAAGTTATGTACAAAATACATTATGTGCCATTGCATATTTATTTTCGTGACTTATCTGTTGGTAAATATTGAAAGAACTCTGTCAAGGCCTTTATTTGGAAATGAGTTTTTTTAAAGTGTTAAATACATAATTGTTATGTTTGCTTCATTTTTGCTTGCAAGTAGCGCAGTTGTAAAGTTGTGTACTTGCAAAATAATCTTCAGTAATAATAAATTAAAACCTCTTCAAAATATTACAAAAAGCTCTTAAATTATTAAAGAATTAAAGAAGAATTATGAAAAACAAATTGGGAAAACAAAAGAAAGGGGTTATCAATATTTTTTAAAAAGAAGTACTAAGTGTAGGGGTATGATATGATATCCCCAAAGATATAATTTGACACCGTTGAATATATAGTTGAATAGTTAATAGCTTCTATTTAATTATAAGTCCTGGTCACAATCACTGCTGGATGTCAACTGATCTCGCACTCCGCTCAGAACTCGCTCCAATCCCCAACTCTCTGATAGAGTTTGAGAGCGATGAGAGCACAAGAGAGAGAGAGAGCCCAGCGAGAGTAAGCTCTACAACAACAACAACTAAGGAATACAGTAGTTTATACATACTAATAGGTAGCAATCCTGCTACATAATTATATTATTTTGGATTTGTCTAAAATTGCTTCTTTCATCTGTAATTTCAGCATCATTGTGGGAGCTCCTCGTGCTCAATCCACATTAGAATCGCAGCGCAACATCAACGAGACTGGTGCGATCTACAGGTGCTCTCTGACGAACGGTATCTGCAGTCCGTATGTCCTGGATCCGAAAGGGGATGTTGATGCTCCATTCAACGAGTACACCTTTGACTCGGTGCGCAAGGACTTCCAGTGGCTGGGAGGAGCGATGGACGGCGGGACGAAGGACAGTGACAAACTGCTCGTGTGTGCCCCCCGGTTATACGCGCCCAGCGCCAGGGACTACCACCTGCACGGTGTGTGCTACTGGGTCCAGGACACACTGGCCAGTACTCCGGAGCACGTCACCCGCATCTCTCCACTCCGCCTGAAGTCACTGCAGGTGATCGAGGAGGAGCCAGGCAAGTCCAGCTTTAACTACATCATGGCTGAACTGGGACTGAGTGCCCATGTGGCGGATGATAACTCCAAGTTCCTGATCGGAGCCCCTGGCATCACCACGTGGAAGGGATCGGTGATCCTGTACCGACAAGTGGATCCCGTGGAAAATCCCTCCGCCAGCAGACGTGACACAAGCAAGGCGCTCCGCCGTACGGTTCGAGATGTGGACACTAACGATTATACCCCGGAGCACTATGCCCCCGAGATCCCAAAGCCCGCGAATTGGGGCCAGGAGGATGACTCGTACTTCGGCTATGCCGTGAGTTCCGGCTTCTTCGACAGCTCCAACCCGACCACCCTGCTCTACGTGGCCACCGCTCCCCAAGCCAACAAGCAATCCGGCGAGGCCTACATCTTCGATGTCCGGGGACAGAGCATCAAGAAGTTCCACGTCTTCCGGGGCGAGCAGTTTGGCGAATATTTCGGCTACTCCGTACTGGCGGAGGATCTGAATGGAGACGGCAAAACGGATGTCATCGTATCCGCTCCATATTACGCTTTCGAAGACTCCTACGACAATGGTGCCATCTATGTGTTTATCAACAAGGGCTTTGTGAGTAATAAGTGCATTACCTAATACTCTTTTTGGGTTGGGGTTTCTCTGAAACAATTCTGACTAATGCTTTTGCTATCATTGCAGTTCAACTTTGAGCGAACGATTTTACATTCGCCAATAGCCAAACAGGCGCGATTCGGAACAACTCTTTCGCGTCTGGGAGACATTAATCACGACGGATATAATGGTGGGTTTCTCAGTTGTTGTTAAGATTACTTCATTTTATGTTAATCATTTTATATTTTAAAGACGTGGCCGTGGGAGCTCCCTTTGCCGGAAACGGATCGGTGTTCATCTACCTGGGCGGCGAACTTGGACTGCGGGATCAGCCGAGTCAGCGGCTGGATGCTCCTTCCGAGCAGCCTTCCAAGTACGGATCGCACATGTTCGGCCACGGCCTCTCCCGCGGATCGGACATAGATGGCAATGGGTTCAACGACTTCGCCATCGGGGCTCCCAATGCCGAAGCAGTGTATCTATATCGTGCCTATCCCGTCGTGAAAATAATTGCCACAGTAAAGTCGGAGTCGCGGGAGATAAAGCCGGAGCAGGATAAGGTGAAGATCACCGCCTGCTACCGGTTGAGTACCACGGCCAAGGCACCGGAGGTGCAGCAGCAGGAGCTCAACATCCGGATTGCCATCGACACGCAGCTGAAGCGGGTTAAGTTCGTCCAGACGCAGACCAACGAGATGAGCTTCAAGGCGAACGCGGGTATCGGGGAGCAGTGCCAGGTGTTTGAGACACAGGTTCGCTACAGCGAGAAGGACATTTTCACGCCCATCGACCTGGCGATGCACTACGAGCTGACCAAGAAGGTTCCCGACTCGGAGGGTGAGTGTTAGGCTTCACTGTAGCAGAATACAGTGACTAATGTTATCACCTTCAATAGAGTTCTGCGAAACCTGCGTGGCTGTTGATCCGGCGGAGCCAAAGGTTTACACGGAGAAGATAATCTTTAGCACGGGCTGTGCCACCGCTGTTTGTACAGCCGATCTGCAGTTGAGGAGCAAAAATGTGGGGTAAGTCAATGTTGGGGAGCTAAATTCAAGAGAAATTGCATTGAAAGTAGGCAAAAGTTGTATTCAAAATAACCACCTAGATATCCAACGTTGTGGGTGCAGTGATTTATGGGGATCTCATAAGCTGAGCGCTTAACTTTCTTGTTTTGTTTGATTCATTAAATAAGCAAACACTCTCATTTTATCAGAGCGATGACTTATACCGTCTTACTTTTTTCTTTTCCAGCCCCATTTTTATTTTGGGCAGTGCCAATACACTCCGACTAAATTACGAGATCACCAACAACGGCGAGACAGCCTACCTGCCCCAATTCAACGTGACCAGCAGATCCCGCTTGGCCTTCGCTCAGGTTCCCGGAAACTGCAAAGTGGCCGACGCAGTTATGGTGTGCGATTTGAACCGCGGACGACCGCTGGCCAAAGGGGACAGCGATTCCGTCACCATCAGCTTCGATGTGAGCCAACTCAGCGGACAGTCGCTGATCATCCATGCAGAAGTATTCAGCACGGGATACGAGAAGAACCCCACGGACAACAGTCAGACCAACGTGATCGGCCTGAGGGAGTACACCGAGATCGATGCCAGCGGGTAAGACTCCATAAACATATTAGAAGTCACTTAAACCTAATCAAGATGCCTCATTTATTTTCAGGGGTCAGACAAACGGTCAAATCGACTTGGAGCACTACAGTAACTCCGCGGAAATCGTCAACAACTACGAGATCAAGAGCAACGGGCCCAGTATCATCGAGCAGTTGACTGTGTCCTTCTATATACCGATTGCCTATAAAGTGGCTGGCTCGACGGCAGTTATACCCATTGTTAATATATCCAGCCTGAAGATGCAGGCCACCTACGACTCCCAGTTGTTGGGCATCGATCTGTACGACCAGAACAACACCCTGCTCATCGTGGAGCCCCTTGAGGTGGCCACCACGGTCAGCGGAGGCATGGAGCGGACTGTGATCACCCAGAACGGACAGGGCTACGACATCCACACCAGCGGACATGTGCACCAGACCATGCAGGTGCTCGACCCCGACACGGTGGCCACCGCTTCCATGTCCCGAAAGCGCCGAGATCTCAAGGCCTTGACCGCCAACCGGGAGCAATATGCTCGCATCTCGAATGTGAAGGCCCACGATCTGCTGAACGAGGACTTCAAGGACAAGCTGCCGGTGAATCGCACCATCGTGTTCCATTGCCGGGATCCCTCAATGACCATCTGCGTCCGGGCCGAGATGCGCGTCCACTTTAGGCCGGAGAAATCCATTAACTTGAATATGCGCTACAAGGTGGATCTGAATGAGGTGAATGCCATACTGATGGATCCCTGGGAGTACTTTGTCATCCTCACCGACCTGAAGCTGCAGAAGAAGGGCGATCTTACGTCTAGTTCGTTTTTAATTAATCAAAGGATCGAACCGAATGTAATATCCAAGCATCTGGAGGCCGGACTGCCCATCTGGATAATAATTGTGTCCGTGATCTTTGGCCTGGTGCTGCTCTCTGCGATAAGCTATGCTCTGTACAAGGTACGTTTTGGTTGACTTTAATGGAAGATGGAAGTGATTTCTGACTTTATCTTATTTTTTTATCATTAGTTTGGCTTCTTCAATCGCGCCAAGAAGGACGAGCTGGACAGGTTGGTGCAGCAGAATCCCGTGGAGCCGGAGGCGGAAAACCTCAATAGCGGAGGGAACAACTAAGTCTGGCCGAGGGATTTCCCAGCCGAACACATCACATTCTAAATGGATGGACCAGTTACTAAATCATATTTTCAAAACGGGAAGACTACCCTTTGAAGCATTTAAGAAGCAGCGAAAAACGAAAAGCGATTTACGAAAGATCTACCTTATAGTAGTACGTGCAACCTGCAAGCCACTGAGCATTCAATGTTATTGTGGGTTTGACCTTCTAGTGGCACAAGTCTAGTGCCTTGTAATTTGTAGCTTACAACTAATTTATACGAAAGTCCCATAAGTGCTGAACCAGCCATATTGCCATTTGTTGTATATATTTATTAAACATTTTTAATTAATCATAATTGTAATGACGTAATGACGTTGTAAAGGCAGCTTTACATGGCGACGTAAAAGACTTTATTAATGTGTAAATTGTAAAAACGAAGTTAGGTTATTTTAAGCCCAAATCAGCTTGTTTAGAACCTACTCTTGTATTATACTAGATTATTAAAGTGATGAAGAATGAATAAAAATGAAAGAGAAACAAAGACACGTTGGAAAAATGTTATTTTCTTTTCAAGGTTCGGGTATTATTAAGCATGGAATTGAAAATTCAAAGATAATTCGATTTTAAAAAGCATATTTATTATTAGTTTCCTGTGTTATTTCTTTATATATTTGTATTTTTTTTTTTTTAATTTTAGTTTATTAACTTACAGAACCCTATTTTAATTATTTATGGTTGATGCTTGTTATAAAATCTTATCATCAATTTAACTCAAATATCGTCAATGGTGCCGCGAATGGGCACAAGTTTTACTGAATTTTACAACGCATAATAAAAATATTTTTTTATAAAAATGTAAGTAATAATCATATTATTGTTTCATTTATATTCATAATATGTAATTCATTCTGAGCAATGACACACAATTTGCTGGAAGTCAACATTTTGTTTCAAAATTCATTTCGTTGTATTTAATTTTGAAACTCGGTTCGGTTCGGTTGTAAAAAGTTTGATTCCTTAAAAAAAATGTTTTAGTAGATTTTAAGGAATTTAAGTTATAACAAAAATGTTTCGCCTTATTTTGGTCGTGTTCTTGGTCTTTCAAATCCAAATCGAAGCTTTCAATTTATCGCCTTATCCAAATCAAGTGATAAAATATCAGGGACATCCAAAACAATCCCGCAGTTCCTACTTCGGATACTCGCTCGTCATCAGACAGAAAAGGTAAGTTCCGATAACACTAGCTACTTGGATTATTAAAATAAAAAGTGCAGCAATGAAACAAAAAACCAGAAACGTAGTGGTGTGAACCGAATAATTAATAGAAATACTGCAACAAATGGTTTAAGCTGATGCCTCCTTTTCTTGGACTTACTTCAAAACTTTTTAATACTTCTTACCTAAATTTTTGATTTCAAAATTAAATTGTATCTACATTCTTGGGGTGTGCCAATTTTCGAAATAAACTTGTAAAATCCCAGCTTTCTAGAAACTATACTTGATGTTTAAGAAGATTCCTTCAATCTATTACATACTTTTTAATTACAAAGATAGTTAGGATAGTCCTAATTGCATATATATTGTACTTCCAGATCGTCACTTTAATTATAGCTATTCCTTAAATTAAATTTGATGATGATTTGCTTTTCTATTAGAATTGTTCATATTGTAGCTTCCTGAGTGATCATAAGTATGTATGTTATTTTTTCTGAAAGGAAATATTCATCAATTTTAGTCATTGTTTGAACTTTCATCGATGACTGCGAGATCACAGTGACTAATTATTATGAGTAATTATATACATTACATGAAAACATTTTTTCCCTAATATGACGTTCCAGAATTTTTGTAGGAGCACCCCGAGCTCAATCCACTTTCCAAGCGCAAAGCAATATTGAGGAGCCTGGGATGATCTACAGGTGCTCCCTGGAAAACCAGAACTGCCAGCCATATGCCCTGGATTCCAAGGATAATGAGGATTCGTACGATACGTTATTCTTGGGCTCAAAGCACAAGGACTTCCAGTGGCTTGGTGCGTCAATGGATGGAGGCACCCAGGATACGGATAAGCTCCTCGTTTGTGCCCCCCGATTTTACACCCACAGTTGGGATAAGGATGAACTGCCCGTTCAATACCACATGCTCGGAATCTGCTACTGGGTTAAAAACACAGTGAACGACATTCCGCTGCGCGTTATGGAGATTTCCCCACTTCGTGACCCAAAAATTCAGGAGCGTGAGATCGCAAATGTCACCCACTGGATCTACAGTTTAGGCCAACTGGGCCTCAGTGGCCATGTGTCGGATAATGGCTCCAAGTTTCTGATCGGAGCCCCAGGCATTGATGATTGGAAGGGAACGGTGATCCTAAACCAGGAAAAAGAGAACGAGGAAAGTTCCGCCAGAGCTCAGCGTGACACGAGTAGGGCACTGTTCCTGAAACGAGCTAAGCGGTCGGTCTCCCGATCCGACACGGTAGCTATACATCCAAATGGGACTCAGCAGGATGACTCGTACTTCGGCTATGCCGTGAGTTCCGGCTACTTTGACAGCCTCAATACTTCACACCTTCTCTACGTGGCCACCGCTCCCCAAGCCAACAATCAATCTGGCGAGGCCTACATCTTCGATGTCCGGGGAGAGAGTATCCAGAAGTACAAAGTCTTCCGGGGCGATCAGTTTGGTGAATATTTCGGCTATTCTGTGCTGGCGGAGGATCTCAACGGAGATGGGAAAACGGACCTCATCATATCTGCCCCCTTTCACGCTCTGAATGATTCCTACGACAATGGAGTCATTTATGTTTTTATCAACAATGGCCTTGTGAGTAATTAATAGCATTAACTTAGTCACTTTTCGGATTAATTAAAACGGACTAATTTGTTTTCACTGCAGCTCAACTTTACAAAGACTATTATCAAGTCGCCAGCGGGCTGTACGGGTCGATTTGGAGCAACTCTTTCGCGTCTCGGAGACATTAACGACGATGGATATAATGGTGATGTTTTAAGAGATTTTAGAGTTTCTATTTCTGTTGAGCGATGTATATATTAACAAAATACATTTTGTAAATTCAGTTTATAACAGCTTTAGATTTAGTGGTATATCTTTTTTTTTGGCAGTTTAGTCACTACATATACCCATTATACATATACATATACCCATTAGAGTTCTATGTTTAGGTACACGAAAACAATGAACAAATGTTCAACATCCGCGATTAAGATAAGCACAAGTTTAAATCTACAAATTATTTGAATGAAAATGAGTTAGTTTTAAAATAGATCCATTAATACCCTCCTCCTTATGCAGACGTGGCCGTGGGAGCTCCCTTTGCCGGAAACGGATCGGTGTTCATCTACATGGGCGGAGAGTTTGGACTGCGGGATCAGCCGAGTCAGCGGCTGGATGCTCCTTCCCAGCAACCTTCCAAGTACGGATCGCACATGTTCGGCCACGGCCTCTCCCGCGGACTGGACATAGATGGCAACGGGTTCAATGACTTCGCCATCGGGGCTCCCAATGCCGAGGTCGTGTATCTTTATCGCGCCTATCCCATTGTCAAAATACTTGCCACAGTAAAGTCGGAGTCGTGGGAGATAAAGCCGGATCAGGAGAAGGTGAAGATCACCGCCTGCTATCGGTTGAATACTACCGCCATGGCATTGGAGGTGCAGAAGCAGCAGGAACTGAACATCCGTATTGCCGTCGATACGAAGCTGAAACGGGTTAAGTTCGTCCAGACGCAGACCAACGAGATGAGGTTCAAGGCGAAGGCGGGTATCGAGGAGCAGTGCCAGGTGTTTGAAGCACAGGTTCGCAACACTAAGAAGGACATGTTCACGCCCATCGAACTGGAGATGCACTACGAGCTTACCAACAAGGTTTCCGTCTCGGGGGGTAAGTCATAGGCTTTGCCTAAAGCAGAATGCAGCGACTAATGTCCTCACCTTCAACAGAGTTCTGCGAAACCTGCGTGGCTGTTGATCCGGCAGAGCCGAAGGTTTACACGGAGAAGATAAACATTGCTGTTTATACCGCCGATCTGAGGTTGAGGAGCAAAAATGTGAGGTGTGTTAAGTTCAGGGACCTAATTCAGAAGACATTGCTTTGAGAGTAGGCTAAAGTTTTACAAAATACCCACCTAGATATCTAAAGTTGTGGGTGCAGTGATTCATGGGGTTACCATAGCTGGCCACTCAACTTCCTTGTTTTGTTTTATTTATTAAATGAGTAAACACTTATATTTTATCAGAGTGATGACTTATACCGCCTTACTATATTCTTTTACAGCCTCAGTTTTATTTTGGGCAGTAGCGATACCATCCGACTGAGTTACGAGATCACCAACAACGGCGAGACAGCCTACCTGCCCCAATTCAACGTGACCAGCACTCCCCGCTTGGCTTTCGCTCAGCTTCCCGGAAATTGCAGGGTCGGCGACTATGATGACCAAGTTATGGTGTGCGATTTGAACCGCGGAGGACCGCTGGCCAAGGGGGACAGCGACTCCGTCACCATCAGCTTCGATGTGAGCCAATTCAGCGGACAGTCGCTGTCCATCCACGCGGAAGTATCCAGTGTCGGAAAGGAAAAGAACCCTACGGATAATAAGCAGAGTGTCGAGATCAGCTTAGAGGAGATCGCCGAGATCGATGTTAGCGGGTAAGATTTTATTAATCCAGTATAATTGACTAAAACCTGACTAAAACTCCCTTTTGTTTTTAGTCGTCCCGCCGACGGTCAAATTGCTCTTAAATGTTCTGATTCCTCCGCGGAAGTCATGAACAGTTACAAGATCAGGAGTCGCGGTCCCAGTATTATCGAGCAGTTAACCCTGTCCGTTTATATTCCCATAGCGTTTAAGATGGCATCATCTGAGGCATTTATACCCATCGTTAATGTGACCAGTCTGAAGATGCAGGCCACCTACAATGCCCGTCCGTTGCCCATCAAGCTCTACGATCATAACAATGCTCTGCTCGATACGTTTCCCATTGGGAACTCCAGCCAGAGCGAAGTGTACAACATCCAGCCCCGAAAGCGTAGGGATCTCCAAGGCCTGCTAGTCAACCAAACGAAAGAAGCTGGCTTCTATCTTAAGCGGCTGTTCAATAAACCATCGTTAAATCGCAGCATTGCATTGGACTGCCGGGAAACCAACCTGACCATCTGTGTCCGTGCCGAGATAAGTGTCAAATTTTGGCCGTCTGAACCGATCAGCCTGAACATAAGCTTTAATGTGGACCTAAAAGATATAGAGGAGCCCTGGGATTACTTTGTCATCCAGACTGATGTGAAACTGCTCAAGGAGGACGATCCCACGTCCAGTTCAATTGTGATTCATAGTCTGATCCAACCTAATGTGTTATACAAGCATGCTGGACTGTCCATCTGGAAAATAATTATGGCAGTGATCGGAGGGGGCCTGATCCTTGCTGCAATAACCTATGGCTTTCACAAGGTTCGTATTCGGTTAGTTGGGAAATGGTTAATGTGAAGTCTTAATTTTATCTACTCCCTAGTTTGGATTCTTTAAACGAACCATGCGATACGAAATAGCCAGGATAATTCGCAGCAGCTTTGAGGAGGAGTTGGCAGAGGCGGAGGCATTGGCGGAAGCCAATTCAAGGGCCAACTCGGTGGCAGTTAGAAACGAGAGGCGTCGACAGTGACGATTCATAACCATTAATACATATATATAGTTTAAGTAAATGGGACAATTTTAAACTAATAACTGTTTATTTAAGTACTAAATTAAATAAATAATTATTTAAGTACTAAATTAAATAAATAATTATTTAAGTACTAAATTAAATAAATAATTATTTAAGTACTAAAGAAAATAAATAATTATTTAAGTACTAAATTAAATAATGTATGTATTGTATTTAAGTACTAAATTAAATAAATAATTATTTAAGTACTAAATTAAATAAATAATTATTTAAGTACTAAATTAAATAAATAATTATTTAAGTACTAAATTAAATAAATGTCTATTTAAGTACTAATAATATAAATTATTTATATATAAAGTACAATATAAATTTTTAATTGTAATCTGCTTAATCACCTTCTTTGGAATTCAAAAAAATTTAAATTGTTAGATTTAAACTGAATAAAAATTTAAACAAACATTACTTCTTAAATAAACCTTTCCAAAAACAGTGTTTTGTAACTTTAAAAAACAGTATTGTTAAGATGAACTGTGGAACAAGAAAAAAATAGCTAAACTGACGATACATTTTATTTAAGTAAATTTAAACTACAACGTTTTAATCACAATGAGGAATTTATAAGAGTCCTACAGTCAAGGCACACGACTATTTTGTTTTTACATTAAAACCACAAAGTATTGACTCATTTTTTTTCCTAATATAATTTGTGCATTGAGTGGGTTGATTCATATATACATTTATAATCTAAAAAAATTATTATCTTGTTTCATAACATTTATTTTTATTAAACTGTGACGCATTGTATATAATTTAATTTCATTTCTTTTTATTGCATTTGCTTTTGAGACTTTGAAGAGTGAAGTCCCTTAGTCCTAGACATTAGCTTTACCAATTTTATTAAAATACATATTATAAAACATTTGATAAAAATTAAAAATATAAGTTTAAAAATGTGTCGGCTACTGCTCCTCGTCTTCCTAGCCTTGCAGTACAACACTGAAGCTTTCAATATTTCGCCTTCTCCGAACCAAGTAAAAAAATTTCCAAACCTGAAGACCCATTTAAAACAAACGCGAAGCTCCTACTTTGGATATACGCTCGTCATCCGGAATACGAGGTGAGTTGCATAGTTTCTAGCTGTGATCATCGTAAATTTAATAATATAAAATGTATGAAACGTAGGGTGAACAATTGAGATGGAATAAAATTCATTTAAACCCACAAAAGCAGAATTATGTTGATTTGAAAGATATTTCATATTCGGGAGAGAGGTGCTATTCGTGTTTAGGAAAGGGTATTGCTTAAACCCAATGTCTGTGATTGCTTTAAAATGTGTAATATAAGTTCTCGGAATTAAAACCCTCTTATTCTCCTCTATTTTTTATTGCAGCATCATAGTTGGAGCTCCTCGTGCTCAATCCACAATAGAACCGCAGAACAACATCAACGAGACTGGTGCGATCTACTGGTGCCCTCTGACGAACGATGCCTGCAGTCCGTATGTCCTGGATTCCGAAGGAAATGTTAATGCAAGTAGAAAAGACGAATATCACTCGATACGTAAGGACTTTCAGTGGCTGGGAGGATCGATGGACGGTGGAACTCGGGATACGGATAAGCTCCTCGTGTGTGCTCCACGACTCTACGCCCAAAGTATAATACAAAATAACAACTATATGAACGGAGTGTGCTACTGGTTACAAAATACCACTAATAGCAGTAATAGCACTCTAAAGCAAGTGAACCGCATTTCACCCCTCCGCGCAAAAAATATGCAGGTCGTTAACGACAGTTACTATTACATTATGGCCGAACTAGGACTGAGTGCGCATGTCACCGATAATAACTTAAAGTTTCTAATTGGAGCTCCAGGTATCGATACTTGGAGAGGATCAGTGATCCTAGTAGAAGACGTGGCCTCAAAGAAGAACACTCCAGAGTACCACAAAACCCACGTCCTGCAGCCAAAGAATTGGCAACAGCCGTATGACTCAACCTTTGGCTATGCCGTGAGTTCCGGCTACTTTGACAGCCTCAATACTTCACACCTTCTCTACGTGGCAACCGCTCCCCATGCCAACAACCGATCCGGCGAGGCCTACATCTTCGATGTCCGGGGAGAGAGCATCCAGAGGTACAAGGACTTCCGGGGCGAAAAGTTTGGTGAATATTTCGGATATTCTGTGCTGGCGGAGGATCTCAACGGAGATGGAAAAACGGACGTCATCATATCAGCTCCCTTTCACTCTTTGGATGGTTGCATCGAAAGCGGAGCCGTCTATGTGTTTATCAACAAGGGCTTAGTGAGTAATAAGTGGCATTAACTAAGTCACTTTTTGATTGGAGTATTCCTGGACTAAGTATGACGAACGCTTTCTTATCATTACAGTACGAATTTGATCTCAAGATTTTACGTTCGCCATTAAAAACAAATGCGCGATTCGGAACAACTCTTTCTCGTCTGGGAGACATTAATCACGATGGCTATTATGGTGGGTTTTCACAGTGATCCTTGCCTAAATGTATAATAAAGTATTAAATTTATTATTATCTATTTTAAAGACGTGGCCGTCGGAGCTCCCTTTGCCGGAAACGGATCGGTGTTCATCTACCTGGGCGGAGAGTTTGGACTGCGGGATCAGCCGAGTCAGCGGCTGGATGCTCCTTCCCAGCAACCTTCCAAGTACGGATCGCACATGTTCGGCCACGGCCTCTCCCGCGGATTGGACATAGATGGCAATGGGTTCAACGACTTCGCCATCGGTGCCCCCAATGCCGAGGCCGTGTATCTATATCGCACCTATCCCGTCGTCAAAATACATGCTTCTCTAAGGTTGGAAACGCGACAGATAAAACCGGAGCAGGAGAAGGTGAAGATCACCGCCTGCTTCAGGTTGAGTACCACAGCCAAGGAAGTGCGTGTGCAGAAGCAGGAACTGGTCATTCGTGTAACCATTGACAAAAAGCTGAACCGGGCTTGGTTTGTCAAAACGCAGCACAATGAGATGATATTAAGGAAGACTGCTAGTCCTGACGAGAATTGCACCGATTTTGATATCCAGTTGCTACATAGCAAATACATTTTCGTGCCCATCGATCTGAACATGCATTACGAACTGACCCAAAAGATTCCCCACTCCAGCGGTGAGTTAAAAAATACAATTTTTGGTAATCAAATTTAAAACGAGCTCATTTTCAATAGAGTTCTGCGAAACCTGCGCAATTGTGGATCCGAAGGAACCGAAATCTTGCACGGAGGCGATTGTTTTTATCACGGGCTGTGCCTCCGAGGTTTGTGTAGCTGATCTTGAGATAAGGAGCAAGAACTTGAGGTATGCCAAAACCAGAGGAATATATATATATATAAATAATACAATATACAGTTGTTATTTTTTTAAGAGTTATAAATTATAACTTATAATTAATAATGTCTTATTTCAATTTTCGTAGCTCCACTTTTATTTTGGGCACTGCCGATACCATCGGACTAAGTTACGAGATCACCAACAACGGCGAGACAGCTTACCTGCCCCAATTCAACGTGACCAGCACTCCTCGCCTGGCTTTCTCTCAGGTTCCCGGAAACTGCAAAGTGGCCGACGCAGTTATGGTGTGCGACTTGAACCGCGGACAACCGCTGGCCAAGGGCGACAGCGACTCCGTCACCATCAGCTTCGATGTGAGCTATCTCCGCGGTCAGTCGCTGATCATCCACGCGGAAGTATTCAGTACGGGATACGAAAAGAACTCCACGGACAACCAGCATATTGACAAGATCAGCTTAACGGAGTTCACTGAGATCGAGGCCAGCGGGTAAGATGCAATAAAGCTAGTACAAGTAAGGTGACTCTAATCCTCATCATTTTCAGTGCCCCGATAAACGGTCAAACTGTTCTGAAACACTATCCTTATTCTGCGGAAATCATTAACCATTACGAGATTAGGAGCGGTGGTCCTAGTACTATCGAAGAGTTAACGCTGTCCTTTTATATTCCCGTGGCTTATAAGGCGAATGATTCTATGGAAGTTATACACATAATTAATATCACCAGTTTGAAGACGCAGGCCACCTATGATTCCCAGTCGTTGAGCGTCGCTCTGTACGACCAGAATAATACCCTGCTCAATGGCTATCCCTTTGAGAACGTAAACTCTTCAGCGGTACGAAGACGTAGGGATCTTAGCCAAGAAGCAAATGCCCAGCTCAACGAGCTGCTCATTGAGGACATTCCGCCAAAAGATCGCTCAATTGTGTTGGACTGCCGGGAAACCAACATGACGATCTGCATCCGAGCCGAGATGTTGGTTCAATTTAGGCCGAGCAAACCAATTAACCTAAACATAAGTTTTAACGTGGATCTCAGGGAAGTAAAGGATCACTGGGAGTACTTTGTCATCATGACCGATCTGAAGCTGCTCAAAAAGGGCGATCTCAAATCCGAATCGTTTCAAATTAACCGGAAATTTGAACCAAATGTGATATACAAGCCATTTCAACTTGTTATATGGATAATCATTATTGCCGTGATCGGGGGCTTGCTACTGGTCGCTGCGTTATGCTATGCACTTCATAAGGTTTGTATTGGGGTAGTTAAGAGAAAAGGTTTCCATATTAATCTTGCTTACTCCTTAGTTTGGATTCTTTAAACGGGGAAAGAAACAGGAACTTAAGAAGCTAATTCGAGAGAGTTTTCAGGTGTTGGATGAGGTAGAAGAGGAGGAGGAGGCACTGAACACGGAGGAGCCAGAGGCATTTAACATATACTAACTGAGATCAAAATACTTCATGATATATCACATATTTATGGACCAGTTAGCACTTGAGCACTGGTTTTATAAGGAGCCGTTTCCAAAGAATCGTTATGTTTTTTCTTGATTTTTATTAAAATGTTAATGAACTTTTTTAAATAGTGTCGAATTAACCCAGCATTATAAAATTTAATATGTTCTTAAAGTGTTAATAATTTATTTTAATAAAAATAACATACAATTCTTAAAACAAATAAGTACAATCATAAATATTTATTAAAATGCATTGTTATTCTTAATCTTTGAAAATATTTAAAAACTAATTTAAATAATTAGCACACACTCGCCAAACATGAACAATTTAACCGATCTTTCAATATACCTATAACATTTACACTATTTATGTACAATAATATCTAGTGCCGCCGAAAATAGCAGCTGCTCATAGAATACACAAACTTTTCCCATATAAGCAAGTAAAATGGACTATCTAAGGAGACGATATACACGTAGCTAACACACATTACAGAAGAGCTGATATCGTAGTGAAGTTGTAGACTACAATATGGGACTCACAGAGTTACAGGTATAAGTACATTAGGCTGCGATAAGTTTCTAATTGAGTTGAGGTAAGTGCTCATGATCGGCTTGGATAAAGTAGAGTGTTTGCTTTCAGATATGTTTCTGTAAAAGTTGCATGCAACGTTGCAATATGTACGACTGACTACACCTAGGAGTTTTGTAAAAGTACATCATTATTGAATATGTGCTTCGCATAACTCCGGCGATCAAGTATGCATTTCTTTGGTGGTTCCTATTGACAACAAACGAAAACATATATTTTTTGCACCTGCCTGTAGAGTGTATAACAACAACTATGATGCTTGCTTTTTAAATAAATACTTGTATAAAAATACAGAGAATTTGTGAACTATGTATTGTCAAAATCATTAACACGTATGTAACTTGCGACCCCTCGAATAAATATGCATAATCTCTGATATCTGTTTTCTAGATCTCAACGCTAATTCTTTAACATTTGTATCACCCACCTCTTATGACTAGTTCTCCCTATTGAGTACAATGAGATGAGTGTGCAGCACCCACCACCCATGGGCCTCCTGCTACTCTGCTAACACATTGTCTCGTTAAACGGCGGGTCCTTTTCCGATTCGGTGCTGCTCTTGATGTTCGACGACAGCTTGGCGATCTCGTCCTGCACCAAATGGGTGCTGATCTGGGGTATGGACAGCGCCGGGCTGCTGCTCTTGGCTGATGATCCGCCCGACTCCTCCGTGCTGGAGCTGCTCTCCTTCAGCACGTTCATGCCCAGCTTGCTCGCAAAGGGCTGCGGCTTGAGCGTGGAAATCAGTTTGGCCTGACCAGTCTGGCCAGCAGCCTGGGCCACTTCCGGCGTCAGAGGCACTGCCTCGGCCGGCTGAGACGGCTTGCCCTGGTCCACGCTAAACTGTTTCTTCAGCAGCATGGGACGCGCTGGCGGTGCCGGCGCTGCCTGCGTCGTCACTGGCCCCGAGGCGCTTAGGTCCAGCGAACTGGAGCTCTCCTCCCGCAATCGCCTGCCGTCGGCCGCGCCCACCGAGGCGGTACGGATGGGCTGGTAACGCGCCGTGGCAGCGCCGCCCACAGCGCCAACGCTGATGCTAATCCCCGTTGCCGAGTGCGAGTCGCCGGCGTCCAGCGAAGGCTCTGCGGTCAGCGAGGGCGTGTCCACGTTGTAGGATCCCGTTTGCGAAGTGTTCGTCTCATTCGAGCTCTGCTTAATGAAGCGGTACGGGTGCACCGAGTAGTCCGTCTCCGTGCTGGAGTTCTTCTGCAGGCTCTCGCTGGACTTTTTGAACAGCCGGCCGCTGCCCTCGTACGGCGGATTGAGGAAGTCACTGGTGGCCCGTGTGGGTACCAGTGGCGAGGGATAGGCCTGCTGCTCCATCGAGGAGTTGCGCTGCCAGGGGCGCTCGTTCTTCAGCTGAAAGCCGCTCGAGACGACGACCATGGCACCGCAGCTACCGGCCCCGCTGGTATCGCTACTGTCGCCTCCGCCGGCGCCGCCACCTCCGCCCACGCCCATCAGGTCGCCATCGACCGATGGCTTCGAAGGTGACAGCTCCACGGCAGTCTCGCGTCGCAGCGGATAGCGATGGCTGTAGTCTATGGATACGCCGATCTGTTGGTGGAAAAATAAGTTAAAGAGGACTTTTGTAATTGGATCTAGGTTCATTTTAATACATACCTCAAATCCCTGGGCGCTGGCATCGATGGAGCCACGAGACTCAATCAATCCCTCCAATATGTTGTAGTCGTTCTCCTCGCACTCCTTCAGATGCTTCTTCTCCAGCAAGGCGGCAGCCTCCGCCCGGGACATTTCTGTTTTGGGGCGGTCCAGTGAAGCTGTCGGTTCAATGGGGAAAAGCAAACATGAGTAGGGCTGCAAACTCAATGGAAACGTTGTGGGGGAAATCTTTTATTTTTTGAGGCGGCGGAAGCAAGGCAATGATACGGGTGTTGCGCATTCACCCGGTTAGTTATTTACACTTTGCTCACGGATTTCAGAACGCCTCGCTGGGCGACGGAAAAGGGACCCAATTCGATTCGTGACCTCGTGCTCGACGCGGCCTTGAGCCTGGCTTACCTTTGTTGCTCGGCAGCGACACCGTGGGCGATGCTATCATGTGGCAGACGCTCTCCAGCTCGTCCGTGATCGAGGTGTACTCGCTGTGCAGTTTCAGCAAGATATTTCTGGAGGGTTTCGCATGCAATACTGATTTACCTAGAGTTCGGAGTTCGTGGTTAGGTTCAGAGAAGAGATGTGTGCAAGAGAACAAACAATAAGGACTTGATTCGGTTACGGTCAATGGTTAAAATGGTCAGTGCTAATTTGGTGGCCAAATCGGTTTGCTGGATTGGTTGTTTTGGATCGGTTTGTTTTTTCGGGTTAGGAGGGATGGCATGACGGGATTAGTAGCCTGAATTTAGAGCGCAATTTTGAGGCTGGTATGGAGTTCACTCCATAATGTCTACGTACCCGGATGAGCGGAGCCCGGGGCTACGGGTACATCCTTGTCGCTGTCCGGCTCCGATTGCGTGAGGCTCATCTGGCGGCGGGACAACGAGGCCAGCTGATTGAGGCTGATGTGGGAACGGTTCATGTCGGCTCCGGTCAAGGAGTACGTCTCCGAGTTGCGGCGGCACAGGGAAACTGTGCGCTGTCTCAATGCCCGATGTCTGGCAGCTGTTGGCAATTATAAGTTGATTAGAATATACTGCTAGGACATGTACAGTGGACACAACATAGAAGAACAGAAGGCAGAAGAAGCAGATTGGTTTAGAAGCTGGCGGCTTGGAAATTACCCTCAAAGTTGATGTCTGGCGCCGCATCATCTGAGTTGTCGCCACCCACGAGCGTCTGATCGTCATCGTTGGTGCCCATCGGCGTCAGCGTGTCCTTGCTCTCCGTGCTGGCCCCCGTATCCTGGCGCACGGTCACATAGGGCGTTCGCTTCACCGTCTCACAGGTCGAGGGTCGCTGCGACATGGGCAGGTAGATGTCCGAGTCCGCCTCCGACTGCATCGACGCCTTGCGAACAACCTGCTCGTTGAGAGCCTCCCGGGACTTGACCACTTCGTCCGGTTCCTCCGGCAGCGGCACCACCTCGAAATGAGTGCCCTCGTCGAAGATGTACGCATCCGGACGAACTTCGGTCAGCGATCGATTGAAGCGACGCCGGGTGGTCACCTACATGGTATCGCCATAAAAGTGAGCACAGAGAAAAATTTTGATGTCATCGATTCAATGATTTATTGCATAAACAACATATTTTAACAAAACATATTAAAGTATAAATATAAATATATAAATAAATAATGGAGCGTCACATAAAACTAATTAAACACAAGTTTATCCAAACAGAACTGAGCTTGGGAAACAAGTAGAACAAAACTAAAATAAAATGTCTTCTAAAACATATTGTCATTTCAAGCAATCTAGTTTTTTGTTTTGAGAATATCGAGTTCAGAATGACATTTTCTGTCCCAGTGTGCTTGGTATTGCAGCGATATGTAATTCAAACGCACCTGCAGCGAATTTAAATTCAGTCCGGCGCCCAAGCCCAGTGGCACAATGGCTCCTCCACCACCACCGCCATTTCCGCCGGGTCCACCACCCGCCTCCGTATCCGAAATCGAGATGGTGCGCATGCGCTGCATCTCCGCTGGAATATTTATCGTCGAGCCGCGCAAATCATCCGTGCCAGCGATGTGCGTGGACATGAAGCGATGTATGACGGCCAAGTGGGAGAGTATCTGCTCCGAGGATTCCTCCATCTTTCGCAGCCGAAACTCAATGTTCTGTAACATATAAAGAAATACAACGTTTCATTCGATTATTAAATTAGAAACGGTGGCAAATCCAATTAAACGGAAGGATATATTCCATTGCATATGTATTATATTTATTCAGAACGGTGATGGTAAAAGAAAAGCTGCAACGCCTGCAGCAAAACGGTCATTCGGACGTGTCCAATTTTCAATTCACATGTCAAGACGTGCTGTCAGTACCCATGTCATTTCGGATAACACGAATCACACACGAAATTTACATAAAAATGCAAACACAGGATTGAGATGTCAAAACAAGGGGATGAGGGGGCGGTCTGATGACTACACACCTGAACGGTGGCCGTCTGTATGTTTTCCTTCTGATTGATGTCCTCGATTTTCTGAGACATGGTCTCCACTCGGTCCGTGGTGTTCTTAACCCGCTCGTCAGTCGACTGATTGAGGATGATTTCCTGCTCGTGGAAGAAGCCCTCGACGCACTCCTCCTCGAAATCGTACAGCCGCTCCAGGTCGTCCTTCTCCAGGAACAGCTTGAGACCGTTGTCCCGCTGCACCTCCAATCCTGCGGAATGCCGATCAAGTGGACACATGTTACATGGGAGTTAAAGGAAAATGCGAAAAACCAAGGATTGACAATAACAACAGCGCCCGGGGGAAATGGAAATG